AAACTTGGGTGCAAAGACAAAACTGGGAGAAATTGGAAGAGATATTACCACAAGAATATGTGTGGGAGTGTCAAGGGGCGACAAAGGAAAAGAAAAAGGGGAGCGCAAGCGGGGGAATAGTAATGGGAATTCGAAAAGAACTGCAAGAATTGGAAAAGGGAAGTAATAATAAAAACGGACTAATGAAGAAAGTAATACAGCTAGATAACAATCGATGGGAAATAATAACCGTTTTTAACAAGAAAATGGAGGAAACCAAGATAAACATAGAAATGGAAACAAAAGATAAGGAGATGAAAAAATACTTATAGGAGGGGATTTTAACGCAAGATTGGGCGATAAGGGGACAAGAATAATAGACAAAGAAAAGGGAGAGAAAAGAGGATCAAAAGATAAAGCAAATAACAAAGAAGGGAAAATATTGTGCCAGATAATAGAAGAAATGGGATGGGAAATTTTGAATGGAAACAAGGAAGGAGATGAAGAAGGAGAATGGACGTACGTAGGGGCGAGGGGAGAATCAATTATAGATTATGGGATTGTCAACGAAGAGGCGTGGGAAGAAATAGAGAGTTTCAAAGTGGGGGAAAGGGTAGAATCAGACCACATGCCTCTAGAAATAAAAATCAAAGGAAAAGAGCAAGAGTACGAAAAACAAGAGAGAAGACACGAAAGAAAAGAATTAGAAAAAAAAAATGGGATGAAGAGGGAATTCAAAGATACAGAAGTAGACTAGAAAAAAAGAAATTCGAAGTAAGAGAAGATATAGAAGCTATGATGGTGAAACTGAGTAACCTAATTGTAGAAGCTACGGAAAAAAGAAAGATATACATATGGCAAGGGAGGGATAATGGAGTTGAAGAGAAAAGCAAGGGAAAAATTAAGAAAATGGAAGAATAACAAGGGAAGGAAAGAAGAGTACCTAAAAGTAAGAGAGAATTATAGGAGAAAATGGGAAGAAAGAAAAAGAGAAAAACGAGAAGAAGAAGAGAAGACAATAAAGTCCATGAAAACAGAAGAGCAAGTATGGAGATATATAAACAAGGAACGGAGAAGGAAGACTGAAATCAGCGGGAAAATCAAAATACATGAATGGAAAACACACTTTATGGAATTATTGGGAGGTTGTGAGGAAAAATGCTGCAAAATAAATAAAGGAATCACAACGACGGAAGAAATGTGGAGAGGTTCGGAAATAACAAAAGATGAAATAGAAAGACAGATTGGAAGACTGAAAAGAGGAAAGGCATCAGGAGGGGATGGAATCCAGAACGAAGCGTGGATGTTCGGGACAGAAGAAGTGAAAGAAAAGATATGGGAAGTGGTAAATGGAGTTTGGAAGGGAAAAGGGTTTCCTGGGCAGTGGAGAGAAGGTATAATAATCCCATTATTTAAAAAGGGGCAAAAAAGTGATGTGAAGAACTACCGAGGGATTACCTTGCTCAATACGGCGTACAAGATATATGTAATGATACTCGATGAGAGGTTACGAAAGGAAATGGAAGCAAGGGGTATGTTACCAGACGGTCAGGCAGGGTTTAGGAAAGGAAGAGGTACTATGGACAACGTGTACATCCTGCGGCATTTAGTGGGAAGAACAATAAGGAAAGAGAGTGAACGAATGTACGCATTGTTCATAGATTTCAAAGCAGCGTTTGATAGCGTGAATAGAGAGAAAATGTGGGAGTATTTGAGGAGAAAGGGAGTAGATGCATACTTGGTAACGAAAATGGAAGAAATATATGAAGAAACATTAAATACGGTGAGAGTGAATGGAATAGAGTGTAAGAGTTTTTATACAAATACAGGAGTGAGACAAGGATGCCCACTAAGCCCCGCATTGTTTGCAGCTTATCTAGGAGACAGGAGGGGTGGTAGTCGGCAAAGAGAAAGTGTGGTCGTTGGCGTACGTAGATGATTTGGTGATTGTGGCAAAGAAAAGAGAAGAAATGAAAGCAATGATTAAAAGTTTGGAGAAGTATGTAAAAAAAAAAGAATTGGAAGTGAATGTGGAAAAAACAAAAATGGTGGTGTTTGGGAAGAAAGTAAGAAAGTAAGAAACGAGAAGGAAGAGTGGGCATGGAGAGCGAAGAACATTGAACAGGTGAAAGAATTCCAGTACTTAGGATATACATTAAAGAGCAATAACTCAGATAGAGCTCATATTCAAGAAATGGTCCAAAAAGCGAACAAAGTGGTAGGAATAGTATCGGGAATAGGAGAGAGAAAATTTGGACATGATTATAAGAGAAGAATAATGATGTTTGATAGTTTGGTCAAAAGTGTATTCATGTACGGAGCTGAGATTTGGGATGGAGGAAATGTGAAGAAATAGAGAGAGTGCAAGAAAAATACTTGAAATGGACATTGGGATTGGAAAAGTATACGCCGGGGTATACAGTGAGAGAAGAAACAAAAAGGGAGAAAATGAGAGTGGAAGCGGGTAAAAGGGCGATTGGATTTGAAGAGAAGTTCACTGAGAGAGGTAATTGCAAGATATTGCAAGAATGTTGGAAAGAAATAAGAAACGAAGGGGGAAAACATGTTTGGAACGAAAGGGACAAGTATTATGAAGGAAAGGGATATGCATGTGAAGAAATAGAGAGAATGAGAGAAATGGGAAGGAGTATGAAAGAAGAACTGAGTGTAAGAGATAAGGATATAGATAAGCAAGAACGTAGATCGAGAATATCGGAGTCTAGATATAATGCAGACTATAGAAAAATAGTAAAGGATGAAGTACCAAAGTACACAGAGAGAGAGAATATAAAGGAGAAAAGAATGATGGCGAGATTTAGGTGTGGAAATGAAGAAAAAGAGAATAATATTTGGATGGATGAAACTGACAGAAGGTGTAGGATATGTTGGAGAGAGGAAACAATAGAGCATTTGCTGGAAGGATGTGAAGGATTGAGAGAATCGGAGGAAAGTAGGGAAGAAGTGCTAAACGAGGATGGAAGAGGACTGGACTGGATGAAAGAAGTATGGAAGATAAGGGAACTATGGCAAGGGGTGGGCAAGCAGAAAGAATAGAATATTTATTATATATCACTCGAATTTTTTTTTTTTTTTTTTTTTTTTTTTTTTTTAAATATTAAGACCCACCACTGACCCGGAAATGACCGGCATTCAGGCAAGACTTCTATCATTACGGGTACTAAGACCAAGTAATGATATGAATTGATTAGATTAACAGAACAACTTTCGAGATTCTAGAATTACAGCATACAAATTAGTCTGCTATTATTCTCTAATCTCACCCCATCCCCAAAAGTCCAGCGTAACTACCGACCATTTATCCGCGCATCACTTGGAAAGTGACCTACACTACTCTGATCTACTGGTGCTAATCTAATCTGACTGACATGATCAGACTGTTCGAGAAACTTACGAACAATATGACATGTTCCTAACAAAACAGCTTTTTGAATTTTGACAATTATTGAATCATTCAAATGCAAAGACTTTAAATTCTCAACTAAGCTATTTGGAACTACACCTACATTAGAGATAACTAGGGGTAGAATTGAAATTTTTTTAAGATTCAACATGGATTTCATTTCTATCGATAATTGTAGATATTTTGAAATCTTGGTGTCGTATGTTTGAATAATGTTGTTTGTGTTAGGAATAGCAATGTCAATAAGAATGGCTTCGTTCGTGTGTTTTTTGATAAGTATGATGTCTGGTCTGTTAGCTGTAATGTTTAAGTCTGTAAGTATTGTGCGATCCCAGTATAATTTGTATTTGTTATTTTCAAGGAATGGAGACGGAATATAAGTGTAATAGGGTGTCGTATCTTCGATTAAGTTCATAAGTGTTGCTAATTCTTTGTGAATGATTTTGGCTGCGTTGTCGTGTCTAGCTTTGTAATCAGTTTGTGCTAGGATGCTGCAAGAAGAGATTATGTGCTGGATCGTTTCAGGTTTTGCTTTGCATAGGCGACAGCAGTCGTTTTTTATGTTCGGATCTTTGATGATGTATTTTCTATAATTCTTGGTATTGATTACTTGGTCTTGAATAGCAAACACAAATCCTTCTGTTTCGGCATACAAACTTGATTTTTTTAACCAAATCAATGACATCTTCTTATTGACATGATTTTCTTCTAAGTCTTTGTAGAATTTTCCATGTAGTTGTTTTTGTTTTAGCCCACTTATTATTTTATCTATTGTGTGGGGGGTGTGGATTTCTTCGGTGTTCGACAGATTTAAGGGTGCGTGGTTCAAATCTGCTCTTGTGATGGTGCGAAACATTTCATTTCTTTCCGCTCGTTTCAAGAAATACTTCTTCAAATCTGAAATTTGTATCTGATATAAGTTTTCTAAGTTCTGGAAACCCCCTCCTCCATTCTGTCTTGGTAATGAGAATCTTTCAATCGACGATTTTGGGTGATGCCTTCTATACTGATTTATCTGAGGTAGATTAAGTTAATTTGTACTCCTACTGGGAATATTATTAAGCCTGTAAGGCAAATAATAAATTAATACTACTAATTAACCCTTATAGACGCTACTGAAGGATAAATAGGTAAAATTAATTTATTTTAGTAAATCCTAGCAACGTCAACAATAAAACTTTTGTCAAGACTAAATGTTGCTATAGAAATGAAAGATTACCTTTTTATCAGAGGCATACAACGAATTTGGACATCAATTTGAATAATTTTTATCTCTAAAAGGAGAACACTTTCACCTGAACTTTTTTTTACTTTTAGCACCCATACTTGGAGACCAATTGGCGATTTTATTTTGTACGTTCCTTTCAATAACACTCTGGTATTGTTATACAATCCACATAGACGTAAGGGAAGGAGTCGTAAACTTCAGAGAAACTGGGAAGGGTCGTACGAAGTAAAAACATTTTTGAATAATGTGGTCTATATTCAAAGAGGAGAGGAAAGACCTAAAATAATTCATAGTAAACACGTTGAGGACGTCGATAATTAAGGGGAAGACAGTGTTACAAGATATCAGTGAAAAACAAGAAAAAAACAATAATTAAGTATAAATTGAAACTGTACTCTCTTGTCAAACAACAAAGTTATTTTTCTTTTGCAAGAATTTATTAAACCCACGTAACAATAATAATAGTTGTCCCCACACAATTATTTCTCAAAGCCAAACATACACTGAGCAATCATGTTGTCAACCGGTCTTTTACTCTCGTCAACCATCAGATGATCAAACGAATCAAAGAAAGCACCATTCTTCAACAATTCGCTTTTGTGTTTCTCTAAAAAATCAAAAATCACTAAAATAACACAATCAACATATAATTCTCACCTTGTAAAACAGCCACTGGTTCCAATAAACCACCACAATCTTGGGGCAAACATTCCTTGGGCACGTATTTCATCAAATCGTCCAGCGATTTGTGGGCGATGATCAACGGTAAAAGTGATTTGAGAGCAGCAGATTGATAAACAGCAATTACTTCGTCCATTCTAGGGTTCCTGTTATAAATGTGCATCGCTTTTATTTGCATGATTGGGATGATTTCGTAGTCATAATAAAAAATTTTCTTAAAGACACCATATTGCATTTTAGGTACGTAACACTCAGGAAAGTGTTGAATGTCATAAACAATTATATGTCCATTTGCGGGTCCTTTTTGGTACACATCCAACATGCACGCCATATACAGAGATTTGTACAAAGTTTCGACTTTATGATTAATCATATTTGGGCCCAAGGGTTTCATAAAAATTACAGCATTACCTTCAGGTGTTCTTTTGGGCAGCACCATCATGATCCTGAGTAACACAATGTTTGAAAAAATTGATAAAATGGGAAACTTACATTGCGTCAAAAACTCCCTGTTGCTGTGGAGTTTTTGCAAAATTTCTTTCGAGGAAGACGTCAGGCCATAAAGTTTTCAAAGTGAAGAATGTATCGACTGTGGCTTGGGCATGAACAAGACGATAATCACTTTTTTTTAGAAATAAGATCGCCTCAAAATCTGTAAAATGGTTAAATTTTGTCTAGTAAGGTGTGCACACTTACCGCCAATTTTGGGTAAATGGGGTTGGTTTTGAACCCACTTTACAAGGGCTTTGACGTCTTTTTCTTGAAGTTTTGGGTCTTCGGCATATATGGTTTTAATATCGACTAAATTAAGTGCCATTTTGATGGTTTTTGTGAGTATTTGATGCAGTTTCTTGAGAAAGTGCAACAAACTGCAGGCCTAAAGTAAACACGTTCTTATTTATATAATTTTAACGATAACGTAAGTTTGTAGGGTCATCTTGACAAAAAAATACGCAACAATATGTGATAATTATAATTATACAATTTAATTTAATAATTTTGTGTTTATTATTAAATAAACACAAAATTATTTTTTAGTGATAGGTTAACACAAATATTTGTCAGCTAAAAAATTATATTTTAAGTATGTACGTAGGTTACTTATTAAAAACCCCAAAAACACAACCAGTGGAACTTTACTTTAATTGTCCCCACATGATTATTTCTTAAAACCAAACATATTCTGAGCAATCATGTTGCCAACCGGTCTTTTACTCTCATCAACCACTAGTTGACCATGCGACTCAAAGAAAGCACCATTCTTCACCAACTCCCGTTTGCTTTTCTCTAAAAGCAACAATCAACACCACTTAAACTCAGTCATAATTCTCACCATGTAAAACAGCCGCAGGTTCCAATAATCCACCACATTCCTCAGGCAAACATTCTTTAGGTACGTATTTCCTGAGGTCGTCCAACGATTCGTGGGTGAATACCATACGCAGAAGCGATTTGGGAACAACAGATTCGTAAATACCAACGATTTCATCCCTGTTTGGGTTTGTGTTATAAAAATGTATCTCTTTGACTAGCATGGTCGGTACGGCTTCCTCAATGTAATAAAAAAAATTCTTCAAAGTACCATAGTCCATCTCGGGTATGAAACACTGCGGAAAATGCTCAATATCGTAGACACTTACGTGTCCATTTGGTGGACCGTTGAGATACACATCCAGCATGCAAACCATATGTACGTATTTTATGAAAGATTCGAGGTTAAAGTTAATCATGTTTTCGTTCAGGGGTTTTAGAAAAAGTATAGCATTGCCTTCGGGGGTTCGTTTAGGTAGTACCATGATTATCCTGAATAACACAATGGTTGAACAAATTTACAAAAGTGAAAAAACTTACATCGTGTCAAAAATTTCTTGTAGTTGTGGAGAATTTGCAAAATTCGTTTCAAGTAATGCTTCTGGCCATAAGTTCTTCAAAGTAAAGAATGTGTCTATTGTGGTTTGAGCATGAGCTAAACTATAGTGACTTTTTTTTAGAAATAAGAAGGCCTCAAAATCTGGAAATGTTGAGATTTTATAATGTAGTAAAATGTGTCCACTTACCGCCAATTTTAGGTAAATGGGGTTGGTTTTCAACCCATTTTACAAGTGCGTTGACGTTCTTTTCTTCAAGTTTTGAGTCTTCGGCGTAGATGGTTTTAATATCGACGGAATTAAGTGCCATTTTGGGAGTTTGAAGTTTTTGTTTTGCTACCAACTACAGGCCTAAATCAAACTGGCTCCTATTTATATAATTTAAGAGACAATAATCGAAGTTGCAGGGTCATCTCTACAAGAAAATACGCAACAATATCTTTTTTTTTAGTGATAGGTAATCACAAATATTTGTGAACTACAAAAATATTTTAAGCGCATATAAGTTTTATCTTGTGTTCTGTCCTTTGTAAGAAGGTTATTACTAAGCTCGATTTTTTTTATATCAATATTTTTTTGTTAAAACAACTTTATTTAAACAATATATATTTCTACTTTAAGTTTTTCATAATAATGTGAAATAGTTGCTTCAAGTATGCTAATTTATACATACTTGAAGGACGAGACATTTTTCAACGAGGCGCAGTCGAGGTAGACGGTCACTCGAGACAGTTGACTCCAAATATTCGGTTCCTTGAAGCTTTCTAGGTCCACAGGTAAATTTTTAGACCTGATACCCGATCCGTTTAGTCTTGACAAACGATTATACCGGGTGTTTGGAAAATGGCGAATTAACTCTTGGCTGGTAGGTCAGGGAAAAATAATAAAAAAAAAGTCTTCTCACATTTTGGAGTAACGATTTTAACAACAATGTCAAAAAATTGGTCTTATTTTACCAAATACTAGCCCCGCCCACCCGCCCTCTCTTTTTTTAGAGGCTATCTCATTTGCCAAAATCGATTTTATTTTAGCAGATGCTAGCCCCGCCCACCCGCCCTCTCTTTTCTTAGAAGGTATTTCATCTGCCAAAATGACTGTTATCTTAGCAAGTACTAGCCCCAGCCGTCCGCCCTCTATTTTCTTAGAGGGTATGTCATTTCCCAAAATCAGTTTTATCTTATCCAGCTAGTACTTGCTAAGATAAGGCTGATTTTGGCAAATCACATACCCCCCAAGCAAATAGAGGGTGGGCGGGCGGGGTTAGTATTTGATAAGATAAAACTGATTTTGGCACTTTTTTGATTTTGGCGCTTTTTTTTACTTTTTTCACATCTTACTCAACAGAAGAACATAAATAATATTTTATATTTAGATATTTAGGATCTTTAGAATTTTTAGAATCTTTGGAATATTTACGATCTTTATTATTTATAGGACCTTTAAGATTTTTGGGATCTATATTGTATTTAGAATCGGAATTTCGGAAACCCCTTGAAACATTACTTTGAATTCTTGGAATCCCTCTGATCCTTGGAATCCTTTGAATCCTTGAAATTCTACAAACCCTTGAAGTACATAGAAATGTTGGAAGCTTTCGAACATTTGAAACCTTCGGAACCCTTGGAACCCTTTACATCGTTGAAATCTTTGGAACCCTTAACAACTTAGAAACTTAAGAACCATTGGAACTTTTGGAGGCTTTCGAAACTTTTAAACCCTTGGAATGGTTGAAACCCGTAGAATTCATTGAAACTTTGTAACCTATGGAAACTCTGGAAACTTTGAAACTTTTAGAACCTGTGGAAGCTTTGGAAACTTTGGAATCCTAGCAATATTTTCAATTTTCAGAATTCTCGGAATTCTTGGAATCCTTGGAATCCTTGCAAGATTTGGAACCCTCGGATTACATCCTGAGATTCTATAGAAATTTTGTTACCTTTGGAACGTTTGTAACCACTGGAATCCTTGAAATCTTTGGACTCTATGGAATCCTTGGAACCCTTAGAATCAACAGAAACTTAAGAATCATTGGAACTTTTGGAAGCTTTCGAAACTTTTAAACCCTTAGAATGGTTGAAACCCGTAGAATTCATTAAAACTTTGTAACCTATGGAACTTTAAGAACCTGTGGAAACTTAGGAAACTTTAGAATCCTAACAATATTTTCAATTTTTAGAATTCTCGGAATTCTTGGAATCCTTGGAATCCTTGCAACACTTGGAACCCTCGGATTCCATATGATCTTAATATATTTAGAGTCCTTAGAATCTTTAGAATATTTAGGATCTTTAGCGAATTTAAGATCTGTAGAATCTTTAGGGTATTTAGGGTATTTAGTGTCTTTAAATTTTTTAGGATCCATAGAATATTTAGGATATTCAGAACCTACGGAATTCTTATAAAACTCTTGATATACTTGTAACACTTGAAACCCTTGGAAATCTTCTAATCCCTGGAATCTGTGGATTGTATAGAGACATTGGAACATTTGGAAGCTTTCGAATATTTGAAACCTTTGGAACCCTTGGAACCTTTCACATCGTTGAAACCTTTGGAACCCTTAACATTCTTGAAACCTTTGAAACCCTTGGAATGTTTGCAATCCTTAGAATCTATAGAAATTTTGATACTTTGGAACGTTTGTAACCATTGGAATCCTTGAAATCTTTCGACTCTATGGAATCCTTACAATCCTTGGAACCCTTAGAACCAGTAGAAATTTAAGAACCATTGGAACGTTTGGAAGCTTTCGAAACATTTAAACCCTTGGAATGGTTGAAACCCGTACAATTCATTAAAACTTTGTAACCTATGGAAACTCTGAAAACTTTGGAACTTTTGGAACCTGTGGAAGCTTAGGAAACTTTAGAATCCTAGCAATACTTTCAATTTTTAGAATTCTCGGAATTCTTGAAATCCTTGGAATCCTTGCAACACTTGGAACCCTCGGATTCCATATGATCTTAATATATTTAGGGTCCTTAGAATCTTTAGAATATTTAGGATCTTAACGAATTTAAGATCTGTAGAATCTTTAAGGTATTTAGGGTATTTAGTATCTTTAGATTTTTTAGGATCCATAGAATATTTAGGATTTCCAGAACCTACGGAATTCTTGAAACTCTTGATATCCTTGGAACACTTGAAACCCTTGGAAATCTTGTAATCCCTGGAATCTGTGGATTATATAGAAACATTGGAACCTTTAGAAGCTTTCGAACATTTGGAACCTTCGGAACCCTTGGAACCCTTTACATCGCTGAAACCTTTGGAACCCTTAACATCCTTGAAACCTTTGAAACCCTTGAAATGCTTGCAATTCTTAGAATCTATAGAAATTTTAATACCTTTGGAACGTTTGTAACCATTGGAATCCTTGAAATCTTTCGACTCTATGGAATCCTTACAATCCTTGGAACCCTTAGAACCAGTAGAAATTTAAGAACCATTGGAACTTTTGGAAGCTTTCGAAACATTTAAACCCTTGGAATGGTTGAAACCCGTACAATTCATTAAAACTTTGTAACCTATGGAAACTCTGGAAACTTTGGAACTTTTGGAACCTGTGGAAGCTTAGGAAACTCTAGAATCCTAGCAATACTTTCAATTTTTAGAATTCTCGGAATTCTTGAAATCCTTGGAATCCTTGCAACACTTGGAACCCTCGGATTCCATATGATCTTAATATATTTAGAGTCCTTAGAATCTTTAGAATATGTAGAATCTTTAGCGAATTTAAGATCTGTAGAACCTTTAGGGTATTTAGGGTATTTAGTATCTTTAGATTTTTTAGGATCCATAGAATATTTAGGATTTTCATAACTTATGGAATTCTTGAAACTCTTGAAATCCTTGGAACACTTGAAACCCTTGGAAATCTTGTAATCCCTGGAATCTGTGGATTATATAGAGACATTGGAACCTTTGGAAGCTTTCGAACATTTGGAGCCTTTGGAACCCTTGAAAGCCTTGATATCATTGGAACACTTGGAACTCTTAACATCCTTGAAACCTTTGGAACACTTTAAATGCTTGCAAACCTTAGAATCTATAGAAACTTTTGTACCATTTGAAACCCTTGGAATCCTTGAAATTGCACAGGCTGGTTTAACCCCAAAAAGCAAACTTTTCGACCCCACTCCAGACAAGAATTTTACCTGTTTCTTCGTCAACCTGTAACTGATTATTATAAGCCTGACTGAAACCTATTTTACCTACCTAACAAAGCTGCTAAAAGTTCTTCAACTTGCAAAATAGAATAATGAACATCTTTAAAAACATAAGGAACACTCCTTGATCTGCAAAAAATAGATTTTTTAGTTCTTTTTAGATAAAAATATTACAATAAGCGTTGCATCAAAGTATTACAACCGAAATCGTACTTCGTTTTCACAATTTCGGATCTTAAAAAAAAATAAGGGTGGCCCGTTTTTCGCGAGTGTAATTACGTTTTTTTCGTAATCTACATCATAAAGAGTTTTTTTATAACGTACTGAACAGTTAATCCCCCATTTTCCAGACACCCGGTATAGGAATTTATCAAATAACTGCTTTTAGGAAATATTGAGTCGCTTATATTCGAAACTACCACACGATTCAGATTGAATTAATTGCTTCTTAAAACTGTCGAGAAAAAACTCCACAACAAAATTTTGTTATATTATAAGATCATTCAAATTTTGTACTACTGCGTTTAATAAGTATAGTTACTACCAATTGTGTTAAGTTCAGGTAAATAAAACCCACATTTAGCTGAATATTTTTATTAAATTGTATTTCTTCCAAGCAACGGTTAATAAAAAAATAAGCTCGCATGAAATAATAAGCATTCCAGATTTATGTTAGTTAACAACAAAATAAGCTGACTCGAAACCAGATGAACACTGAAACCCTAACCAAAAAACTATTAAAAACACTGTTCTTCTTATTTCTCAAAGCCAAACATATTCTGAGCAATCGTATTGTTAGCTGGTCTTTTACTTTCATCCACCATCAGTTGGTCATGCCAATCAAAGAAAGCACCATTTTTCAGCAACTCCCTTTTGTTGTTCTCTGAAACCCAAAGTCAATTATTTCCACAACCCCGACACAATTCTTACCATGCAACACAGCTGCTGGTTCTAGAAGACCCCCACAATCCTTAGGCAAACATTCCTTGGGCACAACCTTCAACAAGTCGTCAAAAGATTTGTGGGCCTTCACTAAAGGCAAAAGCGCCTTGAGAGCAGCAGATTCAAAAACAGCAAAAATTTCATCGCTCTTTGGGTTCGAGTTAAAGAAATGTAGCCCTTTGATTTGTATCGTGGGGAGAACTTCGTAGTCGTAGTAGAAAAATTTCTTGAAAAGGCCGTACTCCATTTTGGACACGAAAGATTCAGGGAAGTGTTTAAGGTCGTGGACCATTATGTGGCCATTTGGTGGTCCGTTTTGGTACACGTCCAACATACAAACCGAATGAACATATTTCATGAATAATTCGACTTTGTAGTTAGTCATGTTATCGTTTAAAGGTTGGACGAAAATTATAGTGTAGCCCTCGGGGGTTCTCTTGGGTAGGGTCATCATTATCCTGAGTGAACACTGTTTGATACTAATTTACACAAATGAGTACACTTACATCGTGTCAAAAATTCCTTGTTGTTGTGGATATTTTGCGTAATTTCTTTCCAGGAATACGTCAGGCCATAGGCGTTTCAAAGTGAAGTAAGTGTCAACTACAGTTTGAGAGTGGACAAGGCGATAGTCACATTTTTTTAGAAATAGAATGGCCTCAAAGTCTGACAATGATTTATTTTATTAGTACTTTTATTTAGTAAAATGGCTCACTTACCGCCAATGTTTGGCAAATGGGGTTGGTTTTCGACCCACTTGACCAGAGCTTTGACATCTTTTTCTTTAAGTTTTTTGTCTTCGGCGTATATCGTCTTAATGTCAACTAAATTAAGTGCCATTTTGTTTTAACTCAGATACTAGTTTTTTCGAAATGTGTTAGTTTCTGGGCGAAGAGCACAGAAAAATTTCTTTTATATACTTAGTTTGAGCGATAATAGAAGTTGGTAGGGTCATCTCAATAAAAAAATGCATAACAGAGTTATTTATATAATTAATAAAAATGATATTGTTCTCTCATTATCAACGTAAGGAATCCGTAAATATTTGTCGGCTTGAAGAACTTTATTTTAAGTACCTACTTACACATTATTTTTTTCATAGCTAAGATAATTTTTAAAATTTTAATGTTGTCATAAATCACTCACTTTTTTTATTGGTTTCCAGTAATAACTGATAATTCCGCTATAGCAACAATGATGTAAAACAATTTAACATAAAATAAAAAAACTTTGTTTATTATAGCAAAATACACAATTATTGGATTATTTTTCAAATCCAAACATATTCTGGGCAATCACGTTCTTAGCAGGTCTCTTACGCTCGTCCACCACTAGTTGATCACTCCAGTCAAAGAAGGCACCATTCTTCAACAACTCTCTTTTACTTTTCTCTAGAAGAACCACCCAAAAATATTAACATCCACAGTCTAAACTTAACTCACAATGTAAAACACTCGATGGTTCTAACAAACCACCATAATCTTGAGGCAAACATTCTCTTGGAACGTACTTCACCAAACCATCAATCGACTTGTGGGCTAACAATAAAGGCAAAAGCGACTTCAATGAAGCACTTTCCAAAACCGCCATAATTTCATCCATCTTTGGATTCGTATTTACAAGATGTAGCCCTTTTACTTGCATCGTTGGTACGAATTCGTGATGATAGTAGAAAAATTTCTTGAAAAGACCAAACTCTAATTTGGGCACGTAGGAAGCAGGGAAAGGTTGTATGTCTTGGACGATTACGTGCCCATTGGGTGGACCATTTTGGTACACCTCCAACATAGAAACCATGTGGGCATATTTGAAGAAGGTTTCGAGTGGGTAATTAATCATATTTTCGCTCAAAGCTTTCATAAAGAAGATGGTGTAGCCCTCGGGGGTTCTTTTAGGTAGAGTCATCATTATCCTATAATACAGTGTATAGGGTTTGATAGGGTTTACAAAATTTGGTGACTTACATTGTGTCAAGAATGCCTTGAAGCTGTGGCGAATTGGCAAAATTCAGTGCAAGAAATACCTCAGGCCATAAAATTTTCGAGGTGAAAAATGTATCAATCACGATCTGGGTATGCAAGAGACGATAGTGACATTTTCGCAGAAAAAGAATCACTTCGAAATCTGGAAAATGGGTGATTTGGTGGTAGCACGTTTGTGGCAAAGTGTCTAAACTTACCACCAATGTTAGGCAAATGTGGTTGGCTTTGGACCCATTTGACAACGGTTTTGACGTCTTTTTCTTTAAGGTTTTTGTCTTCACCGTATATAGTTTTGACATCTACTAAATTAAAAGCCATTTCGACTTTTGGTCTAAATTGTGGACTTAATTTAGTTACTCAGATAAGGAACGTTTTGATGTTAGTTTCAAATTCGACTCGTATTTATATAGTTTTAGTGATAATCGAAACATACAATTTTTTTAATATTGTTGATACATTCAACTAATTAAAACCAGGTTCTTTATCGATTCTAGGCTCCAGCTCGTGACCCTAGTATCGAAAGAGTGAAAACATGCAGATACATCGTATCTTAATCTCACGTCAATAGCGCTTAAAATAAATCTTTGTTTTTTCAAAATTGGTAAAAGAAGATACATCTTGTCCTTATCGACTTGCAATATTTTCATCAATGTTGTCTTGAAGTTTTGATTATCTCCTAGTTGTCAGAATTCTGGTCTACACTTATGTAATTCTGATAATATATGTATTATCTTTTGTTGTGTTAACCCTTACCGAACTCATATATTTATTTCTACAGTTTAGGATAATTTTTCTTAATAACTTGTAAATACAAACATTTTTTGTACTCTTTATTTCACCATATTTAATTTCAACAAAACTACAACAAGTACCAATTTTTCCAGATATGTATCCCTAGGAACAACTCAAACTAGAGACATTTTCCCAGTTTGACTATTTTTCAAATCCAAACATATTCTGAGCAATCGTGTTGTTAGCTGGTCTCTTACTCTCATCAACCGTCAACTGATCTTGCCACTCAAAGAAGGCACCGTTCTTCAACAACTCGCTTTTGCTCTTCTCTGCAAAAAAACAAAACTGAAGATTCAAAATCACACCAGAATTAGTTCTCACCATGCAAAGCATCTGAAGCATCTAACAAACCACCATAATCCTGAGGCAAGCACTCCTTGGGAATATGCTTCACCAAATCGTCAACCGACTCATGAGGAATCACTAAAGGCAAAAGCGACTTCAAAGCAGCAGATTCCAAAACCCCAACAATATCATCTTTCTTCGGGTTCGAGTTAAAAAAGTGCATCCCTTTTATTTGTATGGTCGGCAGGACTTCGTAGTCGTAGTAGAAAAATTTCTTAAAAGGTCCATATTCCATTTTAGGGACGAAACTTGCCGGGAAAGGTTGAAGGTCTTGGACGATGATGTGCCCGTTCGGTGGTCCATTTTGGTACACGTCCAACATACAAACTAAATGCACGTATTTGAAGAAAGTTTCGAGTTTGTAGTTGACCATTTTGTCGCTCAAAGCTTTCATAAAAATTATGGTGGAGCCTTCAGGAGTTCTCTTAGGAAGGGTCATGATTATCCTGGAGAGAACAGTGTTTGACAAAATTAGCAACTAGGGTAACTTACATCGTGTCAAGGATTCCTTGTTGTTGGGGAGACTTTGCCCAATTCCTGTCCTGGAATACGTCAGGCCACAGGTTTTTCAAAGTGAAGTAGGTGTCGATCACGGTTTGAGAATGGATGAGGCGATAATCGCATTTTTTCAAAAAAAGGATAGCCTCGAAATCTAAGAAACGATTTAATTTATAAACTTGCTGTTGACATTGAAGTTCCTGTTGCAGTTGCATGTTCTAAGTTTCTTGTTGTCGAAATAAGTCTACACACATGAAGAAAAAAAAAGACAAAAGGTAGCCCCGCCCACCCGCCCTATCTCAATTGTGATGATTTTTTTTATTCGTCGTGAGTCAAGAAGGCGGAGCTTAACTGCAAAATCCTTATTTCTCTCTCGATGACTACGTATATTAAGAAACAAGGCAAAATATAAGCCCCACCCACCCACCCTATCGCAATTGTGATGATTTTTTTTTAATTGTCGAAAGCCAAAGGAGCGAAATTTAATTGCAAAATCCTTATTATTTCTCTAGAAGAAATTACCATGTAAATCATATTTCTGAGTATCGTGTTATTCAAAAAATAACAATTATATAATGTTATTAAGAAAAAACTAAAGCCAAAGAAAAGCCGCATCCATACCTGCCGTGATCTACATAGTACCGAAGTTTTCATTCGTTGGCAGATCTAGGGGCGGAGCCTAATTGCCAAATCCACATTTCCTTACAAAATTTGACTATTTTAAACGTGTTTTAAGTTTCTCAGAATAAAAAAAATCATCACAATTCAGAAGGGAGGAGTTTATATTTTGCCTTTTTTTCTTAATATACATAGTATTCTTTGAACAACACAATACTCAAAAGCATGTTTTTAACTTCTTGTAAAGAAATAAGTATTTTGCAGTTAAGCTCCGCCCCTTTGGTTCACGGCCAATGAAAAAAAACATCACAATTGGGATAGGGCGGGTGGGGGGGCTTGCATTTTGCCTTTTTGTTTTAATATGTGTAGACTTCTTTTCACAACAGGAAACTTAAAACATGTTTAAAATGGAAAATTTGTATAACGAAATATTAAAATATTTCCTTGCAAAAATGTACCATGTTTTAAGTTTCTTGTTGTGAAAAGATGGCTATGTATATTACGAAAAAAGGCAAAATATAAGCCCCGCCCACCCGCCCTGTCTCAATTCTGATAATTTTTTTTATTCGTCGTAAGCCGAGGGGCGGAGACTAATTGTAAAATCCTTATTTTTCTACGAGAAATGACTAAATATATTCTTAAGTAATGTTTGGCTTTATTATTTTTTTTTTTCTTTATATACATAGTATTCTTTGAACAACACAATTCTTACTCAAAATTTACCAAAAAAATGTCCCCCCCTGGCCCCCTTCAATGGATTATCGCAATTTGATTGGTTGAAAATCCAAAGTCAACGGCAACGTAACGGCGAAAGTTAAAAGTTGGTCATCTCGAAAAACGTTTACGTTTTGGAAACACTGTGTTCTATTTTGTATGAATTTTTTTTTATATTTTTAGGGACAATTTTTGTGGTTGTTTTCGATACACTGTATGATATTAACAGTGAGAAAAAAAATAAACAATTAAAATAATCGAAAATTCGAAAAATCGAGAAATCTAATAATCGAAAAATCGAAACCTTAAAAAATCGTAAAACCGAAACATTGAAAAATTGAAATATCGAAGAACTGAAAATCGAAAAAATGTAAAATTTAAAAATCGAATAACGAAAAATCGAGAAATCGAAACTCCCAAATTTAAAAAATCGGATAACTGAAAAAACGAAACATCGAAAAAGTGGAAAATCGAAAAACTGAGAAATCGACAAATCAAAAGATCAAGAAATCGTGGAGTCGAAAAGTTTAACAATTGGGAAACCGAAATAGATCAAAATCGAAAAATCGAAAAGTCAAAAATTGAACAATTTATAAATTGAGAAATTGACAATCAAAATATTGAAAAATCCAAATCTGGTTAAATCGAGAAATCAAAAAACTTAAAAATTCGAAAAATTGAAAAATTGGGAGATTGAAAGATCCAAAGAACGAGAAATCGAAAAGTGATGAAGTCGAAAAATCGAAAAATAGAGAAATTGACAAACAAAAAGTTAAAAGTTGAAAAATCAAAAAACGAAAAAATGGAAAATTGGAAAAACTGAGAAACCGAAATAGGCCAAAATAAAAAATTGAAAAAATGATACATCGAAAACCTGAACAATCAAATCTCGATAAATCGGGAATGAAATATTGAAAAATAGAACATCTAAAACCAGTAAGTCGAAAAATAGAAAGATTAAGAAATATTGAAAAATTAAAATATCAAAAGATTGAAAAATCTAAATTGTAAAAATCCAAAAATTGAAAAATCGAAAAAGTAAAAAGGTAGACACATCGAAAAACCCATAAGTGAAAAATAGAAAAGCCGAAGAATTGAAATACATATTGAAAAATCCTAAAATTGAAATATCCAAAAACTGAAAAATCGGAAACTCAAAAAAATGAAGTCGAAAAATAGAAACCTAAAAAAAATCGAAAAATTGAAAAATTAAAAACCTGAAAAATCAAAAAATTAAAGAACTGAAGAACAGGAAAATCGAAACACTCGAAGGTCAAGAAATGGAAAAATCAAAACATCGATTAATTGAAAAATCGAAAAATTGAAAGTTTATAAAAGTCAAATTTGAAAAATTAAAACATCGAAAATTTGACAAAATGACAATTGAAAAACAGAAAATCTAAAACCGGGTAGTCGGAAAATCAAAAGATTAAGAAATCGAAACATTTGAAAAATTCTAAAACTTGAAAAATTGAAATATCGAAGAACTGAAATGAAAAATCGAGAAATCGAAAAATCTAAAATTTTAAAAATTAAAAAATCTAAAATTTAAAAATTGAAAAATCGAAAAAGTAAAAAATCGACACATCGAAAAATCCAGGAGTCAAAAATCGAAAAGTCAAAGAATATAAATATTGAGAAATCCCAAAACTGAAACATCGAAAAACTGAAAAATGAAAGAAAAACTAAAAATGGGAAACTAAATCGGGAAATCAAAACATTGAGAAATCGAAAAATTTAAAACGACAATTGAAAACAAAAAATCTAAAACCGGAAAGTCGAAAAATCGATTGATTAAGGAATCAAAACATTTGAAAATTTGAAAAACTGAAATGTCGAAGAACTGAAATGAAAAATCGAGAAATCGAAAAATCTAAAATTTTAAATATTGAAAAATTAAATATACCAAAAAATTGAGAAATCTAAAATTTAAAAATCGAAAAAGTCGACACATCGAAAGATCCAGAAGTCAAAAATGGAAAAGTCCAAGAATAGAAATATTGAAAAATCCCAAAACTGAAATATCAAAAAACTGAAAAATGAAAGAAAAACTGACGAATCAAAAAACTGAAAAATCCCAAAACTGAAATACATATCCAAAAACTGAGAATGTAAAGAATCAAAAAATTAAGAAAACGAAAAATTAAAAAAGTGAAGTCGAAATATCGAAACCTTAAAAAAATCGAAAAATTGAAAAATGAAAAACCTGCAAAATCGTAAGATCGAAAGTAAATAGACTGAAAAATCCCAAAACTGAAATATCGAAAAACTGAAAAATGAAAGAAAAACTAAAAATGGGAAACTAAATCAGGAAATCAAAACATTGAGAAATCGAAAAATTTAAAACGACAATTGAAAACATAAAATCTAAAACCGGGAAGTCGAAAAATCGATTGATTAAGAAATCAAAACATTCGAAAACTTGAAAAACTGAAATGTCGAAGAGCTGAAATGAAAAATGGAGAAATCGAAAAATCTAAAATTTTCAATGTTGAAAAATTAAAATACCAAAAAACTGAGAAATCTAAAATTTAAAAATCGAAAAAGTAAAAAGTCGACACATCGAAAAATCCAGAAGTCAAAAATGGAAAAGTCGAAGAATAGAAATATTGAAAAATCCCAAAACTGAAATATCAAAAAAATGAAAAATGAAAGAAAAACTGAAAAATCCCAAAACTGAAATACATATACAAAAACTAAGAATGTAAAGAATCAAAAAATTAAGAAACCGAAAAATTGAAAAATCAAAAACCTGCAAAATCGTAAGATCGAAAGTAAATAGACTGAAAAATCCCAAAACTGAAATTTCCAAAAACTGAGAATTTAAAAAATTGAAAAATTGAGAAATCGAAAAAATAGAAAAATTGAAGAACCAAAAAATCTGAAAAATCAATTAATTGAAAAATCGAAATACTTAAAAATCGTAAAATTGAAGAGAAAAACTGGAAACCCAGAAATTTCGAAAAACTGAGAATTCGAAAGTTGAAACAGCAGAAATGATGGTCGAAACCGGTTAGAATGTGTATCAGATCACGGATCATGGCTTATAAATCAAATCGTTTCCGAACGCTTAGAGTCGACATTGGCCTGAGTGGGCTCTGGTCTGTAGATCACACAAGTTCTCAGACGACGAACTGGAATTCGTGTGACCTGAATTAAAATGAAGGAAACAGTAAGCAGCTTGTAATATTCTGGTAAATCTAGTGTCAATTTCATACCTTCGCTGCGTATTTATCTTATAATAAGTTTATATACTAAACTCACTTGACAATCTTGACATACACCTGTAAAACTTTTATGACTTAAGCGGGTTATGCCAAAGCACCCTTATAAGTCACATTGGTTATTATAAGCTTTATGGACCCGAATCGCAAGGATTATTACTATCCATTGTTTGGTGATTTGTCTTAAGCCGCTGAAGTCATAAAAGTTTTACAAGGTGTATGTCAAGTGAGTTTAGTATATGGTGTAAAACTAAGTATATTTGTTAGAAAATCTGTACACTTACCACCAATGTTGGGCAAATGGGGTTGGTCTTGAACCCATTTGACAAGGGCTTTGACGTCCTTTTCTTTCAGCTTTTTGTCTTCGGCATATATAGCTTTAACATCGACCAAATTAAGTGCCATTTTGGTACGACAGTTTCAGAAATGTTAGTCGGTTTGGGAACGTGGTAGAATATGATTCCAAAAAGGATTACCACTTATATAGTTCCACCGATAAGTGCGTCATCTTCATGACTAAGTAACATTATTTATATAATTAATATAAAAAACGAGATTTTATAATTTTTTTATATTGAAAAACACAACGTCGGCTTTAGTTTAAGGATTTGCGAGGGTTTTTTCTGCAATATTGACAAACTCATAAATACGTTTTTGTTTATTTAACAGAATATAAGTAGATACAACGATAATTACAACGACTAAGATAAAAAATTGATCACTTGATAATACACTTAAACAATGTTTACGTAGATAGGTTTTATCGTTTGTTATAAACTTAAAGTGTGTTTTAACATTATTTAGCAAATCCAAACATGTCCTGAACGATCGTGTTATAGGCTGGTCTCTTGCTCTCATCCACTACTAGTTGATCTTGCCAGTCAAAAAAGGCGCCATTTTTCAATAACTCGTTTTTGCTTTTTTCTGAAAACAACAGTCAAAATTACTATCTTCAAAATTACCACACAGTTCTTACCATGCAAAACAGCTGCTGGTTCCAACAAACCACCATAATCTTCCGGTAAGCACTCTTTAGGGACGTACTTCATCAAATCGTCAATGGATTTGTGGGTGATGACGAAAGGCAAAAGCGACTTAAGAGAAGCAGCTTCCATAACACCTATGATTTCATCCATTCTCGGATTGGTGTTGATAGTATGTAGTGCTTTTGTGTGCATCGTCGGTATAACTTCGTAATCATAGTAGTAATATTTCTTAAAAGTCTTATACTCCATTTTGGGTACGTAACACTCCGGAAAAGGTTGAATATCGTGGATGAGTACGTGTCCGTTGGGTGGTCCGTTCTGATACACGTCCAACATACACACCATATTTATATATTTCATGAACGTTTCAAGCTTATAATTGATCATATTTTCGTTCAAAGCCTTCACAAAAATAACAGTGTAGCCCTCAGGTGTCCTCTTCGGGAGCGTCATCATTATCCTGAGCAACCAAAATTTGAAAATGTTTACAAAATTAAATTCACTCACATTGTGTCTAAAATTCCTTGTTCTGGGAATTTTGCAAAATTCCTTTCTGACCATACATCAGGCCATAGCCTTTTCAAAGTGAAGTATGTGTCGACTGTGGTTTGAGAATGAGCAAGCCTGTAGTCACACTTTCTCAGAAATAGAATCGCCTCGAAATCTGGAAAAGGTAATGTTTACCATAGTTATAGCAGAAAAGTGGGGTTACCGCCAATGTTGGGCAAATGTGGTTGGTTTTGAACCCACTTGACGAGAGCTTTGACGTCTTGTTCTTTGAGGTTTTTGTCTTGGGTGTATATGGCTTCAACATCGACTAAATTGAATGCCATTTTGGGGATATTAGAAGCGAGAAAGTTTTCTATAAATGTGTTAGTCTTGTGTGGATGGGTCAGAAGAAGAGTCTAAAAAGATAAAAGTTCTCGTTTATATAATTCAGGCGATAGTGGAAGTGAAGGGGGTCATAGTGATAAAAATTCACAACTTATTAACTGTACTGCAACAACACTGTTGTATATTTTTTATTGTTTGCACTAGATGCAAAAAATGTAAACATTGTTATAGTTTTTATATTATTCGTATCAAAATTAGTATACACAACAGTCAAGGATAGACGGTACCAAATATTAGTCATACATGTACTATGTACTTAAAACAATTTTTATGCAATTAATTATGAAACTAATTAAATACATTTGTTTTAATGCAGATAATGCAAGACCTCATTACGTGACCTTTCTGTTATTTTTTATAAGATAAATATAGTTATTTACGTTTCGCAACATTCGAGTTCAATATTTTTTTTATTTGGGCGTAGCACCTAAAGATTTTGATTTTGATTGATTTGATTCAAAACAAGATAAAAGAAGAGGCAACAAAAGAGAAAAATAAAGGAAAAATGGTTAGAATGGGATACAAAAAGTTAACTGTAGACGGCAGAAATTTTAAACGAAATGAAGAAGAGGGGAGACTTAAGAAGGCAGAAAATTTTTAGAAAGAGCCAAAAGAAAAGGAAGAAAACGGGGAAAACGGGAAACAAACAAGACAAAGGAATAAAGGATGCAGATAGGGAAATCGGAAAAAGGGAAGCTGGTACAAAATTAGGAGAAAAAGGGGTGAAGGTACTGTTCTGGAATGTCCAAGGGTTGCGAAAAAAGGAAAAGGAGTTCTGGGACTACGTGGGAAAATTTGACGTTGTGGGGCTAGTAGAGACTTGGGTACAAAGAGAAAACTGGGAGAAATTGGAAGAGACACTACCACAAGAATATGTGTGGGAGTGTCAAGGGGCGACAAAGGAAAAAAAAAGGGGAGAGCAAGCGAGGGAATAGTAATGGGAATTCGAAAAGAAATGCAAGAATTGGAAAAGGGAAGTAATAATAAAAACGGACTAATGAAGAAAGTAATACAGCTGGATAACAATCGATGGGAAATAATAGCCGTTTATAACAAGAAAATGGAGGAAACCAAGATAAACATAGAAAAGGAAACAAAAGAAAAAGGAGATGAAAAAATACTTATAGGGGGGGATTTTAACGCAAGATTGGGCGATAAGGGGACAAGAATAATAAATAAAGAAAAGGGAGAGAAAAGAGGATCAAAAGATAGAGCAAATAACAAAGAAGGGAAAATATTGTGGCAGATAATAGAAGAAATGGGATGGGAAATTTTGAATGGAAACAAGGAAGGAGATGAAGAAGGAGAATGGACGTACGTAGGGGCGAGGGGAGAATCAATTATAGACTATAGGATTGTCAACAGAGAGGCGTGGGAAGAAATAGAGAGTTTCAAAGTGGGGGAAACGGCACAATCAGACCACATGCCTCTAGAAATAAAAATCAAAGGAAAAGAGCAAGAATACGAAAAACAAGAGAGAAGAGGGAATTCAAAGATACAGAAGTAGACTAGAAAAAAAGAAATTCAAAGTAAAAGAATATATAGAAGCTATGATGGTGAAACTGAGCAACCTAATTGTAGAAGCTACGGAAAAAAGAAAGATATACATATGGCAAGGGAGGAATAATGGATGGAACGGAGTATGTAGTGAGTTGAAGAGAAAAGCAAGGGAAAAATTTAAAAAAATGGAAGAATAACAAGGGAAGGAAAGAAGAGTACCTAAAAGCAAGAGAGAATTATAGGAGAAAATGGGAAGAAAGAAAAAGAGAGAAACGAGAAGAAGAAGAGAAGATAATAAAGTCCCTGAAAACAGAAGAGCAAGTATGGAGATATATAAACAAGGAACGGAGAAGGAAGACTGAGATCAGCGGGAAAATCAAAATACATGAATGGAAAACACACTTTATGGAATTATTGGGAGGTTGTGAGGAAAAATGCTGCAAAATAAATAAAGGAATCACAACGACGGAAGAAATGTGGAGAGGTTCGGAAATAACAAAAGATGAAATAGGAAGACAGATTAAAAGACTGAAAAGAGGAAAGGCACCAGGAGAGGATGGAATCCAGAACGAAGCGTGGATGTTCGGGACAGAAGAAGTGAAAGAAAAGATATGGGAAGTGGTAAATGGAGTTTGGAAGGGAAAAGGGTTTCCTCGGCAGTGGAGGGAAGGTATAATAATCCCATTATTTAAAAAGGGGCAAAAAAGTGATGTGAAGAACTACTGAGGGATTACCTTGCTCAATACGGCGTACAAGATATATGCAATGATACTCGATGAGAGGTTACGAAAGGTGATGGAAGCAAGGGGTATGTTACCAGACGGTCAACGAATGTAGGCATTGTTCATAGATTTCAAAACAGCGTTTGATAGCGTGAATAGAGAGAATATGTGGGAGTATTTGAGAAGAAAGGGAGTAGATGCATACTTGGTAACGAAAATGGAAGAAATATATGAAGAAACAGTAAATACGGTGAGAGTGAATGGAGTAGAGAGTGAGAGTTTTTATACAAATAGAGGAGTGAGACAAGGATGCCCACTCAACCCCGCATTGTTCGCAGCTTATCTAGGAGATATAGATGAAATGTTCAGAAAAGCACAGACAGGAGGGGTGGTAATGCGCAAAGAGAAATTGTGGTCGTTGGCGTATGCAGATGATTTGGTGATTGTGGCAAAGAAAAGAGAAGAAATGAAAGCAATGATTAAAAGTTTGGAGAAGTATGTAAAAAAAAGGAATTGGAAGTGAATGTGGAAAAAACAAAAATGGTGGTGTTTGGGAAGAAAGTAAGAAAGGAGAAGGAAGAGTGGGCATGGAGAGGGAAGAACATTGAACAGGTGAAAGAATTCCAGTACTTAGGATATAGATTAAAGAGCAATAACTCAGATAGAGCTCATATTCAAGAAATGGTCCAAAAAGCGAACAAAGTGATAGGAATAGTATGGGGAATAGGAGAGAGAAAATTAGGACATGATTATAAGAGAAGAATGATGATGTTTGATAGTTTGATCAAAAGTGTATTTATGTACGGAGCTGAGATTTGGGGATGGAGGGAATATGAAGAAATAGAGAGAGAGTGCAAGAAAAATACTTGAAATGGACATTGGGATTGGAAAAGTATACGCCGGGGTTAGAGTGAGAGAAGAAACAAAAAGGGAAAAAATGAGAGTGGAAGCGGGTAAAAGGGCGGTTGGATTTGAAGAGAAGTTCAGTGAGAGAGGTGATTGCAAGATATTGCAAGAAAGTTGGAAAGAAATAAGAAAGGAAGGGGGAAGACATGTTTGGAACGAAAGGGACAAGTATTATGAAGGAAAGGGATATGCATGTGAAGAAATAGAGAGAATGAGAGAAATGGAAATGAGTTTGAAAGAAGAACTGAGTGTAAGAGATAAGGATATAGATAAGCAAGAACGTAGATCGAGAATATTGGAGTCTAGATATAATGCAGACTATAGAAAAATAGTAAAGGATGAAGTACCAAAGTACACAGAGACAGAGAGTATAAAGGAGAAAAGAATGATGGCAAGATTTAGGTGTGGAAATGAAGAGAAAGAGAATAATTTTTGGATGGATGAAACTGACAGAAGATGTAGGATATGTTGGAGAGAGGGAGAAACAATAGAGCATATGCTGGAAGGATGTGAAGGATTGAGAGAATCGGAGGAAAGTAGAGAAGAAGTGCTAAACGAGGATGGAAGAGGACTGGACTGGATGAAAGAAGTATGGAAGATAAGGGAACTATGGCAAGGGGTGGGCAAGCAGAAAGAATAGAATATTTATTATATAACACTCAAATTCATATTTTATTTTATTTTATTTATTTTATTGTTATTGATTTATCTGATGTAGATTAAGTTAATTTGTACCCCTACTAGGAATATTATTAAGCCTGTAAGGCAAATAATACATTACTACTACTACCTAAAGATTTTGATTGTTATTTTTTAGTCTTCTTTAGAATATGGTCTGTTTTGCAGAACCATTCAAGCTTTTTCCGAATCGTTTGCTTTCATCGACAACTTGTTTGTCTTCCCGGTGGAAAATGTTAGCACTTCTTATTATCTTTTCTTTAATATTTTCTGTAATATAAAAAGTTAAAAGTAAATAGAGTCGCAATCATATTTTATACCATGTAATGTCTTTATGGTTTCGGCCGAACCACCACGATCAGACGGTAAGCAACTTTTCGGAATAAGTTTAGCCAGTTCGTCCAAATTCGTATGAACATAAAGCTAAAAAATGAACAGATATATAAACACATCTTGGAAAACACTAGTTACTAATACATTCGTCGTTTCCTCCTTGCAAGTTGCAACCAAATTCACCACTTCGTCTACAAATGGAATCTCTGTAAGAAGATGAACCCCCTTAAACTCCCATGGAATGACCTTTTGAACGTAATGTAAGAACTTCTTGAAAACCTCGTGGTCAATACTTTTCACAAATCCATACGGAACATCTTTCAAATCCACAAGCCACACGAATCCTGCAGATTTTCCTTGATGGTACAGGTGTGACGTTAAAACCATGTCTATATATTTAACGCAAGAAATGACATGGTAATGATCTGGATTAGGATCCAACGCTTTTGCGTAAAGTACAGTATAGCCTTCTGGAGTTTGGGCTGGAAGAGTTGTGTAAATGCTGCACAAACACGTTAGTAAATTTCTCGAGGGGTGCGTGGTTACTTACAAAGCGTTGAAAGTTCGTTGGAAGCGCTCATTTTCAAGATTTCTGCCCAGAAACACATCGGAGGCGGTTGTTTTAAAAGTGAAATACGCATCAACGGCCTTTTGGGCAGACTCGATGTCGTATTTTGATTTTTGGAGAAACAAAATTGCTTGTATTTCTGTAAAAAGCAATCTGGAATGGTTATGGTAACAATGAGTGATAATTGGTTCCTACCGCTGATTTCAGGTACGTGTTAAGTGATACTGGTTTTTTGTCCAGTTTAGGACTCTTTTGACGTCTTCCAGTTTTAAGTTTGGATCTCTAGCGTAGTGCCGGTTAGTATCCACTAACTCCATTTTTCAGGCGAATATTTCTAAAAAATTAGTTCTAGTTTAACGGATTTATTTTGGCCAAACTTCACGCTTAACCGTGATTAGATACAATAAATAATCTAAACAAATACTAACTTGTATTGTTTGAACATTTGAATTTATAACAGAAACGAAGAAAGACCAAATGTCAAGATCGTCTACTCTATTAAAATAAAAATACAAGAAGTTTAGTAGGAAATTTTAAAACCAGTTCTTTTTTAACTAAAATTCATAGAACACGAGTTTTACGCAAATTGCGTACAAATAAAATGTAGTGGTTAAATATAGTGAAGAATTTTGAGTGAAGTGGCAGCAATTTAAAACTAACAAAATTTTCTTATCTTCTAAACTCACTCATAATCAAGTTTTCAAAGTTTATTTGCAGTACTTTATTGACAAGATTCTTATTCAAACGGCATCCTTGAATAAATATTGCTAAAACCAGCAGGACTAGGAATTATGTAAAACTTTTTGTTAATTATCTCACATAGCAACAAACAGCGCATATATTCAAAAAGTGGGGAAGAGGGGGCTGTTCAGAATAGATTCTCTTTTTTGGGTTGTACCAAAAAATTTTATTTCACATAAGAACTCTCGTCATTGTGTTGATAACGCAGTGATAACAAGCGCAATATGCAATAGCGCAATTAATGTCAATAAACTGAAGAAGTCGATAAACTTAATTTATCAAAGGAGATTTCTTGCTCACAGTTCAGTTAGAACGGTCAATGCAGGTAGCCCAAAAAAGGGCACAAAAATTGCTGGATTGGTGCCTGTTGAGGTATAGGTTGAGGTGTGATGGGTTCACCAATCGAAATGTTGGTTGCCTAATTTTACACAGTTTTCAATCATATCCGTGTTTTTCCATTTACCTACAGTTTTTATACTTTATTTAATTAAGGTTTTAAATGAGAAATTGTATACACATAAAGGACGAACGTAAAGACGACTAAAGAAAAATGTATTGAATTATTATCAACATGTAAATTTTGATATAGGCAACTTACAATACAAGGGAGTAAAAATCAACCCACTTTTTCGATTTTCCGATTACCTAATTTAAATCAAATTTATAAAATGTGTGATTTACTTTTATCTAGCCTAGATTTCATTCGGTACAAAGTACTCAGTACTTGAAGTCTTGAGTTTCAAGTCACTAACCATTCATATGACGCGCCAATCTCAAACACCTCGTTGGGGAATTTTGTGTCCACACACTTTACAGTTGGCTACAACTTCAACATTTGTGTTTGTGACTGGTATGAAAAGTTCGTTACTGTCGTGTAAAAATTGTCAATCTTTTAAACTTTAATAAGTGTTTGCATTTTAATTAAACAGTTGTTTTATTGTGGTGTTTAAGTTAACGTTTCAATCGTAAGTTAAAGAGACTTTTAATTGTCATGAACTTTTAAACACGACACTGATTTTTGCATTTTTTTCAGATGCCCCGGACCAAAGCAGTTAAAAAAAAGCCCGCAGAAAAGACCAGCAAGTTTGCCCAAACATATTTACCCATTGTTGAAAACTATAGTCAGAACTTTGGCTTAAAAGTGGTGTTTGTTACTAATTTATTTGTTCTAGGACAACAAACTATACTTAAAATGGAACAAGAAATGGATAGCTTCCTCTCGCAAGTACATACTCAGCTGATGAAATCACAAATGTCGATCCCAGCAAAACTGGCTAATAAAACTATAGGAGAAGTGGTACGTGTCATTCTCCTGCTATTTGCTCGTAACTATTGAACTTATTTAGAAGGAACTTCCGCTGGATTGGTCTGCTAATAGCACAAGCGCTTCAATTGTACAAATCTTAGATGTTACAAAAACACGTACTGAAAAGAAAAAAAGAGTCTTACGGAGCTCGTCATGTTGTGAAGATGAAGGTATACAATTTCATTCCAACTTGTTTGAATCACAAACAGAAAGCTTTTCTATTCACACTTAAATTTATTTTATTATTCATACTAACACTTGTCATTAGTACTGTTATAAAGCAACTGCTTTTTTGTTTAAACAAATCCAAGCGCTTTTAGACTGTAAATAACTAATATCACATTATCATCTAATCTGGGCTGGGGCTTACTTAGGGTACCTTACCACAGAGAGTAGTAAAAGTACTTCAGGTGGTAGGCAATCAAGGGCGCGAAGTCGCATTCAGAAAACACTACGTGTTTCTCGATCTGCATCGACGCGACAAGCCAACAGGACAATAAAATCAGACGAGCGATTCAAGACTCCCGCTAACAAGATTGTGCCAGCGACTTTTGGTACAGTCACGCCAAAGGTAACAAATTTTGATTGTTGGAGTGTGTGCAATAAATGAAATTCGTAGATGAAACCCAACACGCCGCAGGTGCTGTTACGGCGGCCCAAATTGGGCGAAGTCGCCTTATCTATGCAAGGAAGTCCACTACTAACGGGAGCCGTCATGACTGATAACGTTGCTAATATTAATATACCGCTGGACGATGGGCGACTTTTGTCGATTCAACCCAAACGAGGATTGCGGATTTCACAAATACCAGAACTGGATATCGAGACCAAACGCCAGCTCGAGACTTTACGAGATAACTTGAATAAAATGTGTGCGTTATCAGGTAAACGATAACATTGGTAGTGGTTTTATTATAATTTTTTCAGTCGTATTATACTTTTAACAGTTAAAGTTTTTACTGTGGTTGTTTCATTGAAATAATTATTATACTTTTAAAAGTTAGTTACAATTTTTACTGTGGTTGTTTCACTGAAGTAAACCCCAAGATTTGTACCATTTATTTTGATTATACATTAATTGGAAACTTCATGTATTATTGATTATTGCCTCAATGTGATGCTCAATGTCCTTGATGAACTGTTCCGGGATTTGCTTATTCCTGAAACAAGTCTATAAACCCTGGTGTGTAAAGTAGTAGTAAAATACCTCAGCTCCTCGATTTTTCTTTTCAAGTGCTCCTTAAAGTATTGATCTTTCTTTAGTTGATCATATTGCTGCAAATTCGCCTCCTCGTATTTCTCCTTCTGCATCATAATCCTTTCTCACATCCTAGGTTCTATTAGTTTCTATTCTCACTCCACAGAAGAACACAAATGTTAAAATCAAATTTCAGATGAATATCCACTTGACGATAAATTTGCAAAAAACTGCACAAAAACTTCGTCAAGTCTTATCAGAAAATAGGTAGGTACCTCTTCATTGTTAGAAATTAATCGTAATTATTTTTATTTATTTGTGTTTAGTAATTTTTTAATTTTTATAAATTATTGTACATTTTACCATATCAGTTTTTCAAAAATGCTAATAAAAATTTGGATTTAAAAAAAATTGTTTTCTAATTTCTCGAATTATTTGGTACGGCCTGGCCGTCCCTGACGAGCCGTCGCTAAGGTACAGTTATTTTTTTTAAGTCCAATGTCGCAATTTCTTACAAAAATACAGGTTACAACGTGTCTGGTGATTTTTTAGGGAAAAACAAATTAAAAACAGAAAATGACGAATTGTCTTGTAAAACCTGTGGGAAAATTGTAAGTATAAATTATTATTAATGCTGCACAATTCAAATGGGAAAACTAGTTGTGAAAATAATCCATAAAGGATACTGCAAAAAAACTTCGGCGACAGCTTTTTGTGCAGGTGGCTGCCTGACTGCAAGTCATTAATTAGTGGAACGCCCAGAGGTGGTCAATTTTGCATTTTGCACAATCTTGAGATCATATATGTCAACAAACGGTCAGTCGAAGGCGAAATCGTATTTTTGTAATAATAACCAAATTAAAAATAAATTTTATTTTCCCTTATATTTAGGCCAGACATTTTAAATATATTTAAAGAACTTTATCAATTTTTCCCTTTTAATGTTGTCGACCATTTTCGAAAATTAGCTAGACATTTAGTTTTAAATTTCGACATCCAAAGGCATTTTTACCTTCATTTCTTCCAAAATTTCTTTCAAAAATCGTCAACTGAAATATAGCAATTTTTACAGTTCCATCAAAGTAGCTTGGCATGAAATTTTCGTAGATAAAAAAGGAAGTTATTAATTTTTGTTTCACACAGTACAGTTATTTTAAGGGTGTACTTTGTAGTTTTAATTCAGCTCGAGACTACGAGATAACTTGAATAAAATGTGTGCGTTATCAGGTATACGATACATTGGTAGTGATTTTATTATAATTTTGTCAGTCGTATTATACTTTTAACAGTTAAAGTTTTTACTGTGTCATTGAAATAATTATTATACTTTTAAAAGTTACAGTTACAATTTTTACTGTCGTTTCACTGAAATAAACCCCAAGATTTGTACCATTTATTTTGATTATAAATTAATTGGAAACTTCATGTATTATTGATTATGGCATCAATGTAATGCTCAATGTCCTTGATGTACTGTTCTGGGATTTGCTTATTACTGAAACAAGTTTCTATAACCCCTGGTGTGTAAAATAGTAGTAAAATACCTCAGTTCCTCGATTTTACTTTTTAAGTGCTCCTTAACGTATTGATCTTTCTTTAGTTGATCATATTTCTGCAAATTCGCCTCCTCGTATTTCTCCTTCTGCATCATAATCATTTCCCTCTCATTCTCGTCAATCTGCTTCAACAAATCCTAGTCGTTAAAATGAGAAGGGTGGGGGTGGGCGGGGCTAGTACTTGGTAAGATAAAACAGATTTTGGCAAATGACATACCCTCCAATAAAATACAGGGCGGATGGGCGGGGGTAGTATTTGCTAAGACAAAACTGTTTTAGCAAATCACATATCTTCCATGAAAATAGAGCGCGGGCGGGCGGGGCTAGCATGCATTTTATAAGATATGACTGATTTTGACACATTTCTGAAATTGAGATAGAGATCTTCTTGTAGATTTCGACATCCAGAATGAATTTCCGGCCTTGTTTTTTTGGAAATCCTTACCGTTTTTCCAGTATCGTCAATTGAAATATCACAATTTTTAAAATTTTTTACCGAAGTCATGTAAAGTGCACGAAGTAAGAAATAAATTTGATAGCAAATAGTTGTCTGGTGATTTTTTAGGGAAAACAAATTAAAAATAGAACATGACGAATTGTCTTGTAAAACCTGTGGGAAAATTGTAAGTATAAATTATTATTAATGCTGCACAATTGAAATGGGAAAACTAGTTGTGAAAATAATCCATAAAGGATACAGCAAACAAACTCCGGCGACAGCTTTTTGTGCACGTGGCTGCCTGGCTGCAAGTCATTAATTAGTGGAACGCCCAGAGGTGGTCAATTTTGCACTTTGCGCAATCTTGAGATCATATGCGTCAACAAACGGTCAGTCGAAGGCGAAATAGTATTTTTGTAATAATAACCAAATTAAAAACAAATTTTATTTTCCGTTACATTTAGGCCGACATTGTAAAATATATTTACAGAACTTTATCAATTTTTCCCTTTTAACGTTGTCGACCATTTTCGAAAATTACCTAGACATTTAATTTTAGATTTCGACATCCAAAGGCATTTTTAGCTTCGTTTCTTCGAAAATTTCCAAGGTTCTGTCAAAAATCGTCAACTGAAATATAGCAATTTTTACAGTTCCATCAAAGTAGCTTGGCATGAAATTTTCGTAGAAAAAAAAGGAAGTTATTAATTTTTGTTTCACAGAGTACAGTTATTTTAAGAGTGTACTTTGTATATAGTTTTAATTCTGGCCGAGAGTTTACGAGATAACTTGAATAAAATGTGTGCGTTATCAAGTAAACTTTAACATTGGTAGTGGTTTTATTATAATTTTTTCAGTCGTATTATACTTTTAGCAGTTAAAGTTATTACTGTGGTTGTTTCACTGAAGTAAACCCCAAGATTTGTACCATTTATTTTGATTATACATTAATTGGAAACTTCATGTAGGTATTATTGATTATGGCCTCAATGTGATGCTCAATGTCCTTGATGAACTGTTCTGAGATTTGCTTATTCCTGAAACCAGTTTCTATAAACCCTGGTGTGTAAAATAGTAATAAAATACCTCAGCTCTTCGATTTTACTTTTCAAGTGCTCCTTAACGTATCGATCTTTCTTTAGTGTTGATCATATTGCTGCAAATTCGCCTCCTCGTACTTCTCCTTCTGCATCATAATCCTTTCCCTCTCTTTCTCGTCAATCTGCTTCAACAAATCCTAGTCGTTAAAATGAGAAGGGTGGGGGTGGGCGGGGCTAGTACTTGGTAAGATAAAACTGATTTTGGCAAATGACATACCCTCCAATAAAATACAGGGCGGGTGGGCGGGGGTAGTATTTGCTAAGACAAAACTGTTTTTAGCAAATCACATATCTTCCATGAAAATAGAGCGCGGGCGGGCGGGGCTAGCATGCATTTTATAAGATATGACTGTTTTTGACACATTTCTGAAATTGAGATAGAGATCTTCTTGTAGATTTCGACATCCAGAATGAATTTCCGGCCTTGTTTTTTTGGAAATCCTTAGCGTTTTTCCAGTATCGTCAATTCAAATATGGCAATTTTTAAAAATTTTTACCGAAGTCATGTAAAGTGCACGAAATAAGAAATAAATTTGATAGCAAATAGTAAAAAAAGTTGCGAAGAGTGCCTTTTTTTTCTTTTTTCACATCCTAGGTTCTATTAGTTTCTATTCTCACTCCACAGAAGAACACAAATGTTAAAATCAAATTTCAGATGAACACCCACTTGACGATAAATTTGCAAAAAACTGCACAAAAACTTCGTCAAGTCTGTCACAAAATAGGGAGGTACCTCTTCATTGTTCGAAATTAATAGTAATTATTTTTATTTATTTGTGTTTATTAATTTTCTAATTTTTATAAATTATTGTACATTTTACCATATCAGTTTTTCAAAAATGCTAATAAAAATTTGGATTAAAAAAAACAATTGTTTTCTTAGAGACCTTAAAAGTTACAGCTAATGAAAATTATTACTGTAAAATAAAAGAACTGGTACGTACCTTACAAAAAACTAAAACTATGAGCGGTAAAAATTACATCCACACAACGTGTGAACATAAAATCGTCAGTACGACCAAACTATAAACTATATTCAGGTCACTTTTGCACCTTTATCTCAGGTTTAGCATTAAATTCTGAATGGTATAACTTCATCTTACCCAGATGGCACTAATAAGCAGAAATCATCAATGCGTACTCTTATACATATTCGCACTCTTGTACACATTTACCCTACCTCTTCATTGTTAGAAATTAATAGTAATTATTTTTATTTATTTGTGTTTATTAATTTTTTAATTTTTATAAATTATTGTACATTTTACCATGTCAGTTTTTCAAAAATGCTAATAAAAATTTGGATTTAAAAAAAAATTGTTTTCTTACTTCTCGAATTATTTGGTACGGCCTGGCCGTCGCTGGCGAGCCATCGCTGAGGTACAGTTGTTTTTTTTAAGTCCAATGTCGCAATTTCCTACAAAAATACAGGTGACAACGTGTCTGTTGATTTTTTAGGGAAAAACAAATTAAAAATAGAAAATGACGAATTGTCTTGTAAAACCTGTGGGAAAATTTAAGTTAAATTATTATTAATGCTACACAATTCAAATGGGAAAACTAGTTGTGAAAATAATCCATAAAGAATACTGCAAACAAACTCCGGGGACAGCTTTTTGTACAGGTGGCTGCCTGGCTGCAAGTCATTAATTAGTGGAACACCCAGAGGTGGTCAATTTTGCATTTTGCACAATCTTGAGATCATATGTGCCAACAAACGGTCAGTCGAAGGCGAAATCGTATTTTTGTAATAATAACCAAATTAAAAATAAATTTTATTTTCCGTTACATTTAGGCCAGACATTGTAAATTACTATTACAGAACTTTATCAATTTTTCCCTTTTAACGTTGTCGACCATTTTCGAAAATTAGCTAAACATTTAGTTTTAGATTTCGACATCCAAAGGCATTTTTAGCTTCGTTTCTTCGAAAATTTCCACCGTTCTTTCAAAAATCGTCAACTGAAATATAGCAATTTTTACAGTTCCATCAAAGTAGCTTGGCATGAAATTTTCGTAGATAAAAAAGGAAGTTATTAATTTTTGTTTCACAGAGTACAGTTATTTTAAGGGTGTACTTTGTAGTTTTAAGTCAGCTCGAGACTTTATAAGATATTATAATTTTTTCAGTCGTATTATACTTTTAACAGTTAAAGTTTTTGCTGTGGCTGTTTTATTGAAATAATTATTATACTTTTAAAAGTTACAGTTACAATTTTTACTGTGGTTGTTTCACTGAAGTAAACCCCAAGATTTGTACCATTTATTTTGATTATACATTAATTGAAAACTTCATGTATTATTGATTATTGCCTCAATGTGATGCTCAATGTCCTTGATGAACTGTTCTGGGATTTGCTTATTCCTGAAACAAGTCTCTATAAACCCTGGTGTGTAAAATAGTAGTAAAATACCTCAATTCTTCGATTTTACTTTTCAAGTGCTCCTTAACATATTGATCCTTCTTTAGTTGATCATATTGCTGTAAATTCGCCTCCTCGTACTTCTCCTTCTGCATAATAATCCTTTCCCTCTCTTTCTCGTCAATCTGCTTCAACAAATCTTTGCGATGTTGCTCCGCCATTTCCCTCTTCTTCTTCCTCTTCTCCATTTCCTTCTCCCACTCCTCTCGTTGCACTTTGGCCACCCTGTGAAAATCTTCTTCGTCTCTAGCCAACTCCAGTGCCGCCGCTCTTCTCAAATCGGTGATTTGCTTCTCTCTTTCGAGCTTCAATTGGTCTTGTTGCTCCTTCTTAGCCTTCGCTTCCGCCATTTCCTTCTCCCTCCACTTCCTTTCCACCTCTTCCTGTATCCTCAAGGCGTTCATCTCGTCCATAGCCGCCTTCATATCCTGCGACCGCTGCTGCTGATTTCTCATCCTCACGATTTCCTGTTCTTTGGCAGCTTTAGCCAGCGCCAGCTCTTGCTCTCTTCGCAGTTCTCTCTCCATTTTCTCCTGCATGAACTTCTGGATCCTCAAATCAGCGATCCGTTGCTCTTCTTGCTTCACCAACTTGTAGCGTTCCAAGTCGTCGTTCGCCTTCTTCATCTCGTTTCGAATTTGCTTCTGCTGCTCTTTCTTCTCTTTGAGTTTCCGCTCTTCTTCTTGTTGGATCGCCAGAAACGCTTTGTTTATCATTCTGCTTTCTTCTTCTATGCGCTCCGCTTCGATCATTCGTTCGATTTCGTTCATGCGCATTTGGTCAGACAGCGACTGCACGTACGCTTGCTTCTTCTTTTCTTCGTGCTTCTGGCGCTTCTCTTCTTCTTCTAGTTCCATCTGCCGCTTTTGCTCCATCATCATATCCAAACGTCTGTCTTCTTCTTCCAGTTGTTTTTGTATCAACTAGAAAAGGATCTCGATTTTGCGTATAGTCATTCTATGGACTTACTTCTTTTTCAGCGATTTGTGCGTTCCGGATAGCGCGACATTTCGTCGCAAGAATCACCCCATTTACGCGTTTGACTCTATTGTCTTGTTCTTGGATCAAGTCGAACGACCGCTTCAACAAATACTTGCTCTTTGATTTGGCTGTCCGTTCAGCCTGAAATTTTTTGTGTGAGGGAAAAATTTCAAAAACTCGATTATCATACTTCGCTTAAAGTAGACCCGACTTTGGATTGCTGCTGTGCTTGAACCTTCTGTAATTGTTGTTTCCGTTTTTCGCTTTCTCTAAGTAAAGCGTTTTTCTTTTGCTCGGCTTCGTCCAGCATCATCATTCGGTCTTTCAACGTGACGATCTTCAGGAAAAAGTGAATAGGGTGGATTGGGGCGAGGGATACTTACGTGTGCTTGGTTTTTCAGACGTTGGAATTCGCTTTTTGCCAAGATACCTGGAATGTCGATGGGGTTTCGGTCCGGTACCATTAATTTCCGCATCCCTTGGACGTCGTAAGCTATTACGTACTCTTTGGGTTTATTCACGGTTTTGATGCACATTTTTTCGTCGATGACCATTCCGCGGGTGCTGGAAAAGTGGTGGTTGAAATTGTTTGGGGTATGGGGGTGAAGTAGTACGCTGGTTTGTTTTGCTGTTTTGAAGGCATTTTGTTGCGGTATGGGGGCATGATGAATTTTTTTACACGCTTGGGAGAAATAAATACGTCAAATTGATGAAATTGATCAAACATGGAAAGCGCTATGGCAACAAGTGTTTTTATAATTTGTGGTAAGAAACGTCATTTCCAACCCCTGTTTTTCTGTAAGAGTTGGGGGCGTTCTTATCTTGAAGTCCTGAAGAATTTGGTAAAAGGATTCTACAAAATTCAACTAATTCCGTGCTGTTAAAAATCAAGTTGTTTCAATTATTTTTTGTCAGATTGGCAACATATTCGAAATCGTATATTGGTATACCTGATTGTCAAAATCAAATTTAAAGCACGAAGTTAGTTTCTCATCATGTTATAAGGTGCGTTTTATTATTTAAACAGTCATTTTGATGAGTGTGAAATTCCCACTATTAGTATTGTTTTTTTCCAAACAAATAATCTCATATTACCATAGCTATTATGTATTCAGGAATTTTAAATGTTCTTGAAAATTCGTTGATTCATTACTTCCAAAAAGTTTAAATTTAAGTAAATCTCATCTGAAATGTCCAGAGTGATATTTTGTTGCCTGTAGTTTAACATATATACTGTTAACACACTATCAACTTTTTTGTTTATAATAAAAAAAAGTATAATGGATTTTTTCGAAATTTTAAAACTCGGGTCCTCAAGGATCTTGGGCAACATATAAAATCATATTGTTTGAACTGAGATACTTAGCAACAGTACTTAAAAAGAAACTAATTAACAGAAAACTGCAAATTTAAGCAACATGAAAATTCAGAAAATAGGTCCTTGCTAAGATAAGACTAATTTTGGCAAATGACATAATCCTCTGAGAAAATAGGGGGGTGGGTGGGCGGGGATAGTACTTGCTGAGATAAGACTGATTTTGGCAAACGCCATATCCTCTCAGAAACCAGAGGGCGGGTGAGCGGGGCTAGTCCTTGCTAAGATCAGACTAATTTTGGCAAATGACATATCCTTTGAGAAAATAGAAAAAAATATGAATGTAATGATTAATCACAAGTAAAAACTCATCATATTTTGCACATTTTGGGTAGAATTTATTAGGCAAAATTTTGAGATGACGTCATCAATATTTTAGGAAGGTTGAGCAAATACATTTTGATCAAAAATTCACCATGCTTACGATAGATAACTTTAAAACATCTCCAAGATTTCAAACCATTCATCATTAATTTTTTTGAGTCACCCTGTATATGCAAATCCACAAATATGAATCGAATGGTAAATCACAAGTACAGATTCATCATATTTTGGACATTTCGGCAAAATTTTGACCTGACGTCATCAATTTTTTGGAGGGGATAAGTAAATATATTTTGATTAAAAATTTATTATGCTCATCATAACTGTAAAACATCTGCAAGATTTCAAAGCATCCGGTTTGCACATTCCAAATTAAATTGCAACATGTTGTTTTATAATTTTGATTTTTTTTTACAAAAATTTGGGTGTTTCGGGTAAAAACTCAATTCGGAGTCATAAACTACAATTTTGAAGTGACGTCATCACATTATTAGTGGTGATGATTGGACAAGTTTTGGTGAACGTTTTACCATCTATATTCCTAATGTAAATACAAAATTTGACAACAATCGACCCAGTACTTTCGGAGATTATGTCTAATAAAAATCCGGGACGGCAGACAGACGGAAACGAGAGAGCTATTTTTACTCTTGGGGTCATGAAAGGTCGAGAAAACGTAAAAGTAGAGAGTCGGCCGACGGACTCGATTACAATACTTCCTTGGCTTAGGCTCAGGAAGTAAAAACAATAAAGGGTTTATTAAAAAATGAAAAAATGGATGATTAAAAAGGGGTACTAAAAGGAGAATAAAAAAGGACTATAAAAGGAAAAAAAAGACAAAAAATAACGATTAAAAAAAGGGGACAGAAGATGCAATGGCAAAAAAGACAATAAAATATATCAAAAAAGCTGATAGTAGCAAAAATAGGAGACAAATAAGATAATTAAAAAGGGAGGTCAAAAAAGGGGTGAAAAAAGACGACAAAGAAAAGGTAGCAACCAAGGTCAAAAAAAAATCGAAAGGGGACAAAAGATCAGAAAAATAAGGGCAACCAAAAAAAGGACGATTAAAAAAAAAGGCAAAAAAAAAAACAAAAAAGGTGCCCAAAACCGAGAAAAGGGCGAGAAAAAAGACATTAGGGCGATTTAAAAAAGGATTCCAAAAATAAAAAGAATAAAAAAAGAAAACAAAAATAAGCCACAACAAATAAGCTATAAAAATATGATTAAAATGTGTCACAAACCGGTACGAAAAAAACAGGCGGAAAAAAATAAGAGAAAAAGGGCGTATAAAACGCGATAAAAAAGGACTTTTAAAGAAAAGAAAGACAAACAAGAGGGGAAATAAAAAAGGACGACAAAAACAGTCGGCATAAAAGGTTGTAGAAAGAGTTAAAAAGCAGCTAAAAACGGTCCGAAAAATACGACAAAAAATGATTCAAAAAAGGGGGACAAAAATAAACGAGAAGAGCTCGATTAAAACGAAAAAAAAGGGAAGAAAGATGACAAAAAATGCGATGGAAGCAGAGACAAAACATAGTCGATAAAAAATACGAATAAAAATGGGAGTAAGAAAAAGGAGTCGAAAAAGAGAGCCAAAGAAAATACTAAACAAGGTAAAAAAAAAACAAAACAAAAAAATTTGCAAAAAAGACTTAAAAAAAGGATGATAAAAAAGGACTAAAAAGGCGACCAAAGGGGAGGAAATATGTGTATTATAATTTTCAAATAGAATATGTTGTACTTTATCACTGCATCTCACCATGCTTAAAATTTAAAATTAAAACTTGAAAAATTCTAAAGCGGGCAACTAAAAAATCGAAAAATTGTGAAGTTCAAAAGTTTAATCGAAGATTTGGAAAAATGAAAATATAAAAAAATTGAAAACTAATCGAAAACCTAAGAAATCGAATAATGGAATTATTTAAAAATCGAAAAATTCAAAGTACAAAAAAACGAAAATGCAAATCGAAATCTAAAACAGGAAAATTTCAAAAGGAAAAATCGGAAAATTTAAACCAATAAACCGAAAAATTAATGAAAGAAAATTAAAAAAAAAAAAATAATAAAAATGCGAACATTCAAAAGTAAAACGAAAATATCAAGAAATTGAAAAAACGAAAAATTAAAATGTTTCAAAATTGAGAAAGTTTAAATCAGAAACAGAAAAATTTGCAAGTCAAAAACTTCTGTCGAAAAATTGCAAAATAAAAATCGGAAGATTGAAATTTTCGAAAGTTGAAATCTAAAAATTTAAAATTGAAAAACTTTGAAGGATTCGTAAATTCAGGAGTAAAAATATCAAAAAATTGCAAATCGAAAACTTCTAAAATATAGAAGTTGCAAAATAGAAATCGAAAAACTGAAAAATTGAAAAGTTGAAAAACCAAAAATTCAGAAGTAGAAAATTCAAAATATTTGCAAGTCCAAAACTTCTATAAATATAAAAGTTGCAAATTAGACATCGAAAAACAAAAAAATGTGAAAAATAGAAAATTGGAAAATTAAAAATCAAGAAATTGAAAAAACAATAATGAAAATGTCTAAAAGCTAAATAATCAGAAAAATCGAAAAACTGAAAAATTAAAAAATCCATAATTAAAATATTTTACATTGAAAACTCGCAAAATTGCAAAATAGAAATAGAAAAACTGAAAAATTCAAAATATTTGGTAGTCAAAATCATTTAGATTCGGAAAATTGCAAAATAAATAAAAACCGAAAAACTTAAAAATTAACAATGGAATAATTGAAAAGTCGAAAGATTGAAATTTTCGAAAATTGAAACCAAACATTTAAAATTGAATAAACTTGAAAAATTCGAAATTTCAAAAGTAAAAATATCAACAAATTTCAAATCCAAAACTTCTATAAATATAAAACTTACAAATTAGAAATCGAAAAAAAATGGAAAATGTGAAAAATAGAAAATTCAAAAGTTAAAAAACCAAAAATTTTAAATTCAAAACTGAAAGAATTCAAAAATTTGAAATCAAAAAAATGCTAATCGAAAATTTGTAAAATAGGGGTGGGCTGGGCTAGTACTTGCTAAGAGAAAACTGTTTAGCAAATCACATATCTTCCATGAAAATAGAGGGCGGGTGGGAGGGGCTAGCATTTTATAAGATATGGCTGATTTTGATACATTTTCGAAATTGAGCTACAGATTTTCTTGTAGATTTCGACATCCAGAATTGATTAATTCCGGTCTTGTTTTTTTGGAAATTCTTACTGTTTTTCCAGTATCGCCAATTGAAAGATGGCAACTTTTACAATTTTTAAACAAAATTACCGAAGTCATATCAAGTGGCCGAAATAAGAAATAAATTTGATAGCAAATAGTAAACCAAAAAAGTTGCGATTAGCGCCCCTTTTTTTTTTCTTTTTTCACATTCTAGGTTCTATTAGTTTCTATTTTCACACCACAGAAGAACATAAATGTTAAAATCGAATTTCAGATGAATACCCACTTGACGATAAATTTGCAAAAAACTGCACAAAAACCTCATCAACTCTGTCTTAAGAACATAATAATGTCATTTTAATGCTATTAATAGTCAAGTAATTTTCGAAATATTCCTATAAATGTTTTTCTATTTGTCTACGGCATCCAACTTTTTTTTTAATAACGCTATAAATTTTTTTGAGGTTCTTGTACAGCTTGTTTTTCTGAATTCATAAGTGTATTATATACTTTGATCACACATTAGTAAAGGGTCTGATCAACATTATTTTAGCAAGGACACGTATGCCAATTTCGACACGTACACACTAATAATGAAATACTGGGGTGGACGATTCTGGAAATTTGATCAATAAAAAATATAAACAATAGCAGTAATAGTGTAAGAAACAAAAAAAAAACGCTCATACTGGTATTACTTGCTATACAATATCGATTTTTTGCAAAAATTTAGATGCCTCGGGGAAAACCTCAAGGCGGGTTCATAAACAACAAGTACAAGAGTGTGTTATTATATCTAAATTAAATCCTACTTATGAAAAATTTTGACGGGGTATCACCACATTGTTGGTAGGAATTATTAGGAAAATTTTGGTTAGCGTTTTCACGATGTTCTCAATATACCTACGTATAAAATTTGAGAATAATCGATTAGTAGTTTCGAAAATTACAGGAGAAACATCGAGAAAACATGAATGTAGCCATTCGATGAACTCGGTTACAAAACTTCATGGCTAAAAACAAAAAAACTTTGTGAAAAAATCCAAATTTCTTTTTTTCAAAATGATGCTGCAATTTAAAAAAAAACAGCATTTTTTATATAAAAATATTATGAAAACTTGATCAATTTGAACATTTTTATAAAGGATTTAATTCTGTAATAACGTGACGCTCCATTTAAAAAAATACAACTTGTAATTTTGTGACTTCAGTTGAAATAAGTTGAAAATATTTTATTTTATAGTGTACTTGGTTAATAACTAGTATAGTGGGATAAATTAACACTACTGCGGTAGAAAGGTCAAGTAATCAATTAGGTAGTTTTTGAGATTGTGTAATAAAACAATGAAGATACATATAAAAATAGAGAAGCGACATTAAATTAAAACAGCTAAAAAACAGCTTATTTCAGTGATTTCAACGTTTTTATTTAAAGTTGAGCAAAAGACAATAAATAATAATGTTCCACCACAAAAAAATTGTGTCAGATTGAACTTCCTTTGTCTCTGACATATAGGCATTACTTTTTTTTGAATAACCCTTTAAAGTCAAAATAAAAATAGGCAAGGATCAAGTACCACACTACGTCATCAAATGTTTAACAGGGATAAATTTACTACTCTGGATAAATACAGTGCAGTGCTAATGGCAACAGTATGCTATATAATTTTCATTTTTCCCCAAAAATCTAAAAGCTTAATATTAAAAATAAGACGAATTAACAATTAAGCATAGACGCAGATTATTTTGCATATTTAAATAGAATTTACTTAGCAAAATTTTGAGATGACGTCACCAAATTTTTAGCGGGGATAATATAAGATATTTTTAAATAATTGTCCGCAGACAGCAACTAATTTGATAAATAATTCTAGTGGTAGTTGAGTCTCAAAGTGTAATGAAATTAAAAAAAAATAATAAAACAGCAGTGAATTTCAAATAATTTTAGTAAGTTCCAGTAATACCATTATATAAAACGTAATTCTAAAGATATCATTAAACAAATACTTCTAAAACTAAGCCTAATTGAAACATAGTCTTCCAAAATTTAATTCAGTATTACGTAACATCATCGGTTTCACTGCTCAGCAGTCCATTCCTTGATACACTTGCAGCGTCCCTAAATTTCTTGAGATGGAATCCTAGTGGCACATGGATATTATATATGTCGCCGTCAGCTTCAGATTTGGAAATGAGTTGAAATATACCTTCATTGAAAAAAAAAAAAAAAATCAAAATAATAAATATCGAAAAACTGAAATTCAAACCAAATCTCAAGCCAACTTCACTACAACCTCGCACGATCGTTACGGAGGACCTGAATAATCACGTGACGAAATAAAAATAGACACTGCGTTAGAATATACCTACAACAAAATTCCATGATGACTGAGGACTTTGTTAAGGTCAAGAAACTCCAATTAACACTTTTTGAATACAAGATCTTTTAATTATTTCGTACGAACACACAAATATGGCTACAGAAATTACTTTTCTACTAAAAAAAGTTTCGATAGCTACATTTAATATTAATTGCTGCGGAAAAAGGTTAATCGCCTCTTGAAGAAACCCAAACGAGGTAAAAAATTTTCTAACCTATTGTTTAAAAATAACCTCGCCGATTGAAACGCTAAATTTTTATTTTTCGCAATGCATCGAATTTTCCGCAACTTTTGAAACGAAAGTTCTATCCTTTGTTTACTATTTTAACTTCTACGTAACGCAACCTCAAGGATAAAAACAAGGTTATCGAACATAAAAACCATCTGTAAAAAAATATTTATTGTGGATGCGTACCTACATTAAAACAGCTGTACAAAAAATAAAAATCTAATAAATAACAAAATAATTAAAACTATCAACTAAATTACAAAAAAATATCACGATTCATGTCTAAAAGTACTGTCGGGTTAAATTTTGCAAACGTAAAATTATCGATCCAATGGGATACTTGCACACACTACCAGCAACTCTACAAGATGGCGCTACCGTGCAAGTGTCCCATTCGATGCGTGACAAAATGGTGATATCTATTGTGTAAAGTGGTCTTACCATGTGTCGACAGGACACGTGCCAACTTCATAGTGCCCTGTCTACCTGATTCTATGATAAATCAAAAATAAAAACCATGAAGTACTAGCCGCTTGTCGGTGAATCTGAAAAAATAATCACAACACATGCAAAAATACTGAATAAATCTAGGGAAGCAAGCAGAACCCAAGTGCTAAATAAAAGATGATGTTGTCTGGACCTGAAACAAGTAATCAGAAGTCAGATTACTCGTTCAAATCAATATCAAAGGCACCAAAAATCGATCAAATATAGAGCATAAGTTCTAGCATCCATCACACAAATATAGAACATAATAATGATCGCCTTACCTATAAAAGCAACAACATATTTATGGAAAAGTTGCAAAACACACCCGAAATAGATACATCCGATGACAATTCCACCAAGGGTTGCGATGCGGAACGCTTGGCGGAATTGCGACGCACGGTCAGAACAATTATTACTGACTGAAATAAGACAGTAATTTGCAAATGCGGAATAAAACGCAATAGTGACAACTGGAGAATTTATTAAATCGAGAGGGCGTGCATTACGAAATTAATGTTTTATTTCAGTAGAGAAATATCCATTGAACAAGTGGAGTAAGACGGAAGAATCCCATTTCGCTACTGCTATTATAGCGTAAATGCACCTAGAATAGATTTTAAAGGAAATTCATTATAAAACTGACGCAGTGAAAGCACAATATATAACACCATATAAAAGTGGACCATCAAAAAGACGATTTAATTTTGCGACATACTGTACCTTACGTTGGACTCACCTGAAAATAGAACAAAAACAACAGACACAAGTGGTAATAGGTTATGTTTAATCAATGTAAATTAATACAATCGCAGTCTAACTGCAGTACATAGTGGATTACAATATTATCAAAACTAAAAATGAAGTGATACACATTTCTGGGAAAATTAACCAAAAGCGAACGGATTTTTTTTGAGATTTATTGTTTTGGACGAAATCGCACAAAATTTGTTTACAGGTCGGAACCCAAAGAAAAGTCAACTCGATGTGTCAATAAACAAATTTTGCTCATCCGTGCCCCAAGGAAACGTCTGTTAAATGGGCGAAAGGAATGATTTATCTTGTTATTGCACTACTGATGGAAGTGTGCATTTCCTTTGAGCACAGGTGTATAAGTTTATTGATTTTTCATAACAGTGAGCATATACAAATCATACATCGGCATTTACAACGATAGCCTTACCATATACGTTGCTGCGACCTCCTGGAAAGCCGTCCTCACTTATCCTGACATACCCTATAAATAACAAGCTAACACACAGGTAATTATAACCTAGTCACTACAAAATTTTATGGTATAGATTGGAAGCTAGACAAGTCACTAATCATAATTTCATCATGAAAACAATCCAAAACATTTTCCAAATGATTAAAAAAAAAAGTTCGTTACTTGTAATGAGAGTGTACATGATCATGTATTTTGAAAATATCCTTATTAAATACTGCGTAATGGCGATAATGATGGGAAATAAAAAGTAAAAAAGAAAACTCCCAACAAAAGAACTTATTCTACAATTTATAAATCTAAATTATGCATTTTCCCGTTGACTTGTTTCTAAGACGGCGGCACGTTTGCTCCTGATAAAATTAGTCGCTTATAACTAAGATGAAAAAGGTTCTTAACGACTAAGAAAAATGTCTCCCGCAGATGCTTGACCATATTAGTAACAGGGGACCACATTTAAAATCTGTAAATGATATAATAATACTGATATGTCGCTGCCTCACACCACCTGGAATAGACCTGTTCTCTTCACACATCACCCTTTTAACAACCCACCGAGCCGTCGTGTGAAGAAAACAAGACAGAAAACACTACAATGAAAACAAGTGACCAACGAAATGTTTGAAAAATTTATTTTCCTGTAATACAAACACAAACGAGAAAATGGGCAAATAAAATATGCATGTACATGTACGATATATGTCAAACAAAACAAAATAATGTATCAAAAAAACAAGGAGATGCGACATTGTTTTCAAAAGTAGTCAAAATAAATCAAACGAGATAAGCACGTTGTAGTTTTGACAAGCAGAATTGATACTTACACGTAAACGAGTCTTTAATTTTCGGAGTTATTGGGAGGGGCTGCCGGGGCGGGGGCTCCGTACCCGTACGCTGAGAAGCCGTAACCCCCTTGTTGGACGTTTCCGGGAACTCCGCCCTGAGGCTGGCCTCCGTAGTAACCTTCACAAAACGCTCAAATAAAATACGGAAATCAACGACAATAACTGCTAGAAGGGCGAAATGACAGTGCGACTTAAGTCAGGTCATTGAAAAAATTTATATTTGACACACAAGTGTAGTATTTATGTCCGACCAAACGATCAATTCTAGATGAAGTTTCTAAATATATATACGTTGCGTTCTTAGGTTGATTATTTGTATTTACTGTAACCGTTTCATCGCAAATAAATCACAGCATTGTACAAAAAATTCCAACAGTTCTTTGCTCTCGGTGACTAAAGTTTATTTTCGATTGTTTTAAATAGTTGTTTATCCTTGACTTGTTGCCACCCACACTCCACTACTGTGGAAAAAATTTCCAACTTTGAGTAACGAGTAGCCTGATTTGAGTCAAACCAATGAAAAGTTTAATATTTTTTTAGTCAAGTCACATCTTTTGAAAATTAATTCAACGAGAATTTTTGTGAAGTCGTCAAAAAATTCTATATGATAATATTAGCAATCTCAATATTCTAAAAAAAGTCTAGCGATCTTATTAATTTAATATTAAAAAATTATGTTGGCAACACCAACGCGTCCCTGTTAATCAGTTTGACATTCACGACTAAACAACTGCAATGCCATTATTTTAGAAATAAATTTCATGGCTTACTAGACGACTTTTAGTTTCAGCCATATCGTTCGTTTAGAATTACACTGTCGTATGTACACCGAACAGTATTTCGAGATATTGAACTTTTAAAATCGTACCTAAATTATATTCTAACTTATTATGCTGATCGGCGTAAGCAATGGGCTAAATTACTTACCTAATTGGGGTAGCAATTTAGTATTTTGTAGTTATGAAAATTTTTCAATGTATGCGACAAAATGCTATTTTTGAAAAAGAGATACGATTTTCTCATTCTCAAATTTTAGTTTAAATTTATTTTATGACAGATACGATTTTGTAATTTTTAACAAGTGATCTATAAAAATGTGTTTGTTATAATATTTTGTACATTTCATACAGTACCTAGTTATAGGATACTGAATTTTAAAAGATTTTGCATGATGTTAGTAATATTACAATGGAAAATAATACTTGCTAGTGGTACATTATCTCCTCATTTTAGGTATCGCTTTCGGATGAATCAGGGTACAGAATCATAGTTTTTCATTTTAATGCCATAATATTATTTATCCTTGATTGTATACTGATATATTCGTATTAATAAAATTATAACAATTTATTCAAAAAGATTTACCACATTAGAATATCAAAGAGTTGCTAAAATTGTGACAGTGCAGTATCCAGATTTATTGGCATCAATAGTTATTATTTTTTGTACTTATTGCAAATAAATTTAGTAAATAAATCACAATTGAGATGGGGTGGGTGGGCGTTATTTATATTTTGGCTTTTTTTCTTAATGTACATAGTATTCTATGAACAACACGAGGGAGGCAAAAATGACCGCTGTCCACTTCCACCCCCTCTTCGGCTCATGTCACCCTTTGTGCTGTTGTTTTTTTTTTCGTTGCCAACCTTTCCTCTTATCGCTAGCCATCTATTGTGCGCGCGGAATTTTAATTCAAAAAAAAATTCGAATTAGATCATTACAAGGTCATCTTCAAAATTTACAGTAGTAAATATTATTTAAATTTTATAACATAAGATACTCCTGCACATGTTGTTTATAAACCCCTGTTGAATTTTTATACTAGACATCTAGATTTTTGGAGAAAAAAATCAAAATTACAAGATCTTGCAATTTAACTTTGAAACTGCTCTGAAAATTTTGAAACGTTACGATTACTTAAGAACATATTTCACATGGTTATTTCTCATAGAAAAATAAGCATTTAACAATTAACCTCCGCCCCTCGGCTTACGATGAATAAAAAAAAATCATCAGAACTGAGTTTTTTTTAATTTATTTTTTTTTTTAAACAATGTTTTTTCTTTACTTGGGATTTGTTGGCGCCTTGTTATATTTTACTATTTGAATAAAAGTGTAATGATCTAATGATATACATATTTTGGTATTACAATTTCAAATGAAACGCACATACGACTTTGTTATTCCGAAACGTATTGGGTTCACAAGATACGACTTCGTATTTCTTCTTCTAATAATTAAATAAATTGAAATAATACGAAAAAATAGTAGTTTTTACATATTCAAGTTTAAAACAACCTGTAAAGTGAAGAATCTCAATTTCTTAAAAAATGGCGTTTACCACACTGTAATTCTAAACGAACGATATGGTAATTTTGACACATATTAACTGCGTGTTTTCTTGGCATTTCACGGCTTGTGGAACACGAAAATGTTAAACTGATCTCTACCTGCAATTTGACCGATTTCTGCCAGTTTCTTTATTTTTTCAATTTTTCAACTTCCAAGTTTTTCATTTTGCAATATTTCGATATTACGATTTTTCATCTTTCGGTTTTTTTAGTTCTTGATTTTTATTTTTCATTTTCCGGATTTTTTAATATTTATTTTCTCGATTTTACAGTATTTCGTTGTTGCAATTTTTCAAGTTACTTAAAAAAGCTTAAAAATCGAAATAGTGAAAATAAGGAAAAATGAGAAACTGAAAAATCTAAAACTGAAAAAACAAAAATTATAAAATTGGAAATTTTAGATATTCTTTAAATATATCCGTGAGCAACATCCTTCAAATAAGTTCACCTGTCAATTCTAAACGGAAACGAAAAATACTTTCGTGACCCTAACTTGACAATTCCTATTTTAATAACATTACAGACAAAACAACAAAAGAAAGAAAAAAGTTACTAAAGTACTGAATGCTTGATGGCATTGACCTGGTATGTACTTTCACATTTGAAGTAATTATGTGCCACGAAAACTCTTCTAGCAGTTAGAACGTGACACTAATTTACAATGAGATGAGTAACACACAACATAATAAAAATAAAAATAACGCACCACTGGGAGCTTGATATGCACCGTATGCTTGTTGCTGGTAACTACCTGCGGGCGCCTGTGCAGGACCGGACTGCGACGTCCCTTGAGCTCCTTGCATGGACTGTACGTTCGCTTGTGATTGTTGCTAAAAGAACACACAATTTAACACATATTGCCAACAAACGGACTTAATTACACTAATATATTACGGGAGATTTAACTAACTAACAGAACAAGTCACCTTGTATGAGCAAAGTTGAGTAATACATCAGAGTAAATAATAACTAAGGGTTTATCATGATGAACTATAGTACAGTGTGGCAGTATTATGAAGTTAGTAGCCTTTTTCGTACCTTTGATTTCATCTGTGCCTCTATGGCTTCTGCCTCTTTGTGTTTCCCTATACTACGATAATACTCCGCCCACTGCGCACTGTAATCAGGTTGGCCTCCATTGGAAGCTGCGGCTGTGGGGGTGGCGGCCGGTGCTGCCCCCGGCCCTCCGGCTGTCGCCGCCGCTTGCGGTTGACCCGGCGCTGCCGTTGTCACTCCTTTCGATTTGGCCTAAATACGTAAATTGTAAACGTTTGAAAACAAACAAGGTGCACAACGATTTTGGAAGAAATAGGCTCAAATAAAAATGCTGCCACACTATTGACAAGGTTCGACGTAAATTTGAAATTTCTGTGTAGTAGTTCACTTAAATTAAATTTCACTTTCTGGAATAGTTTGAGGTGGATGACAATTAAAAATTTACTCTTTCAAGTCTACAAGAAATGGTGAAAGCAACTCTGACGGTTTGTCGTAGACAAAATAAATGCACTTGAACATTTGAAGCACTTTTATTGAAGTGACCTGTGTATGTCGAAGTTTCAGAGGCGGCAATATTTTTAAAGATTAGGAAACGGAAATCACATTTACGAACTACTCTTACAAAGTTAGGGACGCATTCTTTATTTTGAAATGTATATACTTTCTTATACGACAGCACTGTTGTTATAGTGTAAAACCCACCTGTTGTTCGATCATCTCCGCCTCTCTGTGCATCCCCAGCGATCTGTAATACTCCGCCCACTGTAGCGAGTAATCCGGCTGTCCCGTCGCTGGATTCACCTGCATCGTGTTCTGTTGAGCTGGGGCGTCGGCTCCTTGTTGGGGCGCGTTCCACTGCTGCTGATAAGCCGGCATTCCCCAATTCTGTGGATTATAACCTTGAGGTGCCATTCCAGGATAGGCCTACACCGATCAACACTCCCATTAATCATCCCACTTCTAACCCTTCATACTCACAGTTTGCATGTTGTTCGACATGGCCGGACCGCCGACAGGTACAAAGTTGAGAGGCATTTGGACTTTATCGCTAATAATTCGTTTCGCCGCTTCGATCTGATCCGAGTCGCCGCGGATTATGAACGTTTTCTCGTTCGAGTTCTGATTGTTTTGCGACCGTCTGTCCAGTTCACAATGGGCGCCGGACTGCTGATTGATCTGTTTGATTGTTTCGCCACCTGCGGATGCGTTTTTGTTAGAGCCGAGAAACGACAAAACCCGCGGCCGGTTTATTACCTCTGCCGATGATCACGCCGCACTTCGAACTAGGTACAACGAAAGTGACCTCCTGAGGCGGCTGCTGCTGCCGCCTGTCGTCCCAGCCGCCGTAATCCTGGCCGCCGCCGTTCCGGTTGTTTCCTCGGTTGTCGTACCGGTCGCCGCCTCGGCCTCTGCCGCCGCCGCCGCGACCCTGACCCGGACCGTCGCCGTCTCTTCGATGGACGCTGTCGATGAGTTCTTCTATTCGTTGTCTAGCCTAAAACAAAATATATTGCAAGGGACGTTCTCTACAAGCAACTGCGTACTTCATACAAGATACATCACAAGTACTCCGATCTGACTTACCTGTTCTACTTGTTTTGGAGTACCCGAGAGGTAGCACCGCCTCTCGCCCGGCCCCTCCTCTCTCGCTTGCTGGAACTGCACTCTCGCCCCCGTCTCGGCTTGTATTTTCTTGATCATGTCGCCCCCTTTACCGATAACCACCCCCACCGCTTGTCTCGGCACTAAAACTTCGGCCTCGTTACTACCGCCGCCACCGTAATCGTTATACTGTTGTCTGTCGTCCTGTCGACCGCCGCCACCTCTCCGGTTATAGTTCTGCATCTCTTTCTCGGCGATCAGATCGTACACTAACTGTTTGGCGTATTCGACTTTGGAAGGGTCTCCGCTGATCCGCAGGGGCTTCTCCTGCTCCTGGTTCGGCCCGTCCTGGATGACGACCATCTTGGCGCCGCTCTTCTCCTGCAGCTGCTTGATGGTCTCGCCGCCCTTGCCGATGATCAGGCCGACCTTCGGGCCCGGGATCATGATCTCGACGAAGTTGCGACCGCCGCCGCCGCCGCCGCCACCACCGCCGCCGCCGCCGCCTCCTCCGCCGCCGCCGCCACCACCGCCCATGCTTTGGTTCATGTTGTTCATTCCTATAAGGCGGAATTGATAAGGTGACAAGCAGCATGGAACGTCCATTTTGGGACGGTAACGAGGAACAAACGACCAGCGAAATTATCGCTGGCGTTTAACGGGAAAAAACGGATGCAAAAACTAGTTCGGCGATAATTTCCCTAGTACTATATTGTACGAGCGGATTTCACAAACTGTTTGTTTTTGAATGTCGCCGAAACAAAAAATACGAGCTGGATGATTATTGATTAATAAAAGAGTGAATTATGAATGAACTTGTAAAAATACGAGGGGTATTCAAAAAAGATAGATGCCATTACACCATAGTATATGTAAAAGCCTGTGATTATTAAACTTTTTATAAAATGGCGGTTCATTAAACGAAAGATGATTGTTAATTTATTTAATAAACGAAAGATGTGTTCATTTCCGGTTAAACCGAAGACGCCAAGGTTAAGGTAAAAACCATCACGATAAATTATGAACTTCATTCTCCACTAATTAAGCTTACTCTATCTTTTTTACTTCAAACCAAATTTAATAAGCTCCTTTTTTGTAAAAATGAAAAATTCGAAATATTGAAAAGTTAAAATTGGAAAACTTAAAAATTTAAAATTAAAAAATTGAAACATCTAAATCTCGATAACCCGAAAAACTGGAAAATGGAGAAAATAAAATATCGAGAAATCGAAACATAAAATCGAAAAATCGAGAAATGGAAAATTTAAGAATAAAAAAATTGAAAAACCGTGAAAGTAAAAAATCGGGAAATCCCAAAACTGAAATATCGAAAAATTGAAAAATGGCAGAAAACTTGTACATTTGAAAAAATTAAATATCGAAAAATCAAAAGGTCCAAAAATCGAAACATTGAAAAATCGAGAAATCGAACCTGAAAAATTGAAAAGCTGAGAAATCAGAAACCTGAAAAAACGAAAAATTGAAGAAAAACCGAAAAGTCGAGAAACTGAGAAATCGAAAAATTGAAAATTTAGAAGATTTCATTTATTTGTTGCATTTACATCAGAAGAACTAATTTATTTCCTCGGATTTTTGAAATTTTGGATTCTTTCATTTTTTGGATTTTTGTGTTTTTTTTTTGATTTTTGGAATTATTGGTTTTCTTCGTTTTTTTAGATTTTTTGTTTTTTTGATTTATTCCATTTTTTCAATTATTTGTGTACTATTAATTTTTTATTTTCTGATTTTTTGAATTTTTGGGAAATCTTCGATTTTTTTAATTACTGGAGTTCTTGAGTTTTTTTTTGTTACTTTGTTTCTTAGATTTTTTGGACTAATAGATTTCTCGATTTTGTAGAGTTTTTTGGATTTTGCTTGTTACTAGCGATCGTGATTTCAATAAATAATACATAGTTGGTTTTTGGCCGATTGCGTTTTCTCTTGTTACTATGGCAACTATTTTTAATGCTCTAGGGTAATATTTGGTTCTAAAGCACATAAAATATTTGTTTTATCGATTTATTATTAGTCTATAATGGCGTGGATTTGAAATACGTAATTGACCCAATAATACTCTAGGGCATTAAGATTAGTTGCCATAGTAACGTCAATAAAAAACGCAATCGGTTGGAAGCCAACTACTACTTAGTATATCGCTGGTTGTGTAGATACTTTATTAAATTATTGAAACCACAATCTCTGGTTGTAGTTTGTCTTGGAGATTTGCCTGTACGCAAAATCCAAGAAATCCAAAAAACCCAAGAAATCCGAAAAATCCCAAAAAATTTAAAAAATCTAAGAAATGCAATATTCCAAAAAATACAATTTGAAAAATATAATAAAAAATTAAAAATCTAAGGAATCCAAAAAAGCCAAAAATCTAAATCAATTAATCTAAAAAATTTAAAAATTTTAAAAATATAAAAAAATACAAAAAAAAAAAACAAGAAACCCAAAAAATCTAAAATGGGGAAAAAATTAAAAAAAAATCCAAAGAAATCTAAAAATCGAAGAAACCCCAAAAAAACGCAAGAAATACAATAATTCCAAAATCCAAAAATTGAAAATATTCCTAAAATTAATTGAAAATACTCAAAAACCCCCAAAAAATGAAAAAATTCAATAAACTCAAAAACATAGGAAAAACAAAAACTCAAAAATAAAAAAAACAAGAAATTTGACAATCGAAAATATTCCTAAAATTAATTGAAAATACGCAAAAACCCCAAAAAAAAAAAATGAAAAAATTTAATAAACTCAAAAACATAGGAAAAATCCAAGAAATAAAAAAAAGCAAAAAAATCTAAAAAATCCAAAAACTCAAGAAATCCAATAAACTAAAAAATCAAAGAATTTAAAAAATACAAAAATATAAAAAAACAAAAAAAAACAAGAAATTTGACAATTCAAAAATGTCAAATATCCAAAAAAATTCAAACAAAACTAAAAAATCTCCAAAACTTAAAAAAACGCAACAAATACATACAATAATTTCAAAATCTAAAAAAATCGAAAATATTTGTACAATTAATTCAAACTACCCAAAAAATCAGAAATTAAAAAAAAAACAAAAAAATAAATAAATTGAATAAACTAAGAAAAATTAATAAATAAAAAACTAAAGAATCCAAAAAAAAAAAATGTAAAAAATACAAAAACTCAAGAAATCCAATAATTGAGAAACTGAAAAATCTACAATTGAAAAAACAAAAAATTATAAACTTGGAAATAATAATACTTTCGTGACCCTAACTTCACAGTTCCTATTTTAATGACATCAAAAATACAAAAATATAAAAAATACAAAAAAAAAACAAGAAGCCCAGGAAATTTGACAATCCAAAAAATGTAAAATATCCAAAAAAAATCAAAGAAAACTAAAAAATCTAAGAAACCCAAAAAACTTTAAAAAACGTTTGGAATACAATAATTCCAAAATCTAAAAAACCTAAAATTCTAAATATTAAAAAAAAATGAAAAAATTTAATAAACTTAAAAAAAATTTAATAAAAAATTAAAAATCTAGGGAATCCACAAAAAGCCAAAAATCTAAAAAATAGAAAAATCCAATAATCCAAAAAATCAAAGAATTTGAAAGATAAAAAATAAACAAAAAAAAAACAAGTAACCCTATAAATTTGACAATCTAAAAAATAAAATATCCAAAAAAATAAAAAAAAAATATACAAGAACCAAAAAAATTAAAAAACGCAAAAAATACAATAATTCCAAAATCTAAAAAATCGAAAATATTCCTAAAATTAATTCAAAATACTCAAAAAAAAAAATAAATAAAAAGTTAAAAATCCAAGGAAACCAAAAAAAGCAAAAAATCCAAAAACTCAACAAATCCAATAAGGCAAAAAATTAAAGAATTTAAAAAATACAAAAAAAAGGAAACCCAAGAAATTTGACAATCCACAAAATCTAAAATATCCAAAGAAATGTAAAAAATCCAAGAAACGCCAAAAAATTAAAAAAAAAACGGAAGAAATACAATAATTACGACGATCCAAGAAATCGAAACGATCCAAAAAATTCAAAATATGAAAGAAAAAAACAAAATAAATCCAAAATTCCAAAAAATCCAAAAAAAAAACCCAAGAAACAAAGTCATATTTAAAGCGCATAAAATACTGTGGATCTACATTTGTGGCTAATCAGTACTTTAATTTCATTTTTATGGTTAATTCGCTGTTAAACGCCGGGGAAATAAATTAGTTCTTCTGAAATAAATGCAACCAATAAAAGAAAATGGAAAATAAGTAAGACATAAAATTTTGTATGTACTACGGGCATATTTGAAGTTTACACCCCCGTGGTTTCTAAACTGTGTTATATATAGAATGTTCTTCGTATCGTATTTCCACTCTAGTTCTCAAAATCTGTAGACTCCATTCTAAGCCTAACTAAGCAGCGAAATGTGAAAATGAAATAAATTTCATGTGGAAATTTTTAACAAACTAACAAAAACACACAAAATTTGATTTTTCAGTAAAATTTAACGAATTTTAAGCGTTATTTAATTAACACAACTCAGAATAATGTATTTATGGAAAAATTTTAAAACCTTGAATATCTAACAAGATTACCTACATTTAAATTCTAAACCAAATAATAATTTTAAAATTTGAATATAAATCTCATGTATGAACAATTTATAAAAAAAAATATGAAAAATATAAGATAAACTCACTTAAGTATTTAGAGAAAAAAAAGTATTGAGATCTGATCGAACAGATCTTTATCACAACATATACTTGTTTCTAAGATAACCTGAACAATTCGCCAGCATTATAGTCAACGTTGACAACAGGAAGTTTAAAATATTTCAAACACGTTTTCATGTTTGAATTAATCCGACTTATTACATATACATGGTAATTTATCATTTAACATACAAAATAAAGAAATAATTGTTTTACCACCTCGAGCAACATTCGCTGAACCAGTTTGTGAAATTCACTCGTACGCAGGTTAAAACTACAAGCAAATCGCATTAAAACCAAATAATTCTCCCACACCTACAGTCCGTTTGAAACGATACTAAATTTAAAACCAAACGTACGACCAGTGCAACCCGTACCATGTAAACCCTCACTCTACGCAATGCCAAATTTACACCAACTAAATTTTTCCGAGTTCCACTCGCCCTAAGTTCAGTTTCGATTTTAGTGTCGCGTCACACCGGCCCAAAGCTACACCAAATCGACGTTTCAGTAAATAAACAACATATCAAGTGTGTAATGTTAAAATGTACATAATCTAATGTTTAGCATGCAAGTGCACAAAAAATTCTTGTTCAACCTGGGTAATTATTGTGCCCCATGTTTGGCCCTAGATCGAGCCCACCCAACCCTTCCGAGCGGCCTCTTTGATGAACGATATTCATAATGAGCTCCTTGGCTCTATTGATAGCCTCTTTTGTGCCAGATAGTGAACAAACACGGTCTGGCATTCCCTGCGAATCAGGTGCCATTTGGATTTTGCATCCTGATTCGGACTGGAGTCTAGTGATTTGTTCGCCTCCACGGCCAATTACTGCAAAACATCATTAGTCAGTACTGACTACTAAAAGTCTGGTAGGAGGGGGTTGTAAGCAATAAAAATGCCATTTGTGGAGTTAAAAGCATGCCGGATCGGGGTTAAGGGATAATGCATCCCTAAAAACGGAAATGAAAGTGTATTTGGAGGCGAAAAGAGGGGAAATGAATGGGAAGAAACGCGACCTAGAAAGCTTTTACGACTCGAGTTTGTCGCAGATGGGGGTATTTTTCGCTGCAATTTTTTTAACATTTTGAGTTATGCAAAGTCCTGAAATTAATAGAAAACATTACGAAAGTGTAATAATGCAACGCGCTTAATTTATTAAATTGGAACATTATCTCTTCCTGCTGATAGTAATGCATGCCTAAGCTTATAATAGTACTCACTGTAACCTTGGTATAAATAATTACGAAACTAACCAAAACTATAACACGGACCAAATTATCTCGATTTTATTGTTCCGATCACGATAACTACTCACGCAAGGACCTAATTTTGTGACAGTCCACTATATTTTTTATAGCCTACATATAACGAAGAAAGTGTAAATATACGTATACGAAAGTAATATGCCAAGTCTAACTGAACCATAACTCAGTATCAAAAATAAAGTTCACCACGTAGTGCAAGATTTATTTCAATTTATACGCATGACGAGGGTATCATGTGACTTCACACAAAAAAAAAAAACAGAGTCGTCTTCGTTCCTAACACGCAAGGAAACGTAAATCAAGATCGTAATCGAAAATCTACTAACCACTCCAATAAAATGTTATACTCTGTTAGTATTATTTAGACCAACAATATTCGAATTTTAGTAAATAAAAATGAATAAGAATATATACGGTCTTGTTCGGCGTTTGGTGACCGCAAGCTTCAACAAAGACTGATTTATCGGTTTACGGATAAAGGGCATGGGCTCTTTAATTAAAGGTTGTGGAATTTATTAATATACTAAAATAGTGTTCTTACAATACTAAACAGTAGCATTACAATGCACAATTCGATCTTTATGAGACCCTTAAATTTAATTGCTTTATTTATATCTGAAATATCGACAAGAAGTTCAGTGTATTTAGTGTAATTATTATTACACGAATTGTATGTGTTTAATATTTTTTGTGTTTTTATTAATTATTTAGTAACCAACTGCGCCATATTTAAAAATGGAGGACTGGAATTTTTAATTAACTTTGCAAATTGTCAAATGAGACCCTATATTTTATAACCTCTCATAAAACTCCAAATTTGCATATTTAATCACCCTGTATATTAAGTTTAAATTTTATAAAAAATTTTATTCCGAGCTTTTGTTCATTACTCATTACTCTCCTATTTAATTGATAATCTTCAAAAATAACTGGATTGATTGTCGCCGAAATTTTAGGAATATCGTTTAGATGGTAAAACACTAACCAAAATCGTCTGCTCATCTCCATCTACAATTTGATGACGTTATCCCAAAATTTTTTTTGCTAAACAATGTTTATAAAACAACACAATTCTATAACTGCGCTTTCGGAATTTGTTTTTATTTTTGTGTATATTAGGGAGAATCATGTAGATGACAAAGCGCTAACCAAAATTTGTTCCTAATTTTATAAAATAAGATATTCATGTGCTTGTGGTGTATGAATCCGTGTCGACTTTTCATCCTACACATCCAGGTTTTTGGAAACAAACATCAAAATTGCTCTAAAATCTTGTAAATGTTTTAAGGCTATCCTAATTTAATTTTAACCCAAATTTATTCGTTTATCCCCTCCCAAACATAGATTACAAAATATAAATTAATTTTAAATTACAAGGGTTATAAAATTCACAAAATCAAATCGTACAACTTTCGAAAAATCTCAATTTATTGTACTATGCTCCAGGGGCGAAGAAAGTTCTGTCGAAGACTTTTGGACTTCAAGATTACTCAATTCTTCAATTTTTGAATTTTTCAACTTTTCAATTTTTGATTTTTCGACTTTTCAATTTTTCGATTACTCAATATTTCTATTTTACGATTCCGATTATTTGATGTTTCGACTTCTTTCGACTTGCCCTTTATTATTTTTTAATATTTCAATTTTTCGATTCTTAAAATTTTTGAACATTTGATTTTTGGGAATTTTAAATTTTTCGACGTCTCGATTTCCCGATCTTTTGAGTTCTCGATGTTTCGATTTTTCGAATTCCCAAGTTTTCGACATTTCAGTTTTGGGATTTTTCAATTTTTGATTTTTCTATTTCTCGATTTTTTAAATTTTTGATTTTCCGACTTCTCGACCCTTTGATTTTCGTTTTTCAGTTTTTCGGTGTTTCGGTCTCCCGATCTTTTGATTTTTCGATTTCCCATTTTTCGAATTTCCAATTTTTCCACATTTCAGTTTTGGGAGTTTTCAATTTTTTGATTTTTTAAATTTTGAACTTTCGTATCTCTCGATTTTTAAAATTTTGGATTGTTCGACATCTCGATTTGTCGACCCTTTGGTTTTTCGGTTTCTCAATTTTTCGAATTTCCAATTTTTCCACATTTCAGTTTTGGGATTTTTCAATTTTTTTATTTTTAAATTTTGAACTTTCCTATTTCTCGATTTTTAAAATTTTGGATTTTTCGACTTCTCGATTTCTCAACCCTTTGATTTTTCGGTTTCTAAATTTTTCGACAATTTAGTACTAAAAATTTTCAATGTTTCTATTATTCTATATTTCTATTTTACGATAACGATTCTTTGATGTTTCGACTTCCCCTTTGTTTTTCAATATTTCAACTTTCAATTTCTTGACATCTCGATTTTTGGATTTGTAAAATTTTTCGACATTTCAATTTTGGGAAGTTTTCAACATCTGAATTTTTTAATTTTTAGATTTACCAATTTTTCGATGTTTGGATTTCCCTATTTTTCTACTTTCCAGTTTTAGAATTTTTTAATTTTTCGATTTCTTAAATTTTGAATTTTTCAATTTTTCCATTTAACGATTACGACTCTTTGATGTTTCTATTTCTTTCGATTAACCCTTTATTTTAATTTTTTTAAATATTTAAATTTTTCGATTTTTCGATTTTTAAAATTTTTCAACATTTCATTTTTGGGAATTTTTGATTTCTCGACTTCTCGATTTCTCGCGTTTTTTTGATTTTACGACATTTCAGTTTTTCGAATTCCCAATTTTTCGACATTTCAGTTTTAGGATTTTTCAATTTTTTGATTTTTTAAATTTTGGATTTTTCGACTTCTCGACCGTTTGATTATTCAATATTTCCATTTTACGATTACGATTCTTTAATGTTTCGACTTCCCCTTTGTTTTTCAATATTTCAATTTTGGGAACTTTTCAACATCTAAATTGTTCAATTTTTCGATGTTTGGGATTTCCTTATTTTTCTACATTTCAATTTTGGAATTTTTTAATTTTCGATTTTTCATTTTTCAATGTTTCGATTTCCCATTTTCGAAATTTTAATTTTAAAAATTTTCAATTTTAGATTTTTTGATGTTTCGATTTCTCGATTTTTAATTTTTCGGTGTTTTTTTTATTCTATTGTTAAAATCTTAGATTTTTCCATCTCTGGATTTTTTAGTTTTTAACTTTTTTAGTTTTTTTGATGCTTCGATTTCTGGGTCTTTTGATTTTTTGACTTCTCGGTTTTAGATTTCATTCATTTAAATTTTTTGAATTTTTAACTTTTGTGGTGATTTTATTTATTTTTCGACTTCCCGATTTCTCGACCGTTTGATTTTTCACTTTTTCGATATTTCCATTTCCCAATCGACATTTTAGTTTTTTGATTTTTCAATATTTCATTTTTGGGAATTTTTATGTTTTGACTTCTCGATTTCCGATCTTTTAATTTTTCGAATTCCCAATTTTTCAACATTTCAGTTTTGGGATTTTTCAATGTTTTGATTTTAAAATCTTGGATTTTTCTATTTCTCAATTTTGAAATTTTATTTATTTATCTTCGACTTCTCCACCCTTTGATTTTTCAGTTTTTCGATGTCTCGATTTCCCCACCGACATTTTAGTTGTTTAGTTTTAGATTTTTCAATTTTTCATTTTTCGATTTTTTAAATTTTGACGCTTTTCTATTATTCTGTTTTTCAATATTTCATCTTTGGGAATTTTTATTTTTTGACTTCTCGATTTCTCGGTCTTTTGATTTTTTGACTTCTCGATTTTAGATTTCGTTCATTTAAATTTTTTGAATTTTTAACTTTTTTGGTGTTTGGGATTTCCCTATTTTTCTACATTTCAGTTTTGGAATTTTTTAATTTTCGATTTTTCAATTTCTCCATTTAATGATTACGATTCTTTGATGTTTCGGTTTCTTTTGACAAACAGCCTTTTTTTTAATATTTCAATTTTACGATTTTAAAATCTTGGATTTTTCTATTTCTCAATTTTGAAATTTTATTTATTTATCTTCGACTTCTCCATCCTTTGATTTTTCAGTTTTTCGATGTCTCGATTTCCCAACCGACATTTTAGTTTTTAGATTTTTCAATTTTTCATTTTTCGATTTTTTAAATTTTGACGCTTTTCTATTATTCAATTTTTCAATATTTCATTTTTGGGAATTTTTGATTTTTCGACTCCTCGATTTCCCTCCCGTTCTTTTGATTTTTCGATATTTCGATTTTTTTAATTCCCAATTTTTCGACATTTCAGTTTTGGGATTTTTCAATTTTTTGATTTTTTAAATTTTGGATTTTTCTATTTCTCGATTTTTAAAATTTTTGATTTTTCGACTTCTCGAACCTTTGATCTTTCGACTTTTCAGTTGATTTTTAAAATTTTGAATTTTTCTATTTCTCGAATTTGAAATTTTATTTATTTTTCGACTTCCCGATTTCTCGACCCTTTGATTTTTCGAATTTTCAGCTTTTCGATGTTTCCATTTCCCAATCGACATTTTAGTTGTTAGAGTTTTCAGTTTTTCATTTTTCGATTGTTTAAATTTTCACAACTTTTTATTATTCTATTTTTCAACATTTCATTTTTGGGAATTTTTATTTTTTGACTTCTCGATTTCCCGATTTTTTGATTTTACAATCTTGGATTTTTATATTTCTCAATTTTTAAATTTAATTTATTTTTCTTCGACTTTTCGCTTTCTCGACCCTTTGATTTTTCAGTTTTTCGATGTCTCGATTTCCCAATCGACATTTTAGTTTTAAAATTTTCAGTTTTTCGATTTGTCGACATTCCGATTTTTTGGTTTTTAAAATTTCTCAACATTTCAATTTTGGGAATTTTTCAAGTTTTCGATGTACCAATTTTTCCATGTTTGGATTTCCAATTTTTCGACTTTTTAAATTTTGAATTTTTCGATTTCTCGATTTTTCAATTTTTTTATTTAATTGCGATTCTATGTTTCGACTTCGTTCGACTATCCCTTCATTTTTATTTTTTTAATATTTCAATTGTTCCGATTCTCGACATCTAGATTTTTCAATTTTTCTTGTTTCAGTTTTTCGAAAACCTTTTTTTACCATTGGTTATCTGTTTTAAATATATTTCACATTGTCTACACTTGTGCGGGCCGCGTCCCCTTGCAATTTGGAGTGTTGTTTAGGACACTAGTTTTTATTTTATAAAAGTTATCAGAAAACAAAAATCATAAACAGTTTTGATAGTTTTTCAAAGAAGCGGAATTTGTTGGGCTGCACTTCAAAGGTGAGTTTCGTCGAAAAAACCTTCGACTAATTTTTTTTACCTTAGGCACCCAGATTATTGAAAAAAAAAATCTAATGATACAGCATTTTCCAATTCATTTTAGAAACCGCAAAATCGAATGCTCTGGAATCTTGCAACCTTTTAAATTACATAATTAAGCATGGTAAATCGCTAAACAAAATGTATCAGTTTTTCTTCTCCAAAAAGCTGATAACGTCATTTCAAAATTTTGATGGACAAATCAATCATATCTAAAATGTGCACATTAATCTTTATCAGTGCATTCATATTTTTTAGAATGCTTATGTGTACAAATAATTCTACTCAGAAAAAATTATGAATGCACCCATTTATTTTGGTGATTAAATCAAAAACGACTTACCTCATTTTCCTGAAATTTTGAAAATACAGTACTGAGTATCAAGATGACTAAGCAGTTGTATACAATTACAAACCTCCATCTTTAAAAATGGCGAATCTGTGATTTTTTAAATATGACCATTTTTCCATAAAAATGCAAATATTTTGAAAATTATGAAACAAAAACTCCTTGTACAATTTTGAATGAGTTAAATGGAACACCCTGTATATTTGAAATAAATATAAATGCGTAATCTGCGGCCACCAACCGCCGACGCACTCTGTATTTTTTTAAATTTTACAGCATATTAAAAAAAAAAAAACGTGCATAACTGAAATTAATCTTACAATGGTTAGGGTTCAGTTAACTTATTAAAGCGAATTCTTTAGGCATCAACAATTTATCAATTAAAATACGTATAAATAGAAACCCAAGTCGTGAGCCAAAGTGGAACAGCGTGAATTAAAGTTCTTCGATAAAACTCTATGAGTAAAAAATTAATTATCGCAGTCTCGGTAATGAGTCAAGATATTAATCAACCTCTAATGGTTAGAAAATGATGAAGCTAATAATTATATGAAAGAAATTATCTTCTCATTTGCGCCACAAAACTTTCGGCATTAATAAGTACTAATTTCAAATAAGTAACGAAAATCCACCAAAAAAAGACCAAAATAAAACTTTTCCCGTGTACCGGCTTAAAACGTGAACGCGACAAATACATTATTCATGTCGGTATTGATTACCACTTTAGCAGATTTTTTTAATTACCCGTATCAACTGCGGCAAAACTAAATTAGCATTACGGAGAAATTTGATTATATAAATGCGAAAAAAACAAATATATCCAGCAAAATATGTACAACATTCACACAAAATAAATCAAATTAAGTACGCCACAGGCTATTTTTAATCGTCAAAAAACGACACAAGTGAAGACGGAATATTTATATTTGCGTAGACATCCTTCAAGCCCGAAAATTTATTAAGAACGCCAAATATTAGACACTAGTGGCAGTGCTTGAACACACTTCCCACAGAGCTCAATTCTATCTGAACTGACCCACGAAATCGTTATTTATAACTTTATATTGCTTGCGAAAACTTGATCTAACGTCAATTAGAAAACATAAACAACTGCATGATTGCTGGTTTTTTCTCAAAACGCAAAATCCCTTTGAAAACATTGCTCATTGTTTAAAAGTCGTGTAAACAGAGAAAAATCTGCACACACTGCGATGATAATCACAAAAGCGTACCAACTCTTGATACTTACTCAAGCCGACCATCTTATCTGGTACTTTAATATCCTCGTTTAGCTGTGGCCCGCCGCCCATGGCCGGTCCACCCATGCCGCCCTGGTTTGGTGGCGGTCTGCTCCCTGGAGGAGGGAGTTGAGGAGGTGGTCCGCTGGTCCCGGGACCCTTTTTCGCATCCGGTTCTGCAAAATGATCTGCAAAAGTAATAAATAGTTCCAGGAAAAAAACGTCTCTTCACCTAAATACACAAAATTTGTTTTCTGATACAATAGTTTATTTACCGCTGCATTTTTTCGAGTATTTACTTTCAAACCACGTGTTTGAGTTTGTTGAGAGTGTTCAAGATAGTTTTATGAAATGTTACATACTAGATTTCAGTGTTATTCTTTAAACCATTTTTAAACTTAAAAAGCGGCAAATAGGTTACTTTTCTACTACAACTTTTGTACTAAGCAAAACAAAACGTATGTTTATTAAGCCTTCTCGAGTTATTTTTAGTCACACAAGACGCTGCTAAAATTCTAGAACCTAATACCGACACTCTAAGGAAACAACAATCGAATCATATGGTTAAACTACGCAATTACGCCGTAAGTGCTAGTCTACATCCACATGCTACCCCGCTTCGCTTTTCTACTCTCTGATTACAAAACAAATCTCAAATCCGTCCCTGTACTTCCGGGAATGCCCCTGGTAGAAAGGCGCGTCACATGCTAACCCCACATACCTGGACCGTCCTCCAAAGGCCTCTTCTGTCTGTTATCGTTGGGATTCGTCGAGTTTGGGTTAATTTTGGCGGCGATCTGAAGCAAATGTGAGACGGTGGTTAGGTTTTGTTTGTTGTGGGACGAGACAAGCCGATCGGGCCTTTGTTGTTTAGGGCGATTGCGTACCTGTTTAGCGCGTTGGAGGGCCGCCGCGAAGGCTGAAGACTGGTTGAAGTTCTGTTGAGGTGGCGGAGCTACCGCTGAATAATCACTCATTTTTTATCAACATTAACAAAATTTTGTCCACATATAAAACATAAAATGGTGGCGCCCAGTCGCCCGCGTACAAACGTGAAACGACAGCGTTGGAACTAGGCTAGGGAGAAGCGGGCTGCCAACCGCGCGATGCCAACACGCGGAATGGGGGGTGGCGCGCAATTCGAATCTGGTCGTGGTGATTTTACGTTTGGTTTAAAAGCTTGGTTTTAAGTTTTGGTAAACTTGTCTATTTTAAAATTTTTAAAATTAGAAACTCATTTAAACAAATAATAAAAAAAGTAAGTAAAATTAGTTCAGTATAGTTGCGAAAATTTGTAAAAGCAAAACAAAAAGAATGTAAGTGGTGAGGCGAGACATACAAATTCACGGGTGTATTATTTGTTGCATACCTCATTTTCAAAATTAAAACCAAAGGCAATACATTTCTACAGTTTTAAATTTATTTAGAAAGGTTTTTCATAATATATTCAAACAAGAGCCGAAATTTTGAGAAATAACGTGGATCAGTAGTTAAATGAGAAAGTATTAAAAGTAACTAAACTATGATTACCTAATAACTGTGGTGTCACTTCTACAGATATAAGAAAACTTGTGTTTGTGTGACTAGTTTGATTAGATAAGAATGGACTATTCCAAGACTTTGATTTCTATATAAACGTTTCAGTTCTTTCTTTGTACATTTGTATGCACACCTTTTCGTTTCGCTTCATTATTGCTAAAATTATGTTTTAGTTTTTTTAAAATTGTAAAAAATATCGTTAGTGTTTTATTTTTTTTTATTTCTATACTATTTAGATGTTTGGGTACTGATTATCACTAAATCAACAAACATGAATTTTTTGTTATCGTAAAAATTGATTATTTTATCAATAACTCATGAACTCGTAATCCGAATAGTACTCATTTTTATCGTTATATAAAATTTGCGGTTTTACTATAGGTATACCGGGTGTTTGAATGTTCCAGTTTTTTAAAATTAAAAGTTTGTACTATTTTACCACATATCTATATTGTAATAAGGATTCTGAATGAAGAAAAGAAATGGTTGACAGAACTTCCCTCGTCTCTGAAGAACTTTTCAATTTTTTACTTTTTAGATTTTGCAGTTTGTCGATTTGAGTTTCTCGAGTTTTCAATTTTTCGTTTCGGTTTTTGTTTATTTTTACAATTATTAGATGTTGCAATTTTATAATTGTTGTTTTTTTCAGTTTTCAATTTTACAATTTTTGGGTTTTCTAATTTTTCGATTCGATTCGTTTTTTCGTTCTCTCAAATTTTTTGATTCATTAATTTTTTTCGATTTTTAAGTTTCTCGATTTTTAGTTTTTCGTTTCTTCAGTTTTTTTTCGATGTTTCAATGTCAAGTTTTTCAGTTTTTAGATTGTTCAATTTTTCGATTTTCAATTTTTCGGTTTTTCAACTTTTAGAATGATTAATTTTCCGTTTTTTCAATTTTAGATTTTTGAGTCTCTCGATTTTTTAGTTTTTAGTTGTTCAATTTTTGCATTTTAAATATCTAATAACAATAATTTTATAATTTTTCACTTTTTCAATTTTACGATGTCAGAATTTTTCCATTTTTCAATTATTGGGTATTAAAACTTTTTTAATTAATCGATTTTTTGATTTTTCGATGTATCAATGTTACAGTTTGCAATTTCTCGATTTTACATTTTTAGGTTTCCAAAGTTTTCGATTAATTTTTTTTTCGATTTTTAAGTTTCTAGATTTTTAGTTTTTCAGTGTTTCAATTTTTCGTTTCTTCAGTTTTTCGATTTGCAATTTTCCGAGTTTACAAGTTTCAATTTTTTCAGTTTTTCAGTTTGCCATCTTTTGAATTTTTCAATTTTTCGATTTTTTTTTCATTTCTTCAATTTTTCGATTTGCAATTTTTCGTTTCGATTTTTTATTTTCTTACTTTTTTTCAATTTTTCGGTGTTTCAATGTGAAATTTTTCAATTTTTAGTTTTTTAATTTTTCAATATTTCAACTTTTAGATTGATTAATTTCTCGTTTTTTCAATTTTAGATTTTTCAGTCTCTCGATTTTTTAGTTTTTCGTTTATTCAATTTATTTTCATTTTAAATATCTAATAATAATAATTTTATAATTTCTCGCTTTTTCAATTTTATGATTTTAGAATTTTTCCATTTTTCAATTATTGGATTTTAACACTTTTTTTAAATAAACGATTTTTGATTTTTCTGTGTTTCAATGTTACAATTTTTCAACTTTGCAATATTTCGATTTTACACTTTTGTGTTTTTCAATTTTTCGATTCGATTCGATTTTGTCTTCTTTTTAATTTTTCGATTTTTAAGTTTCTCGATTTTTGGTTTTTCAGTGTTTCAATTTTTCGATTTGTAGTTTTTCAATTTTTCATTTTTCTTTTGTTTCTTCAATTTTACATGTAACCCTCCAAGTTTTATTGTTAAATTTTTACCGTTTTTCGATTTTCTAACTTTTGGATGTTTCGATTTTTTGTTTTCTTTATTTTTTTCAATTTTTCTGTTTCAATGTGAATTTTTTCAGTTTTCAGATTTTTCAAGTTTTCGATTTGCAATTTTTCGGTTTTTCAACTTTTAGATTGATTACTTTCTTGTTTTTTCAATTTTAGACTTTTTAGTCTCTCGATTTTTTAGGTCTTAGTTATTCAATTTTACGATTTTAGAATTTTTCCATTTGTCAATTATTATTGGATTTTAAAACTTTTTTCATTAATCGATTTTTGATTTTTCGATGTTTCAATGTTACAGTTTTTCAACTTTACAATTTTTCAATTTTACATTCTTTTGGGTTTTCCAATTTTTCGATTTGATTCTTTTTTTCTTCTTTCCACTTTTTCGATTCATTATTTTTTTCGATGTTTAAGTTTCTCGATTTTTAGTTTTTCAATGTTTCAATTTTTCGTTTCTTCAGTTTTTCGATTAGTATACATTTTTCCAGTTTTTCAATTTGCCAACTTTTGAATTTTTCAATTTTTCGTTTTTTTTTTCATTTTCTTCAAATTTTCGATTTGCAATTTTGCGTTTCGGTTGTTAATTTTCTTCGTTTTTACAATTTTTTGATGTTCCAATGTTCCGATTTTGTACATGTTTTTTCATTTTCAGTTTTTCGTTTCGTCAATTTTTCGATATGTAATTTTTTAGTTTTTTATTTTTCTTTTGTTTCTTCAATTTTACATGTAACTCTCCGAATTTTCATTTTTAAATTTTTGCCGTTTTTTGATTTTCCAACTTTTGGATATTTCAATTTTTTATTTTAACCATTTTGCGATTTTTTAATTTGTCACTTTTTCGTTCGGTTTTTTGTTTTCTTTATTTTTTTAATTTTTCGTTTACGATTTTAGAATATTCCTATTTTTCAATTGTTGGATTTTAACTCTTGTTTAATTAATCGATTTTTTAATTTTTCGATGTTTCAGTGTAACAATTTCTCAACTTTCAATTTTTCGATTTTACAATTTTTGGGTTTTCCAAATTTTGGATTCAATTCGTTTTTCTTCTTTCCAATTGTTCGATTCACTAATTTTTTTCGATTTTTAAGATTTTCGATTTTTAGTTTTTCAATGTTTCAATTTTTCGTTTCTTCAATTTTTCGAATTGCAATTTTCCAAGTTTCAAGTTTAAATTTTTTTAGTTTTTCAATTTGTCAACTTTTTCGATTTTTATTCTTTTTCATTTCTTCAAATTTTCCATTTCCAATTTTGTGTTTCGGTTTTTTATTTTCTTCGTGTTTACACTTTTTCGATGTTCCAATGTTCCAATTTTATAATTGTTTTTTAAATTTTTTGTTTCTTAAATTTTTCGATTTGCCATTTTTCAGTTTTTTCTTTTTCTTTTGTTTCTTCAATTTTACATGTAACTCTTCAAGTTTTATTTTTAAATGTTTACAATTTTTTGATTTTTCAATTTTTCGATATTTCAACTTTTAGACTGATTAATTTTTCGTTTTTCCAATTTTAGGTTTTTGCAGTCTCTCGATTTTTTAGTTTTTATTTATTAAAATTTATTTTAATATCTAATAGTAATTTTATATTTTCCGATTCGATTCGTTTTTTCCTTCTTTCGAATTTTTCGATTCATTAATTTTTTTCGATTTTTAGGTTTCTCAATTTTTAGTTTTTCAAGGTATCAATTTTTCGTTCCTTCAGTTAATTTTTTTCAGTTTTTCAATTTTTTTCCCTTTTGTTCAAATTTTCGATTTGCAATTATGCGTTTCGGTTTATTATTTTCTTCGTTTTTACAATTTTTCCATGCTCCAATGTTTTTCGATTTTATATTTTTTTCAATTTAAATTTTTTCAATTTTTCGTTTTTTCAACTTTTCAATTTGCAGTTTTTTAGTTTTTCATTTTTCTTTTGTTTCTTCAATTTCACGACTCTCCGAGTTTTCATTTTTAAATTTTTGCAGTTTTTTATTTTTCAACTTTTGGATGTTTTAATTTTTTATTTTGCCAATTTTTCGATTTATTAATTCTTCAATTCTTCAAGTTTTCGTTTCGGTTTTTTTATTTTCTTAATTTTTTCAATTTTCCGTGTTTTCCATGTGAAATTTTTGAATTTTTAGGTTTTTCAATTTATAGATTTGCAATTTTTTGGTTTGTCAATTTTTAGATTTAATAATGTTTAATTTTTTTCATTTTAGATTTTTCACGTTCTTGATTTTCTAGTTTTTCGTATCTGCAATTCATTTCCATTTTAAATATCTAATTATAAGTATAATTTAAAAAAAAATTACTTTTTCAGTTTAACGATTTTAAAATATTCCCATTTTCAATTGTTGGATTTTAAAACTTTTTTAATTAATCGATTTTTTAATTTTACAGTTTTTGGGTTTTCCAATTTTTCGATTCGATTCGTTTTTTCTTCTTTCCAATTTTTCGATTCGTTAATTTTTTTCGATTTTTAAGTTTCTCCATTTTCAGTTTTTCAATGTTTCAATTTTTCGTTTCCGAGTTCTCAAGTTAAATTTTTTCTTTTTTTCAATTTGCCAACTTTTGAATTTTTCAATTTTTCGATTCTTATTTTCTCAATTCTTCAAGTTTTCGATTTGCAATTTTGTGTTTCGGTTTTTTATTTTCTTCGTTTTCACAATTTTTTGATGTTCCAATGCTCCGATTTTATAATAGTTTTTTTAATTTCAAATTTTTCAATTTTCTGTTTCTTCAATTTTTCGATTTGCAATTTTTCAGTTTTTTCTTTTGTTTCTTCAATTTTACGACATATAACACTCCAAGTTTTGTTTATAAAGTTTTACAGTTTTTCGATTTTCCGACTTTTGGATGATTTAATTTTTTTATGCAATTTTTTTATTTTTAAATTTTTCATTTCTTCAATTTTTCGATTTGCAATTTTTTGTTTCGATTTTTTATTTTCTTTATTTTTTCAATTTTTCGGTATTTCAATGTGAAATTTTTCAATTTTTCGATTTGTAATTTTTCGGTTTTTCAACTTTTAGATTGATTAATTTTTCGGTCTTTCAATTTTAGACTTCTCAGTTTCTCGATTTTTTAGTTTTTCGTTTATTCAATTTATTTTCATTTTAAATGTTTAATAATAATAATAATTTTATAATTTTTCACTTTTTTAATTTTACGATTTAGGAATTTTTTCGTTTTTGAATGATTGGATTTTAAAACTTTTTAATTAATCGATTTTTTGATTTTTCAATGTTCCAATTTTACAATTTTTCAACTTTACAACTTCCCGAGTTTCAAGTTTAAATTTTTTCAGCTTTTCAATTTGCCAACTTTTCAATTTTTATTTTCTTTGTTTTTAAATTTTTCGATGTTCCAATGTTCCGATTTTATAATTGTTTTTTCAATTTCGATTTTTTCAACTTTTCAATTTGCAGTGTTTTAGTTTTTCATTTTTCTTTTGTTTCTTCAATTTTACGACACGTAGCTCTCCGAGTTTCCTTTTTAAATTTTTACAGTTTTTTGATTTTCCAACTTTTGGATGTTTGGATTTTTTATTTTGGCAATTTTTTGATTTTTCAATTTTTCAATTTTTCATTTCGGTTTTTTATTTTCTTTATTTTGTGAATGTTTCGATTTTTCAATTTTTCGTTTCGGTTTTTTATTTTCTTTATTTTTCAATTTTTCGGTTTTTCAGTTTTTCCATTTTCAATTTTTCGGGTTTTCAACTTTTAGATTCATTAATTTTTTATTTTTTCCATTTTAGATTTTTCGCTTTCTTGGTGTTTTCAAGTTTTTCTTTTCTACAATTCATTTTCATTGTAAATATAATTAGAATTTTTATTTGCGTTTCGGCTTTTTATTTTCTTCGTTTTTACAATTTATTGATGTTCCAATGTTCCGAGTTTATAATTGTTTTTTCAATTTTAATTTTTTCAATTTTTCGTTTCTTTTCGATTTGCAATTTTTTAGTTTTTCATTCTTCTTTCGTTTCTTCAATTTTACGATATGTAACTCTCCGAGTTTTCATTTTAAAATTTTTACAGTTTTTTGATGTTCATACTTTTGGATGTTTAGATTTTTTATTTAGCAATTTTTCGATTTTTCAGTTTTTCAATTTCTCAATTTGTCGTTTCGGTTTTTCATTTTCTTTATTTTGTCAATTTTTCGGTTTTTCAATTTTTCGATTTGCAATTGTTTGGTTTTTCAACTTTTATTAGATTCATTAATTTTTCGTTTTTTCCACTTTAGATTTTTCAATTTCTCAGTTCTCTAGTTTTTGATTTTTACAATTTATTTTCATTTTAAATATCTAATTATAATTATAATTAAAAAAAAAATCTCTTTTTTAGTTTTACGATCTTAGATTATTCCCACTTTTCAGTTGTTGGAGTTTAAAACTTTTTTGATTAATCGATTTTTCAATTTTTCGATCTTTAGTGTCACAATTTTTCAACATTGCAATTTTGACGATTCTATAATTTTTCGACTTTACAATTTTTGGGTTTTCCAATTTTTTAATTTTTCAATTTTTTCCGAATTTTTTAGGTTTTCGATTTTTCAATGTTTCAATTTTTCAACTTTCCGAATCAAAAAAAGCAATAGGAAAAAGTATAAAATGAAAACTTTAAAAAATCTAAAAACTGGAAAACAAGAACATGAAAAATTGAAACGAAAAATTGAAAAATCGAAAGATCACAATTTGAGAGACCTAAAAACGAAAAAGTGCAAAATGGAAAAAACGAAATATTATAAAATCGAAATATTGAAAATTAAAGGAATCGGAAAATTCAGGAATTGAAACATCAAAGAAAAATTATAAAACCGAAAGAATCATTGAAAAAATAAAGCGAAAAATGTGAATGAAAAACTAAAACAAAGAACTTGAAAAATCGAGGAGAAGAAGTTTTTTGGAAGGGATAAACGACTAAATTTTGATTAACGATTTACCATGATTACGATAACATGCGAAGTATAAGCTTATTTTATAAAATTGAAATAATATTTTTTACTACTGTGAATTTTGGAGACGACGACATCCTATTGTTAGTGGGGATGTTTCACCAAATTTTGGTTTACACGATATTCTTAATACACATATAAAATTTGACAACAATCGATCCAATAATTTTGGAAATTATCTGTGTAATAAAAATTCGGACAAACGAGAGACAGACAGACTGATGGAAACGGGAGACCTATTTTTCGTCTTCTATGTGACATCAAAAGTCGAGTAAACATAAAACCGTCCAATGGACTCGAAAGTATAAAATGCTTTCAGATTCAAACTCATTAGGGATGATTTCATTAAGAAACGCAAAAACTTTGTTAGTCATTTTTATTCATTCTTAACACAATTAATTAATAACTAGAATGTTCATTAAACATTAATTATGGTTATTCACACCTACTATTATTATCTTTAATTTACAGTTGATAATTATTCGCCACCTGTTTATTTATAATGAATTACTAATGTATTAGTGCTGGATTCGATTTAGTTGCTTGTAGTCTTTTAGTGAGTTTAATAGTTAATTAATTAAATTCAGAGAGCAGTTAACTCATAGCTATAAAGAAACTAATTAATGTATGACTTGGAATTAGTTTCAAAAATAATTTTAATTGACTGATCGTTTCTCTTCAAGACACATTGAAGCAGTGAAGAAGTTTCCTTTATCTATCTTATAAGGGGCTTAAATACTGAATTTTATTTCAACGATGCATACAAATCTTTTTTGACCTTCATCCACGATATTTGATTTTTAGTTCAAAATAAATTAATGACACGTAATAACCAATAATTATGGTTAACCGATCTATTAAAGTTAGTCACATTCTTTTAAATCAAAGCGAAAAGGAAATTTTACCGTCCACAAAATTCAAACAACACATAATTTATGCACTACGGAATAGGATGTAATTTTCCATGTGAAATAAAACTTAAATCATAATTAAAATTAGAAATGTATTAATTCCGGGAAAAAAAACACTAAAAAGCAATAACGCAGCACTTTTAGCTTTTGTTTGCTTTCATATTGCTAATAAAAAAATTATAATCTTTCAAACTCTTCAAGTTAGAAACTAAAATAGTCTGAGTGAACGTTTAGACGAAAACTTGTAAGTTTATTTTGGGGTTTTGGATGGTAAAAAATGCGTAACACGAGTAGTTTTTATTTGCAAAATATATTTCAACAAAGTTAGGACAACACAAGTGCAACAAAACAAGCTTAACTATTAAATATATGATAACAATAATAAACAATCTAGATACAGAAATAACACGTTATATTAAAACACACTGAGAAGAAAATTACACTTAAGGAAAAAATATTGACATAAATATACTTTTATGATCCTATTATTAAATAACATACATACTTACATAATTCTTACAATTATTAGATACATGGAATTACAGCAACACGATAGCTAACAGTAAAATATAAAATACACATATACGAAAGAAAGGTAACTGAAAACCACCACGGGCGTAGTCTAGAAATTAAACTTAGAATAAAAATGAGCTCCTAACCTTATAAGTATTTCTATTCGGTATTTTAATTACTAGTGCAATCTTGTCGTGTACTTTTTATTACACACGCACTCGATCAACATCAGAATAATAATACCAATATCACATTTACATACAACAGAAAAAGAGAGACATGAACGCAAAGCTATCATAAAACAACAATCACAATCGTAATTAAGACTAGATAACTAATCAACTGCCAACTTCTTAAAACTTCCATCGATTCCCACACCAAGTTCTTCGTTCATTTCAGAAACCAGAGGACACGTCTTCTCGTCAATTTCGATATACATATCATCCAAAGACAAAACGCTGTCGCGTTTTTCTTTAAGGGTGGTCTTAAACTTGGCTAACATTTCTTCAAGAGGAACTTCGCCGCCGTACTCTTTGGGGAGAATTTTCTTGTCGATTTTGTCGTACATTTCGTCAATGCTCTTGTAAATCTAGGGAAACCAAAAAATCAAATACACTAGTCGAAATAATACACAAACTTACGAAAATTCTGTTTCTCAATTTCTCGTTTAAGAGCGATATAGCGAACTCGATTAGTTTAATCGCGCTGGATGAGATGTTCAAGAAATGGTTAGCCTTGTGTCTCATTGGCGTGGTGTTCTGAAATTTCAAAAGTTGAAGATGGTTTCAAATTTGGATTTTAACATTACTTGGATGCATCTAAGGATGTTTCTGACGTCAGTCAGAGACCATAGCGAGATGTGCGCCATTTGGAAGCCGCTTTCGTCGTTGATGTAAGTGTAGCCGTTTATCTGGTTGATTTCGTCATCCATCAGAGCTTCGGTTATCAAACTGTGCACTTTTACCATGTGTGCTGAGGTAAATTTATGGGGATCAAATTTTCCAGCACAGCTGAATAGCACCAATCTTCCTTGGTCGCGCTCTAGTAAGGGCACCAAGTATCCTGCGTTGATGATTTCTGCGAGATCTGGGTCTTCACAGTCCAGATTCCTGAACCATTGTGGGTAGAGTTGGCGGATGGTCAAATAGCGTTCAAGCATTTCGCAGGCCAGGGGCACGCTGAATTTGCGTGTTCGGAGGAAACGGAGCAGGAAAGGAGCGTCTGAAAAGTGGGTTAAAGGTAAAAGAATCGTCCTAGTAAAATTCTTTTTAAGTAAAAGAACAATAATTTATTTTAGGTTAGTAGATTTATTTTCTGATTTAACTAAATAAGATTCTAGACTGGAAGTACTATGAGAAGAACATCCCTATTGTCACTCTGTATTTTTGTAGCGAATACTTCAGATATTTTTTGTAGTTATAGTTTTTCGTCTTTCAGAACTTTTTTTTTATACAGACTTCGAAACGATTTCACAATTACATACATTACCTGCTATGCGTAAATTAAACATTATTTGCACAAAGACTAAACTCTGAAAAGAATTTATTGCAATGCTTACGTACTCCCATAAAAAAGGCATAAATTATACTTTTTATAATTTCCTGCAACATAGTATGTATATTGTATATATTATAATTTTATTAAAAACAATGTTGTAAGATACGCCTACTTAATAACTATCAGTTCAGTTAAATATTTTCAACTTGGAGCTGTGAATTCGTTTGGCACAATAGTTACTTGAATAAATTATATCTGACTTCCACGTTATGTAAAATTACTGGAATCGTAAAATTTTGATATCTAACACGCAAAGTCAAACCGTAAAATTTGTGAGATTAACATTCATATATTTCTACCAAGTATTTTTTAATATTGTATTTTTTTAAAAAATTTGAGATTCTAAAGTCAAAAAAGACAATGGTTGTGTAATAGTAGGATAAGGCGCTTAATTTCATTAGATAACGCGTATTCCTGAAAAAAGTTGTCAAGCTAAATTCGTAATCGTAATATCTTCAAATCATACTTAATTAAAATAAAAAAGGGTCCAATTTTCTAATTCTTCTAAAAGTGGATTCGTTTGACTGTACTGTATTTTCTTAAAAAATAGTATGAATTAGTATTTTTTATTAAAACATGAAGTATGTAGAACAATTTCCAAAAAATTATACTTTTTTTTCTAGAAAAAAACCGAACGATACTGAAATCGGACATAATTTTTAATTTCAACATAAAAAACTCGTGTGATTTCTTCAAATTTCTGAAGACACAGTTTTCGAAAAAAACTATACTATACATAAAGTCATTAAGTGTAATTAGGTTGGCAACACTTGCTGTCACTTGTGCCTGATTCATGCTCATATTGTAATAAAGCTATTATAGTGGCGACATTCGTATGGAATTATTTATAATTTCATAATTTAAAATAATTATTTAAATAACAGCTTACAAATCCAGGTGTTTTTTTACCTTTTTCGTATTTTATTTGCTAAATTAATCATTAATTGTGTCATTACTCATCATAATTTAAAATAGACATTCGTGGCCCTCGAGATTGTGTCATAAACATTTTAAAATTGACACACGTAGCCTTGAGATTGTGTCAGTCATTTAAAATAGACATTTGTGACTCCCAAAATTCCTATATAATCGTTTTAAAAAAGACACTCTCAACCCCGAGATTCTTTAAAAATCTTTTTAAAGAATCAAATAAATATGAATTTTGCAGTTAAACTCCGCCTCTCGAACTGGCAACAAATGAAAAATTCGTCACAATAGAGAAGGGTGGGTGGGTGGGGCTTACTTAATCATAATTTCTTTTTTTTAATATGTGTATAGTTTTCTTTCAATAACACGATACTTAAAGCATTTGGGTCACCGAAATTGTGTCATAATAATTTAAAACAGACATTTGTGGCACTCGAGATAGTGTCATAATTATTTTAAAATTGGCACACGTGGCCTAGAGATTGTGTCAATCATTTAAAATAAATAGACACTTGTAGCCTCGGAAATTGTGTCATAATCATTTAAAATTGACACACGTGGCCTCCGAGATTGTATCAAAATCGTTTGAAATAAGACACTTGTGACTCCCAAAATTCCTACATAATCGTCTTAAAAAAGACATTCGGGACCCCGAGATTTTTAAAAATCTTTTTAAAGAATCAAACAAATGTGAATTTTGCAATTAAACTCCGCCCCTCGATCAGACAACAAATGAAAAATTCGTCACAATAGGGAAGGGTGGGTGGGGCTTAATTATTCATGATTTCTTTTTCTTAATATGCATACTTATAGTTTTCTTTCAACAACACGATACTTAAAGCATTGGGGCCCCCGAAATTGTGCCATAATAATTTGAAATAGACATTTGTGGCACTCGAGATAGTGTTATAATTATTTTAAAATTGGCACACGTGGCCTTGAAATTGTGTTAATCATTTAAAATAAATAGACACTTGTAGCCTCGGAAATTGTGTCATAATAATTTAAACTAGACACTTGTGACTCCCAAAATTCCTACATAATCGTTTTAAAAAAGACACTCTGGACCCCGAGGTTCTTTAAAAATCTAAAAAAAAAAATATGATTTTAATTTTCCAATTAAACTCCGCCCCTCGAACTGACAACAAATGAAAAATTCGTCACAATAGAGAAGGGTGGGTGGGTGGGGCTTACTTAATCATGATTTCTTTTTCTTAATATGTGTATGGTTTTCTTTCAACAACACGATACTTAAAGCATTTGGGTCACCGAAATTGTGTCATAATAATAAAAAATAGACATTTTGTGTCACTCGAAATTATGTCATAATCATTTAAAATTGACACACGTGGGGCTTGAGAAGACACTTGTGCTCCCTGTTAAAATTATTGAGTGTACATAATAAAATATACGGTAAAAATTAAAGTTATGTTTTATAACACCGATATCAATAGGTGCAAATTTTTGAAAATATTAAACTCCAAATCTGACGAATTAACGTTGCCAAAAATGACATCTGTCAACAATAAAAAATGACGTTGTGGATCGTATTCTAACAAACAATTATTAAATTATTAGTAGGTAATTATTCAACTGTCTACTAGAGAATGCAGCTCATTAAAACAAATCAAAATTACGAAGTTAATTCTTCAACTTTGCCGGTAAATATTTTCAAAAGTTAGGTGTAGGGATTTTTTTAACCATTTTTTGAAGTTCTTCCGAACCATCTTAACAAGGTACCTTTGAGTATATACGTCATTTTTCAACACCCTGTATAAATTTTCATAAAAAAATTGGTCGAAGGGATTAGACTTCTCTTGTCTCTGAAGTACAAAATAATAAATGAAGTTTCAAGAGGTATATATATTTTTTCATGATAACCCATCTATGTGTGGACAAAGTACGACGTCAACCATATTGCTAGTATAAAACTTAAAAAAAACTGGACGTCTAAGAAAAAAAAAATAAAAGCGGAATCATTAAACACAAGTATAAAAGTATGTTATTTTATGAAATTTAAATAATATTTACTATGCAAAATTTTGAGATGACGTCATCAAATTGTTAGTGAGGATGACTAGACAAATTACGGTTAGCGTTTTATCACCTTCATGATATTTCCAAAATGCACCAAAACTTTACACAATCAGTCCAGTAGTTTTCTAAATTATGTGTAGTAAAATCGCCATAGACCAGACGACAGACAGACGGAAACGGGGACCCATTTTTTCATACTATTAGGATAACGAAATATCGAAAAATATGAAAGTAGTGTTTGCTGGATGGAGTCTATTACAATATTAATTTGTAATAAGTCAAAAGTAAAATAAAAGAACATTTTTGAAAAAAAAAATCATCATAATTGAGAATTGAGATCGGGGCGGGTATGGGTGGGGCCTAATCTTTGTCTTTATTTTTTTTTTTTTAATAAGTAAACATAGTATTCTTGGAAGAACACGATACTCAAAAACATGTTTTTAATTTCTCGTAGAGAAATAAGGATTTTGCAGTTAAGCTCCGCCCTCTTGGATCACGGCGAATAAAAAAAAATCATCACAATTGAGATAGGGCGGGTGGGTGGGGCTTACATGTTACTTTTTTTTCTTAATATGTGCAGTCATCTTTTCGCAACAAAAAACTTAACATTTGTTTCAAATGGTAAATTTGTATAGGGAAATATCGATTCTGCAATTACGCACCGCCCCTCGGTCTGACAACGAATGAAAAATTCATCACGATTGAGATCGGTTTTCTTTTTTAATTAATACATTTAGGGCCGGTTTATAGAAGCGCGAGTTAAATATTTAATCCTCGATTATTTTAACACTGGATTAAAATGTGAAATGGGAGCTCGTGATTGGTTAAAACCTGCACGTCGCCTAGCAACGAACCTCAATTAAAAGTTAATCGCGAATTAACTTTAACTTCGGTTTCTATAAACCAGGTCCTAGTTTTCTTTGCATAACATGATTACTTAAGAACATATTTCACTTAGTAATTTCTCGTAAAAAAATAAGGATTTTAAAATTAAGCTCCGCCCCTCGGCTTATGACAAATAAAAAAAAATCATCAGAACTGAGATAGGGCGGGTGGGTGGGGCTTATATTTTCCTTTTTTTTTAACATGCATAGCGATTTTTTCAGAACAAAAAACTTAAAACATGGTTAAAATGGTGCATTTTTGCAAGGAAATATGAATTTTGTAATTATGATGCGGGGGGTAATTGCAAAATCGATATTTTCTTACAGAAATTTTGCATTTTAAACATGTTATAAGTTTGATGTTGTGAAAAGAAATCTACACATATTAAAACAAGAAGGCAAAATGTAAGCCCGCCCACCCGCCCTATCTCAATTGTGGTGATTTTTTTATTCGCCGTGAACCAAGAGGGCGTAACTTAACTGCAAAATTCTTATTTCCATACAAAAAATTAAAAACATGTTTTTGAGTATCGTGTTGTTCAAGGAATACTATGTATAAGTATTAAGAAAAAATTGGTCTAAAGAGTTTAGACAGTACTTCCCTCGCTGTCGGAAACTTGACGACTGCATGCCTATTGTGTTTTTTTCTCATTACATTTTTGTAGTGGGAATTTAAAAAAAAATTGCGATGACGTCATCAACATTTTTGCAAGGACACGTATATCAGTTGGGATAGATGTAGTGTAATACTAAGAATAAAATTACTATATTCTCAAATTTTCGGGAAAATGAATTGGGTCGTTTGAATATTGATTTGTAATAATCAATAAAATAACGAAACAATTTACTCACGTATACCTACGTATCAGAGGCAACTGAAAATCGTGTATGTATAAACACTGTTAATTTAAGATGACAGGCGTAACAGCATACGTGAGAGCCAAACACAGAAACTGTAAACAAAACGACCGTCGGTTTTATTGCTTCGACTTCCGCTTATTATATAAAACATTGGGTTTTATTTTAATTCTTGACGGTGAAATTCACAATTGGTTGATTATAAACATGTCTATTTCACATTCGCGGAATCAAGTGAACGCATAAAACAAATGCAGGTCTGTAATGTTAAAGTCGATGTAAATAAGCGTGCTACCCTTATGTTTCAACCGAGTTTTTCCTTTAACAAATTTTGTGTCTACCAAATTGGGTTGGTTGGGGTGTAGTACTAATAATAAGTGTTGCCTTTAATTTAATCAATAAAATAAATTGACTTCATTAATTTTTTTGAACCACCTCTTAAGAAAATCTAAAAAATATGAATGGAATGATAAATCACAAGTACAAACTCATCATATTTTTTGCATTTTAGATAGGATTTATTCAGCAAAATTTAAGGGTGACGTCATCAATTTTTTTAGGAGGGATGAACAAATACATTTTTAACAAAAGTTTACCATGCTTATTATAACTTTAAAATATTCCCAAGATTTCAAAGCATTCGGTTTTGTAATTCCTGATTAAATCGATAAAATAAATTCACGCCTTCATTAATTTTTTTGAGTCACCCTGCATATGCAAATCCAAAAATATGAATGGAATGATAAATCACAAGTATAGACTCATCATATTTTGTACATTTTAGATACGATTTATTCGGAAAACTTTTGAGCTGACGTCATCAGTTTTTTGTAGAAGATAACCAAATATATTTTGACTAAAAATTTATTATGCTCTTTATAACCTTAAAACATCTGCAAGATTTCAAAGCATTCGGTTTTGTAGTTCCTGATTAAATCAATAAAATAAATTTACGCATTCATTAATTTTTTTGAGTCACTCTGTATATGCAAATCCAAAAAATATGAATGGAGTGATAAATGACAAGTACAGGCTCATCATATTTTGTACATTTTAGATATGATTTATTCGGCAAACTTTCGAGCTGACGTCATCAAGTTTTTGGAGGGGATAAGCAAATATATTTTGACTAAACATTTATTATGCTCATTATGACCTTAAAACATCTGCAAGATTTCAGAGCATTCGGTTTTGTAGTTCCTGATTAAATCAATAAAATATATTTACGCATTCATTAATTTTTTTGAGTCACCCTGTATATGCAAATCCAAAAAATATTAATGGAGTGATAGTTCACAAGTACAGACTCATCATATTTTGTACATTTTAGATATGATTTATTCCACAAACTTTTGAGCTGACGTCATCAAGTTTTTGGAGGGGATAAGCAAATATTTTTTGACTAAAGATTTATGATGCTCTTTATAGCCTTAAAACATCTGCAACATTTCAAAGCATTCTGGTTAGCAGATTAAAAATTAAATTTCAAAATGTTGTTTTATAATTTTGATTTTTTTTCCAAAAATCTGGACGTTTCGGGTGAAAAGTCGATTCGGAGTTGTAAACTACATGTGTAGGACTATGTTATTTTATACAATTGAAAACCCATTTACTATGTACAATTTTGAAGTGACGTCATCGCTTTAGTGGTGGGGATGATTCGACAAATTTTGGTTAGCGTTTTACCATCTACATGATATTCTTAATATAAGTACAAAATTTCACAACAATCGGTCGAGTACTTTCGGAGATTATCTGTCTAATAAAAATCCGTGACAACAGACGGACAGACGGACAGACGGACAGACGGACAGACGGACAGACGGACAGACGGACAGACGGACAGACGGACAGACGGACAGACAGACGGAAATGGGAGACCTATTTCTTCGTCTTCTAGGGGTCATGAAAGATCGAGAAAACGTAAAAGTAGAGAGTCGGCCGACGGACTCGATTACAATACTTCCTTTGCTTACGCTCGGGAAGTAAAAACGCAAAATATATATTTTTTTATTCTCAGAAACTTAAAACCCGTTTAAAATGGTAAATTTGTGTAGGGAAACATCAATTTTGCAATTACGCTCCGCCCCGCGGTCTGACAACGAATGGAAAAGTTATCACGACTGAGATAAAGGCGGATGGGTGGGGCTTCTCCTTTGGTTTTCTTTTTTAAATAATACATTCACTTTTCTTTGTAGAACACGATTACTTGAACATATTTCACATGGTAATTTTCCGTAGAAAAATAAGGATTTTACAATTAAGCTCCTCCTCTCGGCCTACGTCGAATAAAAAAAAATCATCAGAATTGCGACCGAGTGGGTGGGTGGGGCCTATATTTTGCCTTTTTTCTTTATACACATAGATAGCCATCTTTTCATAACAAGAACGGTCAGAATGGTAAATTTTTGCTAGGAAATATAGATTTAGCAATTATGCGGCGGAGCCTAATTGCCAAATCGATATTTTCTAATACAAATTTTCCATCTTAAACATGTTTTAAGTTTCATGTTGTAAAAAGAAGTCTACACATATTAAAAAAAAGGCAGAATGTAGGCCCGCCCACCCGCCCTATATCAATTGTCATGATTTTTTTTATTCGCTGTGAAGCAAGGGGGCGGAACTTAACTGCAAAATACAATTATTTCTTTACAAGGAATCAAAAACATGTGTTTGAGAATCGTATGTTCAAATTCAAAGAATACTATGTATATTAAAAAAAAAAAACGCAAAATATAAAACCCCGCCCACCGACCCCATCTCAATTGTGGTGATTTTTTTATTCTTACAAACTCAAAACACGTTTAAAATGGTAAATTTTTTGTAAGGAAATATGGATTTTGCAATTAGGCTCCGCCCCTAGATCAGCCAACGAATGAAAAATTAATTACTATTTAGATCAGGACAGTTATGTGTGGGGCTTAATCTTTGGCTTTAATTTTTTCTTAATATACATAGTATTTTTTGAAGAGCACGATCCTCAAAAACATGTTTTTAATTTCTCGCAGAGAAATAAGGATTTTGCAGTTAAGCTCCGCCTTCTTGGCTCACGACCAATAAAAAAATCGTCACAGTTGAGATAGGGCGGGTGGGTGGGGCTACATTTTGCCATTTTTCTTACTATGTGTAGACTTATTTCGACAACAAGAAACTTTAAAACTTGTCTAAAATCGTAAATCCCACTTAAAGCTGACGGTTAATTTTATGTAGAGACCCGCATTTGCATGTCACGCGTAGTTTCGTTTAATAACGAGATAGAGCGTACAATATGTGGCAGGTTTTTCGGGAAAAAATATATGAATAATACAAAAGATATAATACTGGTTGAATAATAATAATGATTGAAACAAATTTTTTGGTTGGCAGTTCTGAATTATTGGCAGCAATGTTAGCATGTCAGTTGACAGCTGTCACTTTTGCTATAAAAACCAATGAGGAGATGGCAACTACTGAATTGGTGGGAAAAATTTCAATTTGACATCAGGTATGCCATCATAAAATTTTAAATATGTCACCAACCTGACAAAAAAGTCACAAATATTAACAACATATGTTAAAAAGCCGTTTTTTATTAAATGAGGTTTTTTTTAAACGGTTCAAAAAATCTCATAAAATATAAAATTTGCTGTAGCGGCATAACCTCAAAATTTTGAATACAGATTAGAACAAATAATTTTGTTGATGTTTTGTGGTACGGTTTTACATTAAAGAAATTTATAAAAAATAAATTTGCATACTGTTCTAAAATTTCAAAATTTCTGCTCTCTCTAACAAAAACTAACATCAATCATATCAAACATCTGAAAAACTTAATTAAAAAAATTAATTTAAAAAAAACCTGTTTTAAATCAAAACAAACCGTTTTTTATTCACTAACATCTCTAGCAAAAACCGTAGATGGAATTTCAAATATCACTTTAACAACTAACACAACTGATTAAAAATAAAATATATGACAGCTGTATTAGTCGATTTTGAATATGAAATAAAAATATTACGTATTTTAACTAATATTTTGTTAATAAATAATAAAAACTACTCTTTTTATTTGGGAAAACGAAATTCATCCCGGTTTGAGCCCTAATCCCTGTTGCTTGTAGTATTTCCAAATTTTTCAAATTTATATGTCAGTCCATCCAGAACGACAACTTCGGTGCAAAAGTTTGAGAAAATGCAAATATCAAAAAAGCGTTGTCAGGTTGGCAACATATTTTGTCAAACTAAAATTTAGAGTAGGTATCAGGTAAAAATTGACAACTGAACTGACATATCAAAATTTCCGCCAACTCAAAAAAGTTAAACTGAAACGTTAACTGAAAATTATAAATAAAACCAATGTCAGGTACAAAAATTACACAGACATTTTACGTACAATTAAATATATTCCGGATATGAAATCGTGGTCGTATTTTTTTTTTTTGCAAAACAAATGATTCATTAAATTTATTTTCGAGCTTTAGCGTTTCTTTTAAATCAAAACAGTGCTAATTTTTTCTACAACATTGTCAAAATTTCCACAAAACAAAACCCACGAAACGCTCGTCATTAATTATGAAAATGTACCCAAAACCTGCAACATTTCCATTAATTAGCTCCACGTGTCGTAAACCGGAAGTCCGCCCAATTTTGACTAAAAACACCGTTTTTTTTTTAATAATTTCACCGTGTTTTGAACCGGCAGCTGCAAAGAAAGTGGTCAAGTACCTGTTCTACACTTCTTGATGTTGGGATGCTTGTTGATCCACTCCCGCATCTGCTCCAGCGACTGATCCCGGATGTTATCATCTTCCCTTAATTCTTGCAGAGCCTTGGTTCTCTCTGCTGGTGGCAACTGGCAAACGTAGTCTGCCACGGACGAGTCTTGGCCTCCTAAACCCATTGCTTTGTCTGGAGCAATAATAGAAGGCAACTAATCCACTGTTAATTAACACGTGCCACTTAAAGTTTTATTGGCAATTATCGCCACGGAGCCCCATTTGGAAAAACCATTTTCGTTCCGTATTGGGAGTACCATTGTTTGAGCGATGGTTTCAATGTTAAGGTTGCGTTTCGTGAAAGTGACGCGGAAATAAAGAAAGTAAAACGCTTTCTTCGCGCTTAAATTACAAGTGGATGACCCAATTGGAAAATGGGAATATTTTAACCGATTTTTTTTTCGTAAATAATTATATAACTGAAATTGGACTTACCTTGTCGCGGCATTGCATGGAAATGATAATGTTTTCGATAAATAAATACAATGCGGACCGGAATACCAACGATACGTTAATAATTATTTAATGGATGTGTCGATCCCGATGACAATTCGGACACAATAAGACAATTAAAGGAGCAATTTATGATTATGAACGTGAAGCAATTTTAGTGAGTTGCGCTTCCGACGTTGCGTTGAAATCACCGCTCCCAATTGTTCGAACGCACGACTAATTTCAAAAATGTGCGTCTTCTACAAATTATAAACAAATAAAAGGACTTACCTTTGTTAAAGTACACACTGCACACCACAGCTGCCAATGTTATACTAAATACATTGCACTGTTTGTTGTAAAAAGTTAACTTTCTCCTAACCTACTTTACGGGTGGAAGAAATTTATAATGAGATTCTGCAAAAATACGCTCGATGACTAACTTTAACGAAGATTGAACACGCATTTCAGTCCTCGAAAATGCGAGACGTGCTAGAAAGTACTATTGCGTAAAAACAAAGCTCGATTTTTTCAGTCGAGCCGGCTAAAATAATTGTTGCAGTTTGCTGGATTGAATTTCGCAACATGTGTGGTTTAAATTGCGGTACGTGACGAACGTAATTATCTAGTATTAGCGTTAGAGCTCGTGGGGAATGCTTTGATTAATCATTCTATTTTCGTTGCGAAAATTCCCATTTCGTGTTTTTCTTGGTGGCGATCGATCAGGATTTAGGGAGATCCTTTTATTGTGGTCGACGGATGCGTGGGCGGAAAAGTGCGGCCCAGAATACCGAGTGACGAGATTTTTCCGAAAAAAATTAGAAAGGACGGGAAAAAGACCCCGATATGTAAGAAATAATCAGAAGAGGATTCTGTTTTAACGTCCTATAAATAGTGCGGAACCTTATGAAATTAAATGTGCTCTCTGTTTAAACTTGAACTTTCTCCAGCTCGTGATGCTAGTGAAGAAATTAGTGCATTTCTCGCCAAATTAGCTGCACTTGTGTTGAATTTTTCAAAATGTGCACGCTTTCTTCAAATTTTAATTTTCAACAAATAGTCCACGATGAACAAAAATTAAAACGATGTTCTGGGTTAGCGGTATTTTTAGCACCGATTACCGAATTTGACGGGTCGTTTATGAGTTACTGTTCATATTTTAGGCTGCATTTGACCCGAATAACAAATTCCACACTGACGTGACAAAAATGGTTTTCTGCATTTTGTGACTTTTATTGGTTAATTTCAACAACTTGCTTAGATTTGTTTTGTGTAATATTAGTAACAAAATTTCTCAAAAAGCGTCAGAATTGCTATATAGAAAACTGTGTCATTGTAATGGTGTTTAATTAAAGCCACTTGAGAAATACAATTAGCGAAAGAACATTTTTTGAGGTTTGCTGCTTTATTTCCCAATAGAGATAATTTCTTCTTTTGGTTGAAATTATTTCTTCAATGTCTATATTTATGAATTGAGCTCAATCAAATAGTTACTTTCAGTTTAAAACGCATTTCTAATTAAGAGGTTTTATGTTTTTTTATCTCTATATATTTCGCTTAATAACACTAAGTGGGCAAAAAAGTTGTATTTTACCCAAGTATGTACATAGTTTTAGAAAGTTGCAATGACTTTTTTTTTCAAATAATTTATTTATATTAACCAGAAGTATGATCTAACAAAGAATAGCAAGTTCTGATAACTTGTTTTAGTACCACAAACAGTAAATAAGAAGATATATCATGAAAAATGATACGCTAATATTTAAGATTAAATAAGTAAAAAATACTCTTGTAAAATTTAGATCGTGGCTTAGAAATGTGGTAATTTCTATTCAAAATTTGGCGTTCAATTTCATGTTTAGTGATAGTAGAATTTAAGGGATTTTTCTGTGTTTTGTTCTTGAAGCATTTGGAAAGACTCTCGGAGGCCCTTCTTGTTTTGGGCTTTGAAGTAGTTAGAAGAACTCTGGGACACCCTGTGTTTGGTTTTTGAAGTAGTTTGAAAGAATCTCAAGGACTCCTTGTGTTTGGTATTTGAAGTAGTTTGAAAAAATCTCGGACATCCCTTTTGTTTTGGTTTTACAAATACTTAGTTTGAAAGAATTTCGGGATCACCTTTTGTAGTTTTTGAAGTAGTTTGAAAGAATCTCTGGGACCACTTTTGTTGTGATTTTGAAGTAGCTTGAATCTTAGGAGATCCTTTGTCTGTTTTCGAAGTAATTTGAAAGAATCTAGGGGACCTCTCATCCTTTGTTTTTGAAGTAGTTTAGAAGAATCTCGGAGACCTATACTGTCTGGTTTCTAAAGTAGTTTGAAAGAATCTCGGGGAACCCGTTTGATTTGAAATTGTTTGAAAGAATCTCAGGGACCCTTTTGTTATGGTTTTGAAATAGTTTGAAAGAATCTCGGGGTCCACTTGTGTTGTGCTTTTGAAGTAGTTTTACAAAATTTTAGGGAATCCTTCGTCTTATTTATGAACTAATTTGAAAGAATTTAGAGGACCCCTTGTCCTTTGTTTTTGAAGTAGTTCAAAAGAATCTCGGGGACCCCTTAACTTTTGTATTTGAAGTAGTTTAAGAGAATCTCGGATATCTCTTGTGTCTGGTTGTTGGAGTAGTTTGCAAGAATGTCGGGAACCTCTAGTGTATGATTTTTGAAGTAGTTTGAACAAATCTTGGGGGTTTCTTTTTTTTGGTTTTGAGGTAGTTTGATCGAATCTCGGGGAGCCCTTTCGATTTGAAATAGTGTGAAAAAATCTCCGGGACCCTTTTTGTTATAGGTGTCTGGTTTTTGAAGTAATTTGAAAGAATCTCGAGGTCCACTTGTATTGTGGTTTTGAAGTAGTTTAAAAGAATCTCGGGGACACATTTTGTTTTGTTTTTGAAGTAATTTGAAAAAATCTCTAGGACACCTTGTGCTTGGTTTCTGAAGTAATTTAAAAGAATCTCGGGGACCCCCTTTGATTTGAAATTGTCTGAAAGAATTACAGGGACCCCTTTTGTTATGGTTTTGAAGTAGTTTGAAAGAAACTTGGGGAATCTTTTGTCTTGTTTTTGAAGTAATTTGAAAGAATCTCCCAGACTCCTTATCTTTTGTTTTTGGAGTAGCTTAAAAGAATCTCGAGTACCTCTAATGTCTGGTTTTTGAAGTAGTTTGACGAAATCTCGAGGTCCACTTGTGTTGCGGTTTTTAAGTAGTTTGAAAGAATTTTGGGGGATCTTTTCTTGTTTTTGAAGTAATTTGAGAGGATCTCGGGGATCCCTTATCTTTTGTTTTTCAAGTAGTTTAAGAGAATCTCGGATACCTCTTGTGTCTGGTTTTTGAAGTAGTTTGAAAGAATCTCGGGGACCTCTAGTATCTGGTTTTTGAGTAGTTGTAAAGAATCTTGGGGTGTCTTTTTTTTTGGTTTTGAAGTAGTTTGAAAGAATCTCGGGGTCCGCTTGTGTTGTGGTTTTGAAGTAGTTTAAAACAATCTCGGGGGCCTCTAGTGTCTGGTTTTTTGAGTAGTTTGAAAGAATCTCTGGGACACCTTGTGCTTGGTTTTTGAAATGGTTTGAAAGGTTCTCGGGGACCACTTTTATTATGGTTTTGAAGTAGTTTGGTGACCACTTTCGTTGTGTTTTGAAGCCGTTTGAAAGAATCTCGGGGACCCCTTATCTTTTCTTTTCGACGTAGTTTAAAAGAATCTCGGGGACTTCTAGTGTTTGATATTTGAAGTAGTTTGAAGGAATTTCGGGACCTCCTTTTTTGGTTTTGAAATAGTTTGATAGAATCTCGGCTTCCAGTTGTGTTGTGATTTTGAAGTAGTTTGAAAGAATCTCTTGGGCTTCTAGTGTCTGATTTTTGAAGTATAGTTTGAAAGAATCTCCGTGGTCCCTTTTTTTGGTTTTGAAGTAATTTGAAAGAATCTCGGGGACCCCTTAACTTTTGTATTTGAAGTAGTTTAAGAGAATCTCGGATATTTCTTGTGTCCAGTTGTTGCAGTAGTTTGCAAGAATGTCGGGGACCTCTAGTGTCTGGTTTTTGAAGTAGATTGAAAGAATTTTGGGGGTTTCTTTTTTTTTGGTTTTCAGGTAGTTTGAACGAATCTCGGGGAGCCCTTTTGATTTGAAAAAGTGTGAAAAAATCTCCGGGACCCTTTTTGTTATGGTTTTGAAGAAGTCTGAAACCTTCTATCTTGTTTTTGAAGTAATTAGAAAGAATCTCGAGATTCTCGAGGTCCACTTGTGGTTTTTAAGTAGTTTTACAGAATCTTAGGGGATCTTTTTCTTGTTTTTGAACTAGTTTGAAAGACTCTAGGGGACCCCGTTTGATTTGAAATTGTCTGAAAGAATCTCAGGGCCCTTTTGTTATGGTTTTGAAGTAGTTTGAAAGAATCTTGGCGAATCTTTTGTCTTGTTTTTGAAGTAATTTGAAAATATCTCTAGGACACCTTGTGCTTGGTTTCTGAACTAGTTTGAAAGAATCTCGGGGATCCCGTTTGATTTGAAATTGTCTGAAAGAATCTCAGGGACCCTTTTGTTAGTAGTAGTAGTTTGAAAGAATCTTGGGGGATCTTTTCTTGTTTTTGAACAAATTTGAAAGAATCTCGGGGACCCTTTATCTTTTGTTTTTGAAGTAGTTTAAGAGAATCTCGGATACCTCTTGTGTCTGGTTTTTTGAAATAAGTTTGAAAGAATCTCGGGGACCTCTAGTATCTGGTTTTTGAGTAGTTGTAAAGAATCTTGGGGTGTCTTTTTTTGGTTTTGAAGTAGTTTGAAATAATCTTAGGGGATCTTTTGCCTTGTTTTTGAAGTAATTTGAAAGAATCACGGGGGCCTTTTTTTTGGTTTTGAAGTAGTTTGAAAGAATCTCGGGGTCCGCTTGTGTTGTGGTTTTGAAGTAGTTTCAAACAATCTCGGGGACCATTTAATCTTTTGTTTTTGAAGTAGTTTAAGAGAATCTCGTATACCTCTTGTGTCTGGTTTTTGAAGTTGTTTGAAAGAATCTCGGGGACCTCTAGTGTCTGGTTTTTGAAGTAGTTGTAAAGAATCTCGGGGCCCCTTTTTTTGGTTTTGAAGTAGTTTGAAAGAATCTCGGGGTCCGCTTGTGTTGTGGTTTTGAAGTAGTTTAAAACAATTTCGGGGACCTCTAGTATCTGGTTTTTTGAGTAGTTTGAAAGAATCTCTGGGAGACCTTGTGCTTGGTTTTTAAAATGGTTTGAAAGGTTCCCGGGAACTACTTTTATTGTGGTTTTAAAGTAGTTTGGGGACCACTTTCGTTTGAAAGAATCTCGGGGACTTCTTGTGTTTGATTTTTGAAGTAGTTTGAAAGAATCTCGGGACCTCTTTTTGGTATTGAAATAGTTTGATAGAATCTCGGTGTCCACTTGTGTTGTGGTTTTGAAGTAGTTTGAAAGAATCTCTTGGACCTCTAGTGTCTGGTTTTTGAAGTAGTTTGAAAGAATCTCGGTGGTCTCTTTTTTGGTTTTGAGGTACAGTGTGAAAGAATCTCGGGCTGCACTTGTCTTGTGGTTTTGAAGTAGTTTTACATAATCTTAGGGGATGCTTTGTCTTGTTTTTGAATTAATTTGAAAGAACTTAGGGGACCCCTTGTTTTTGTTTTTGAAGTAGTTTAAAAGAATCTCGGGAACCTCTTGTGTCTGCTTTTTGAAGTAGTATCAAAGAATCTCAGGGACCTCTAGTGTCTGGTTTTTAAAGTAGTTTGAAAGAATCTCGTGGGACCCCTTTTGTTTCGTTTTGAAATAGTATGAAAGAATCTCGGGTACCACTTTTCCTGTGGTTTTGAGGTAGTTTGAAAGAATCTTAGGGAATGCTTTGTTTTGTTTTTGAACTAATATGAAAGAACCTAGGGGACCCCTTGTCTTTTGTTTTTAAAGTAGTTTAAAAGAATCTCGGGGACCGCTTGTTGCTGATTTTTGAAGTAGTATAAAAAAATCTCAGGGACCTTTAGTGTCTGGTTTTTAAAGTAGTTTAAAGGAATCTCGTGGGACCCCTTTTGTTTTGAAGTAGTACGAAAGAATCTCGGGTACCACTTTTCCTGTGGTTTTGAAGTAGTCTGAAAGAATCATAGGGGATCTTTTGTCTTGTTTTTGAAGTAGTGGAAAGAATCTCGGGGACCTCTTGTGTGGTTGTTGAAGTAGTTTGAAAGAATGTCGGGACAACTTTAGTTGCGGTTTTGAAGTACTTTGATACAATCGTAGTGGATCATTTGTCTAGTTTTTGAAGTAATTTTAATTTTTTTATTTTTGTTTTGGCTTTGAAGTAGTTTGAAAACATCACCTAGGACACGTTGTGCTTGGTTTTTGAAGTAGTTGAAAGAATATCGGGAATCAGTTTTTGAAGTATGTAGTTTGAAAGAATCTCGAGAACCACATTTGTTGTGGTTTTGAAGTAGTCTAAAAGAATCTTCGGGACCCCTGGTCTTTTGAAGTAGTTTAATCGAGTCTCGGGGACCTCGTGTCTGGTTTTTGAAGTAGTTTGAAAGAATCTCGGGAAACTCTTGTGTAGGTTTTTAAGTGGTTGGAAAGAATCTCGGGGACTTCTAGTGTCTCGTTTTTGAAGTAATTTGAAAGAGTCTCGGAGACCCCTTTTGTTTTGGTTTTGAAGTAGCTGGAAATAATCTCGGGGACAACTTTTGTTGTGGTTTTGACGTACTTTCAAAGAATCTTAGGGAATCCTTTGTCTAGTTTTTTTAAAGTAATTTTGATTTTTTAATTTTTGTTTTGGCTTTGAAATAGTTTGAAAAAATCTCTGGGACAACTTGTGTTTGCTTTTTGAAGCAGTTCGAAGAAATTTCGGACCTTATGTGTTTGGTTTTTCAAATAATTTGAAAAAATCTCAGGGACCACTTGTGTTTTGTTTTTGAAGTATGTATAGTTTGAAAGAATTTCGGGTATCAGTGTTGTTGTGGTTTTGAAGTAGTTTAAAAAAGTCTCGGGGACCTCTTGTGTCTGGTTTTTGAAGTAGTTTGAAAAAATCTGGGGGACCACTTTTCTTTTGGTTTTAAAGTAGTTTGAAAGAATCTTAGGGGGTCCTTTGTCTACTTTTTGAAGTAGTTTGAAAAAATCTTTGGGTCACCTTGTGCTTGGTTTTTGAAGTAGTTTGAAAGAACCTCGGGGACTTTTTGTGTTGGGTTTTTGAAGCAATTTGAACGAATTTCGGGGACCAGTTATGTTTTCTTTTTGAAGTATGTAGTTTGAAAGAATCTCGGGTACCCTTTCTGGTTTTTAAAATTCTGTCGTTACTTTTCCGCATAAATTTCTATTTATATTGGTTACATTTATGTAATTTTTCTCGCGAGTAACTAGACAATTTGATCACTATGATTTTGAATTTTTAAGCAATCGGTGTGATAGTTTCGAATTTTCATCGTCCAACAAAATCAGCAGCGACAAATAAACAAATAAGCAGCCGGAAAAGAAAAATCTTATAGTCCACGACCTTTTAAATATCAAGGAAACAGGAAATCAGACTTTCGCCCAAATCACTCTAATACCGTACTTTCATCAGCGCTTGGGGAGTAAAATTGGTACCTACCTCAGCCAAGTCAAGGTGATTATCAACGAACACATTTTTTAAAATACGATTATCTAAAATCAGTGGCGAGAAGAATAAAATTCGTTGCTTAAACAATGACATTACGGTTCCCAAGAGCCAAAAACTTCCATCATAAGTCACACATCATGCTGGATGAATTAGTGCAAATAATTATGTTGATTTATACTTAATTAAACGACTTTCCAAAACGGAAAGAATTACACGCTTGTTAATAATTTTGTCCAGAATAGTCCCACATGCGATCCCGCTTAATTACAAAGTACCTACCTAAATTCGAACCGTTGCTCCCAACGGTAACAGATGCCTTTCAGCCTAATGATTTAATGATAAGGCATTTGTGAAAAGCGTACAACACACTTATCGGTCCGGAAGGCAGCGAGTAAAACACAGTCATTAAAAATGTTCTTTTTAATTCTATAACAATAATAACTGAAATAATTGTTTTATTCTTCATGTTCGAAATGATACAAAGAGCTCAATGTAATCGTTATTACAACGTCCCTAACGACTCAGTTATGTAACACGTGGAAACGAATACAAACAAAATAATAATAATCAGACTATGTACAATTACAGGAATAAAATTCATTCATATATTTTATCTTTTTTTAATTGCACAAATATAATAAGTTTTTGGCATGAAAAAATAGTTGCCCCACCTACATTCTTATTACATATTTACACGATTCCATACTTACGAGTAGTTTGGCTCAAAATCGGAATAAAGTTAAAAATTCACTTAACTATGTATTTTATTAATTTCTGCAGCCCACACTCCCACTAAAATAGAGCAAGTTTGGCATAACTAAGATGAAATTAATCTATCAGCTGACTCCTGATTGTCACTGTTGTAATAAATTAATTTCCATGATGGACACGCTGAGAGATATTAGTTTGTATAATCGTAATAAAATAAAATACCCACACAATTTCACTAATTAAAATAAACTTATCACAAGTTTTTGTTAAAGCATTAATTATTGTAATGACATTCTCGAACAATTATTTCCGCTACTTCGTTGAGGTTTAATTAAATGGTACGAATACTAATAAATAAATGCAAAAATGGAAACCTGAATGACAATTAAATGTAGAATAACCCTGTACTAGAAAAGTTTTAAGTACAGTCGTGAACCAAGAAGAAGCGAAATTCTTATTGGTGCACGCTGCGAGAAAGGAAAGGTGGCAAATGTCAAGAGATTTTATGTACACGAAAAATTTAGATGAATTCAGGAAGAACACTTAAAGGGAGAGTAAAAAGATCAGTAAATAACATACAAGAAACACAAACAGGATTTAGTGTACTTAACAGTTAATTCGTTGAACTGGAAACTTATTTTATCGCGGTAGTTCATTCTTGGATTTGACCTCACTTGTCAAATTACACATACATGACTTACTTGTGTGAATTTTTGTGTGAAAAACTAGTGTCATGAAAATTAATGTAATTACTGAAACACTTTCTTTGTTAATAGGACTTGTTTTCATAAAACTAAGTTTAATTTTTGTTGTATTTTACTTTTTAGAAGGTTACTTCAACACTCTTGAAAAATTTGTCATTATTTATTTTTTTTTTTGGATGTTTCACTTCCAATAGACATCCATTAGAATTCTGAAGTTGTGCCATCTTCAATTTTTATTCAAATTTGGTGTTTTCATATGGAACGACCCTGATGTAACTCTCCCACTAGACAATGCATGGAAGGGATCAAAGCAATTTAATTATTAACAATAACGCGTTTGTCTTGTTTTTGCTTTAGTCATTATCTGTAGGGATACAGATCTTACTAATTTTATATATATTTTTTTAAAGTCGACGGTCAATATTAAGAAAAATAAAGGTTTCAACAAAAAATATTTTGCTAAGCAACGAAACTAGCAATGTTTCAGAAGTCGCTAAAATACAACCACTGGCCGTCAGAAACTTGTACAATTCAAAGTTTGTTAAAGATTGAAATAATTTTCGCGGACGCCATAAATTTCACTTTAGTTGATAAAATTACTGTTATAATTATGTCATACTTAGAACTTTCCAAGTGACCTCTATAAATGGAGCCAGAAGAACCTATTTTCCCTTTAAGTAGACACCATCATACAACCGCATGAATAAACAAACTCTGAATCACGAACTCCACCCCCATCGACATTTGCCACCCACCCTCCTTCCACCAATCAACAATAACGTCAATAAAAATACCCAACATTTATTGCTTCAACAACATACAAACCTTTATATACAAAAGTCCGAATTAATTAATGCTACTCAAGGCTTTCCTCCGTCTCCTGTGCCTTTTACTATTTTTAATTTCTACATTACAAACTTCATCCTCACTAACATCATTATCAATATTCGCCGCATTAGGTAATTTAGAATGACTTACGGCACAAATACCGTTAGGTAAAGTTTCACTAGAGACATCTCCCGTCGGATCCTTCGCAGCGCCATCTTCGGGCGCCGCGTGACACTCACTCTCCTCCTCGTTCTCCTCCACCTCTATCGGTTCCCCCGAGCAATACACGCTCTTATCGATCCCATCGCTCTTCTCCTGCTTCTTCAACTGGGGTATCACGAACTGGTGCGTCGCCTCGCCGCCGTCGCTCGGTATGCTCGACTCGCTCTCCGTCCGCTGCAAACTCTTCGGCCGCAGCCGCAGCTCCGGGCCGCCGCCGTAGATGTTGAAGAAGAAGTTCCAGATGTTTTCGCTCACCTCGGCGCACTCGTTCACGTCGATTTGGTTCATGTTGATCTTGGAGTTGTCGATGGGGCCCGGCGGGTCGGCTGTCCGCTTCTGGACGAACTTGTGCCACTGGCTGTACCACGACGTAGATATCAGGTGGGTGGGAGGCAGGTCCTGGGTCTGGCTCTCGCGGTTCAGCTGGACGAAGGTTTCCATTTCGAAGAGGAGTCGCTTGTTGAAGGCGAGGCAAGCGGGGCAGATGTTGATGCTGGTGACGGGCGGACAGCCGCCGAATTTCTTGTGGAGGTAGTCGTAGACGGGGAGCGGCACGGCTACGGCGAGGTGTTCGAGGACGAGTTCTCGGTCGGGGTGGACAGAACCGTGTTGGCACAGGAAGTCGGAGTTGTCGATGGCGCCCGGTTCGGCGCAGGTGTTAAATCTGGAATGAAGGATTGACTTAAGTAGTGTGGCTTAAGTGTGTATTGGAGATTTTAAACATGCTATGTGTATGTTTCACGTGAGATTTTCTTAATAAAATTGTATGATGACGTCACCAATTTGGATAGATACAGTACAATACTAGATAAAAATTGGTCGAAGATATTTCGACAGAACTTCCTTCGCTTCTGAAGTAAAGTGCAACAAATGCTGTTTGTCTGAAAAATTATAAAATTTGATTTTGTGGAATTTTACTTTTTCGCCATAACAGTGTAATAGAACAAAACAATTTTCACGTTATAAAAAAAAAAGTTGGGACTCCAAGCAGATATAATCCTCTTAAAGACACTTCGGACTCCCGAGAAGGTTTCGTCTTCTTTAAAAAAAGACAGTTGGGACCCCGAGAAGGTTTTACATAAAAAAAAAACAGGTGAGACCTCCGAGAAGGTTTTACATTAAAAAAAAATACATCTGGCGTCCCCGAGAAGGTTTTGCATTTTTAAAAAAGACAGTTGGGACTTCCGAGAAGGTTTTACATAAAAAAAACCAGTTGGGACCTCCGAGAAGGTTTAACATTTTTAAAAAAGACAGTTGGGACCCCCGAGAAGGTTTAACATTTTTAAAAATGATAGTTGGGACCCCCGAGAAGGTTTAACATTAAAAAAAAGACATTGTGCGTCCTAGAGAAGGTTTTACATTTTTAAAATAAGACAGTTGGAACCCCTGAGAAGGTTTTACATAAAAAAAAAACAGGTGGGACCTCCGAGAAGGTATAACATTTTTAAAATGACAGTTGGGACCTCCGAGAAGGTTTTACATTTTTAAAAAAGACAGTTGGACTCCCGAAATTTCACACTCCTAAAAAAAATACATGTGGCGTCCCCGAGAAGGTTTTACATTTTTAAAAAAGACAGTCGAAACCCGCGAGAAGGTTTAATATTTTTAAAAAAGACAGTTGGGACCTCCGAGAAGGTTTTACATAAAAAAACCAGTTGCGACCTCCGAGAAGGTTTAACATTTTTAAAAAAGGCAGTTGGGACCCACGAGAAGGTTTAACATTTTTAAAAATGATAGTTGGGACCCCCGAGAAGGTTTCACATTAAAAAAAGACATTGTGCGTCCTAGAGAAGGTTTTACATTAAAAGACATTTGGCGTCCCCGAGAAAGTTCTACATTTTTAAAATAAGACAGTTAGAACCCCTGAGAAGGTTTTACATAAAAAAAACAGGTGGGACCCCCGAGAAGGTTTTACATTAAAAAAAAAAGACATGTGGCGCCCCCGAGGTTTTACATTAAAAAAAAAAGACATTTGGGGTCCCTGAGAAGGTTTAACATTTTTAAAAAAGACAATTGGGACCCCTTAGAAGGTTCCACATTCTTAAAAAAAAAAAAAATACATTTGGGGCACCGAGAAGGTTTCACATTCTTAAAAGACAGCTGACACCCCGAGTGTTTTACATTAAAAAAAAGACATTTGGGGCCCTCGAGAAGGTTTTACATAAAAAACCAGTTGGAACCCCCGAGAAGGTTTAACATTTTTAAAAATGGTAGTTGGGACCCCCGAGAAGGTTTTACATTAAAAAAAGACATTGTGCGTCCTAGAGAAGGTTTTACATTTTTAAAATAAGACAGTTGGAACCCCTGAGAAGGTTTTACATAAAAAAAAAACAGGTGGGACCTCCGAGAAGGTATAACATTTTTAAAATGACAGTTGGGACCTCCGAGAAGGTTTTACATTTTTAAAAAAGACAGTTGGACTCCCGAAATTTCACACTCCTAAAAAAATACATGTGGCGTCCCCGAGAAGGTTTTACATTTTTAAAAAATTGGTCTAAAGAGTTTAGACAGTACTTCCCTCGCTGTCGGAAACTTGACGACTGCATGCCTATTGTGTTTTTTTCTCATTACATTTTTGTAGTGGGAATTTAAAAAAAAATTGCGATGACGTCATCAACATTTTTGCAAGGACACGTATATCAGTTGGGATAGATGTAGTGTAATACTAAGAATAAAATTACTATATTCTCAAATTTTCGGGAAAATGAATTGGGTCGTTTGAATATTGATTTGTAATAATCAATAAAATAACGAAACAATTTACTCACGTATACCTACGTATCAGAGGCAACTGAAAATCGTGTATGTATAAACATTGTTAATTTAAGATGACAGGCGTAACAGCATACGTGAGAGCCAAACACAGAAACTGTAAACAAAACGACCGTCGGTTTTATTGCTTCGACTTCCGCTTATTATATAAAACATTGGGTTTTATTTTAATTCTTGACGGTGAAATTCACAATTGGTTGATTATAAACATGTCTATTTCACATTCGCGGAATCAAGTGAACGCATAAAACAAATGCAGGTCTGTAATGTTAAAGTCGATGTAAATAAGCGTGCTACCCTTATGTTTCAACCGAGTTTTTCCTTTAACAAATTTTGTGTCTACCAAATTGGGTTGGTTGGGGTGTAGTACTAATAATAAGTGTTGCCTTTAATTTAATCAATAAAATAAATTGACTTCATTAATTTTTTTGAACCACCTCTTAAGAAAATCTAAAAAATATGAATGGAATGATAAATCACAAGTACAAACTCATCATATTTTTTGCATTTTAGATAGGATTTATTCAGCAAAATTTAAGGGTGACGTCATCAATTTTTTTAGGAGGGATGAACAAATACATTTTTAACAAAAGTTTACCATGCTTATTATAACTTTAAAATATTCCCAAGATTTCAAAGCATTCGGTTTTGTAATTCCTGATTAAATCGATAAAATAAATTCACGCCTTCATTAATTTTTTTGAGTCACCCTGCATATGCAAATCCAAAAATATGAATGGAATGATAAATCACAAGTATAGACTCATCATATTTTGTACATTTTAGATACGATTTATTCGGAAAACTTTTGAGCTGACGTCATCAGTTTTTTGTAGAAGATAACCAAATATATTTTGACTAAAAATTTATTATGCTCTTTATAACCTTAAAACATCTGCAAGATTTCAAAGCATTCGGTTTTGTAGTTCCTGATTAAATCAATAAAATAAATTTACGCATTCATTAATTTTTTTGAGTCACTCTGTATATGCAAATCCAAAAAATATGAATGGAGTGATAAATGACAAGTACAGGCTCATCATATTTTGTACATTTTAGATATGATTTATTCGGCAAACTTTCGAGCTGACGTCATCAAGTTTTTGGAGGGGATAAGCAAATATATTTTGACTAAACATTTATTATGCTCATTATGACCTTAAAACATCTGCAAGATTTCAGAGCATTCGGTTTTGTAGTTCCTGATTAAATCAATAAAATATATTTACGCATTCATTAATTTTTTTGAGTCACCCTGTATATGCAAATCCAAAAAATATTAATGGAGTGATAGTTCACAAGTACAGACTCATCATATTTTGTACATTTTAGATATGATTTATTCCACAAACTTTTGAGCTGACGTCATCAAGTTTTTGGAGGGGATAAGCAAATATTTTTTGACTAAAGATTTATGATGCTCTTTATAGCCTTAAAACATCTGCAACATTTCAAAGCATTCTGGTTAGCAGATTAAAAATTAAATTTCAAAATGTTGTTTTATAATTTTGATTTTTTTTCCAAAAATCTGGACGTTTCGGGTGAAAAGTCGATTCGGAGTTGTAAACTACATGTGTAGGACTATGTTATTTTATACAATTGAAAACCCATTTACTATGTACAATTTTGAAGTGACGTCATCGCTTTAGTGGTGGGGATGATTCGACAAATTTTGGTTAGCGTTTTACCATCTACATGATATTCTTAATATAAGTACAAAATTTCACAACAATCGGTCGAGTACTTTCGGAGATTATCTGTCTAATAAAAATCCGTGACAACAGACGGACAGACGGACAGACGGACAGACGGACAGACAGACGGAAATGGGAGACCTATTTCTTCGTCTTCTAGGGGTCATGAAAGATCGAGAAAACGTAAAAGTAGAGAGTCGGCCGACGGACTCGATTACAATACTTCCTTTGCTTACGCTCGGGAAGTAAAAAGACAGTCGAAACCTCCGAGAAGGTTTAATATTTTTAAAAAAGACAGTTGGGACCTCCGAGAAGGTTTTACATAAAAAAACCAGTTGGGACCTCCGAGAAGGTTTAACATTTTTAAAAAAGATAGTTGGGACTCCCGAGAAGGTTACACTAAAAAAAGACATTTGGTGCCCTCGAGAAGGTTTTACATTTTTAAAAAAGACAGTTGGGACCCACGAGAAGGTTTAACATTTTTAAAAATGATTGTTGGGACCCCCGAGAAGGTTTTACATTAAAAAAGACATTTGGCGTCCCCGAGAAAGTTCTACATTTTTAAAAAAAGACAGGTGGAACCCCTGAGAAGGTTTTACATAAAAAAAAAACAGGTGGGACCCCCGAGAAGGTTTTACATTAAAAAAAAAAAAAACATGTGGCGCCCCCGAGGTTTTACATTAAAAAAAAAGACATTTGGGGTCCCTGAGAAGGTTTAACATTTTTAAAAAAGACAATTGGGACCCCTTAGAAGGTTCCACATTCTTAAAAAAAAATACATTTGGGGCACCGAGAAGGTTTCACATTCTTAAAAAAAGACAGCTGGGACCCCGAGTATTTTACATTAAAAAAAAAAGACATTTGGGGCCCTCGAGAAGGTTTTACGCTTTTAAAAAAGACAGTTGGGACCCCCGAGAAGGCTTGAATAAAAACAAAGACATTTGGTGCCCTCGAGGTTTTACATAAAAAACCATTTGGAACCTCCGACAAGGTTTAACATTTTAAAAAAAGAGTTGGGACCCCCGAGACGGTTTCATAAAAAAAAAAAATACATTTGGTGCCCTCGAGAAGCTTTTACATTTTTGAAAAAGACAGTTGGGACCCCCGAGAAGGTTTTACATTAAAAACAAAGACATTTGAGGCCCCTGAGAAGGTTTTACTTTTTTAAAAAAGACAGTTGGAACCCCTGAGAAGGTTT